CACTGGTCTTGTTATTAATTTAAATACTTGATGTTTGGATAGAAATTTTGTTGCAGTCAAAATTACTTTTATACTACACAAACAGTGGAGTTTGAGCACATTTGGTATTATGCACTCCTGTGCAATTAGTTTAATCTCTCCAATCTTTGAGTGTCCATTACTCGTAATGATATTTTCACTGGAAAGTTACCAGGTTCCTTGGTTCAGAAAGGAGGATTTATTTCTCGTTTCAGATTACCAACGATCTCTATTCATTATTGCGTTTTCTGATTATCAGTGTTTCTGAATTTTCGAAGTCACCGGCTGTTTTTTAGTAGAGGTGGATAGTGGCTAGCAGTGAAATCCAGGACGTCCGTTTTGTCCCATTTTGCGCTCGTCAGAGTTCATATCCACTCCAAAACTTGAACCCAGTACGGTTCGCTTCAAATGCTGCCGCGTTATTGAGTTTTAATAGTATTCGCGTAGGGAAACTGTACAGTTTATGTGCTTTTTTAGTACGTCTTTCAATGGAAAACACAGCCATAAAACCAATAGACAAACATGGTTCAATCCCCCCTAAGGTTCAGAAGTACCATTATAGTCAGGTATCGATTAGGAGGTTAATGTTCTTGAGCTTGACGAATGATAGACCATTTCTAAAGTGGTCTCAACATGAATTATGATTTTTCTCATAAACCCTTTTCCGAGAAGCTCCCAATAACATATTGATAAATTGCAACATCGAAAGTTTTATTAGTGAGAGAACCTGCAATTATTGTTCTGCTAAAATCGTGGCTGCACACTGTCATGTGACAGAATCAATATAACGATTACACAAAATAGTAACGAAAATACTAACTATTTGACAGATTCTTAAAAATATCAGCACAACAAATCATATTTATGACATCAAGCATTTCATCACTTCTAAAAAGAAAAAATCAAAAAAATCTTGTTACCATCATATTATATCTTTGTATGATTTAACATTGTGAAATTTTCTTCGAAATAATACTTGGCGTAATTTTCTGGTAGTTTTTTTGAATTATATGAAAAAGGTTGGTGCACTTAATCGACAATTGACGTATTCACTAAAACGTGTCTCCAAAATAGTTGGTAATATTATCTGATTTCTCAACTTGTTCTCCCGCTTCTGCATTTCTGACACTATGAAGACTGTTTAATTCAGCATTTTTCCGTTTGGCACTTTGTTTTCTCATCACCAACGGTATTAACCTATTTGTAAAAGAATGTAACTAAATTATTACTTATATCTATATCTTTTTTCAAAATTCAGCTAACAAGGAAATAATCATCTTCACAGACATTCTATTACAATAATGATCATTCGCCTACCCGTGACTAACTTTAGAGTGAATTACTATGGTTCTGGTAAGAAACAGTGGTTTGATGCGTTCACTGATTTTGGGAGTGAGTGATATCGGTATACTTGGCAATAATGGATAATGGTTGACTGGTATCGTTATTTAACTGAAGCTGAAAGCACAAAGTAATGGATATCAACTGCATGATCTGAAAGTAATTCACTTGTTACTAGTGTTTTATATGGTGATTTCGATTCCTGGAGAGGTGAATAATGCAAGCTGTTGGATGGATCTACACAACAATAACTGTTTATTGACCAGTGGTTTCTGATGGGTGTCTTGCTCATTCCATCCCTTGATGTGAACAATCTTCTAAAATTATATTTTTTTTAACTTTGTGATAATATTATCAATGAACACAACTGAGACAAAAGATGACTAAACTAATTGACTGATAAACCTGGCATTCGATGTAGGTCTTCGAGCAGTGCCAGATGACTTAGTGAATCGCGAACAAATATATACGACATTTCTCCTTAAAGTTTACATCGTCCAACTATTTTTGCATGGTAAATTTATACTTATTGTTGAACGTTTTCTTATTGGACCAGCTAAGATGCTGCCACTGTTTGCCTTGTTGATCCTATAGATTGTCAGTGTGAATATCACTCTATTCAAATTACTTAATTCTTATTCAATTCAAAGTCTTTTCTATTGCAGACTTCACAAGACATTTATTCATCTATCGACAAAGGTTTTTTAATGATTGTAAAGACTTCTGGTATCATTTTATTGACAACCATAACTACTGAGTGATAAGATTATCTTAGCTGATGTTTGGGTTCAAAATTATCAAGTAGTTTAATTAGCTTTGGGTGCAAAATATGTCAAGAGTTTCCAGTGCATGGCGTATGATCTTCTTATGCCTTTTCAGAAGTTAAGAACGACTTCTTAATCATCTAGAAGCACTAATATGTCAGATGGTTTATGGGTGAATACTTTCATTGATAGATTATTTTTCATCAGCTACTGAAGATAATCAACCACAAGATAGTCATTTCTTTATAATATCCGAATTCATGAAGTTGGTATGGATTAATACGTACTAGATCAAGTCGAATTTCGTTAGTTTATGTATTGTAGCACAAATCGTTTATTTTTCAACCATGCTGGTATTTCAAACATCGGTTCTTATTTTATAAAGTGATGGATAATTCGTATTATTTTCAAAATACTTACAAGTCAAGTATGAGTGTTGTTACTAGTATGATTACAACAATGATGAATACTGTTCCTGGGAATGTTAATACAGTTGCAGCATACACAGCAGGAAGAGCCGTCAAACTTATAAGAAGACCGATTCGAGAAACAAATGCAGCAACCGATTGCATAATACCTGGACAAGAAGAAGAGGAAACATTTTTACATTATTTAATAATTCCACTAAATATTCAAAAGTTTATTCAGGTGAACAATTGCTGGTGTATTTATTGTATAGGGATGAGGTTAGAATAGTCTAGACAAATATTTGCCCTTAATCAGAAAAAATTGTCAGAAGACAGTCTAAATACGTTCCTAGGTTTTGGTAAATACACAATAATATTGAAAATCACGTAATTGACTTTTCTATTGAGATTGACTACAGGTTATCAGTTTTTAGGCTTCAAAACCAACGATAAGTAAATTCGCATATGCGTTTAGAGACTATTTTTCGTCATAGGTATTTACGAATCCTTTATTAACCTTGATTTCGGATCTGTGGTTAAAGTTTGGAGTTTCGGTTAATATACTTTGTTTAAGGATTCATATTTGATCGTCAGGGTGTAGAAGAAGTTTAGAGTTTGCGTTCAGATTCTTGTCTTAGAATTATGATTCAGGGTTGAGGTTGATTTGCTTGTTATTCAATTTCTTTATGGGAAGTATTCAGCAACACTGTGATTTTTATTTTATGGTGGTAAGAAACAGTTTCCAGTTATCATTTTCAATGTTCTGAGCACATCGCTCAGGTATTTTTACTGCTCACTGTACGTGATATTAGATAGATGTCGATCATTTTGACTTTCCTGCAAACTCGAAAGCAACTTACTCAATTACGACTGTTTCGTCCCTATATTACCCTTTTACTAAACTATTTCTAATAATGTTGTCTTCACTCTCTAAAGTTATGGGTTACCAGCTAGTTATATGACCTATGAATATAACCAATTATCAAATCAACTTATATCATAATTGGACAAATTCCTAATAGTTGTATTCAGTAGTGATTAATATTAACTATATATTTACAGAAATGCACAATAAGATACACAATGTTTGTTGCGAATTGATGTAACATTTTCAAAATGGAGTGTATGGTGAACTATTTACGAGTATTTGATCTATCGCACTATATCCTTGTGTTCCAAGTGCTCAATCTATATACAACTTCGGTCCATATTACAATGGTAGAAGTTTATTGTTTAGAAGAATCCCTGTTTAATCTCATTCCATTGAAATCACTTTAAATAAAAAAATTTCTATTTGACTTATGAAAATGAATAATACCAGTTGGCATCATTAATTACCTTGTATATCTTGACGGATGCTAATGGAAAGCATTGTTCGGAGTATCGGAACAAAAAAGCTCCTCATCAGTCTTGGAATAGCGGCTGAACATGGGGAAAATTATGAATTCTGATAACAATTTAGAATTCTGAAACATTATTGATATCAATAATATTATAGATAAATGTACAAATGTGGAGTTTGTAGAAATTATGAAATTTTATGGTTTACATCAAGGAATCAGCTTCCGCAACCTCGAATTAGAAATTGTTGGACGCTGACTAAGTGGTAATTCTGATAAACACTTGTCGACAGACCTGAAGGTCCTTGGTTCTGTCCACAATAATTACGACCTCGTGAATTGGTGAGAAGTACCATATTGCAACAAAGTAAATGTCTGGTGATTGCTGGTTAAAACAATTGTTTAACTAAGATCATTTCATAAAATTGATGAAGATATTCAACTTAAATTCATCAAAATTTTTCTTTAACCAATCTTTTAATGTCGATTGATAATACAAACTAGTTTTTAAAACGAAATCTCAACACAGTTTGTTTTGGTAGATAGTTTAAAATTAAGTGCTTAAAGGAGGCACACTTATAAAATTTGATATATTGACTGGTTTTGTTTGGTCTCAACAAATAGTATAATTAGGAATCAAGAATTAGGTGTTGTTTGGGTATAGATCTTAAAATACCAACCATTTGAGTTTTTGTAATAACCTGAAGTTTGATTGACTATGATGTGAGAACTTCTAAACTTCACCCAACCAAATACAAGAGATGACGAAGCTCTTCATTAGAACTGGATCGTTAGAAGTGAAAGTAAGTATTCACAATTCATTTGTATCTATACATTGAAAGATTAGCTCTGAGAATGGAATGTTTTAGGTATCAGTTCACGTGAAGGCTTTGATCACATTCTGTCATGTCAATTGACCAGATGGTCACGAATTCGTCTAAATATTTATTTTATTTCAAGCGTGTAAGGAGGTTGTACAAGGAACTTGCGAAAAATATTGTATGCTCAAACTCACGACTAAACTTGTGAATAGTCCGTTTATTCAATATACATTAAATATAATTAGTAGAATTAATTTGTGACGAGATGTGGAATGTAAAAGCAGTACATACACAAATTTTTATGACTGACAATTTTAAATATAAGCGATTCATTGGTAAAGTAATTGCAGCTCATAAACACTAATGTCATGCGCTGAATTGATTTTCGAGTGAGTGATTGATAGATGTAATTACTCATGATTAAATGTAAATTATAAAAGTTTCTTACCTATATAAATCAAAATATTCGCAGTTGGTAATTGAAATCGATAGGCAATTCCAGTTAATGAACGATTCACTATCAACATTATTATTGATATAGCGAAAACTGTAATAAGTAAATTCATTTGACGCATGTGCAGCTTTTCTTGACTGAGATTTTGTTTTGTGCGAGCTGCAGACTTTCTTTTTTCATCGAATTTAATTATCACAACAGTACAGATAACTGAGATTAATGCTGCTGTCACATCAGTTACACCACTACAAAGTATTAAAAAATCAAACAAATAGAAGAATGTACTGATGATGTATTTTCTTGCATTTGTCATATAAACTGGTAGATGAAATCATCATTTCGAAACGAGTTTTGTGCTTCGAGTACTCACTTATATTGCAATGATTCTGTTCGTGACACTGGATGATCGACGTTTCAATCCCATGGAAAGTATCGTTTCCCTTAAGAAACTAAATATACCTAACATACAAATATCTGGTATATCAAGGCGTTTGATCTATATGCGGTTGTGCCACAACACAAGAGAGTGATATCTAGATTACGGAGAGCCTGAGTGGTGCTTAACTATGTAATAATCAACCGCACTCTTTCAGATTAGAAGATATAACTTGAGAGTGGTTGCCATGTGATTAAATCATTTGACAACCCTATACTGATAGTCGGTAAAAGGTCAGAAATTCGCTGCATGCAATGACGTATAGTTAGATGGGTAGAACGACTAGTTCTTGTATACGCATTATGACTGTAAGTTGAGAATATAACCATGCACTTGTTGATCGGGTCAAAATACCGTTCATTGAACATACTCATTGTTAGAGAGAGAAGGGGATCATCAACAAAGGTTTAAGAAGTTCTATTCGTTCTGCAGAGTTGAAGCTTTGAGGAATGATATGTCAGTTCACTGGAATTCTTCGCATTGAATGCAGTACAGAATAGTCTAGAATCACATAAGAACTGCTGTTTAATTTGCTTTAATGTTTGGTGAATTCTAGTCACATGATAAGCGGATGACTTCTTTTGCTATAATTAACTAAACTTTGAAAACAGTGAATCGAAACAAAACATATTATATTTGTTCTGAGCAGTAGAATCACTAGGATGAAATTACTCTATTAACACAAAAATAAATGTGTGCTCATGATATTTCAGATGTTGATCGATGTATTGTCAAGAATGTCAATAATTTCACTTTATACTATGATGACAAATGAATATGAATCAATGATTACTAAATTCACAGATATTACCCAAATCAGTACTTAACACTTCCTTAAAATTTTAACTTTTGGTTTATGTAATTTTATATTCGTGGTACAACTGTCCTTGTATTGTGTCATATGTACGCTTAGCTGAACGCTGTATAGTTTGAAGCGACTTCCAATGAAGTGGAAAATTAGACAAACTTTCATTCCGTTTACACTATCGCTATTTATGGACAATGTCAAATACTTAGTAAGTCTCTGTACTTTGTTAAGCTGATTTGTAGTTTGTAGGGCATAAAGAAAAGAAAACAATGAGTTTGTTCCTCTCGAAACCACTGAAATCCCATTCAGAATTTACTTCTATTTATCTACTGTAAATTTCTGTATTACTATAGTGCAAGCAGTTTTGTGAATAAAATACACTTCTTTTAGAAATTTTAAACATGTATACCAGTCCATCTGATAAAATATATTTACCTTATAGGTCAGCATCGAAAATGAATTGACTAAATAATTTGCATGTTTAACTGAGAAATGTTTGTTTTAGAAAGGAGGTTTCGTTAAATCTCTGAAATAAAATAACAAAGTATTTGTTCTAACTTGAATTTAGTCTAGATTACTTACGAATATAGTCCGACTGTTTCTGGACTCCACAAGAATGGAGGACCCATTAAATAAATGGCAACATACTGCAGATCCGCCAAAGCTGACACTGAACCAAATAGGATTATTAATACAATCAGAATAAGGACAGGATCTAAAGTTTTTAGACGCTGAAAATTTAAAAATATACTACTTGTTAACGCTAATTACTTTTGCGTACATTTGACACTAAACATTGACAGGTTATGAAACATGTTAAGTAAATCTTATCCAGTTATGTAGAGAAACGTATTCATGACTGACTGTGCATCAGTTGGTGATTTCAGTAAGTTTAGCATTTACAGTACATGTAATATATAATGACTTGAAACTGCGTAACTCTTTCTGAAGACTATTAAATATATTCACTAACTGAGATACTATGAAATCTTTATAACATGCGACAATATATGATGAATTTTAAAGATTCCCATTGTGAAAATTAGAACAACACATATAAGCGAACAATATTGTTTTCGATTAGATCGTCATCAGGCTTTACTCTAATATACATGAATATTTATATGAAAATGTTAAACCAATCAAGGCAATTTGAGTGATAATCACAATGAAATGAAAAAGATTACGTAACTACATCTAATAGGCAAAAGTTCAAGTGGATAATAGGAAAACAGGTGTACTGATAGTAGTAGAAAATTCAACCCTAATTTATGTGTTCAGAAGAAATTCGTGACACCCCTATCTCTTCCGTGGCCGGATATGACGTAACTAATGATTGACATATTTTTATTTTTATTATTTTTTTTCATATTTTTATTATTTTTTGGATTTATTATTTTATTTTATTTTTACACATTTGCTTATTACGTAATGTTTTTGACGTTTTTGATGATTATCTGAATTCTATTCACCCACCCTTGACCTACTTTAGTTATCATATTTTACAAATTTTCTTACTACTATCAGTACACCTGTTTTCCTATTATCCACTTGAACTTTTGCCTATTAGATGTAGTTACGTAATCTTTTTCATTTCATTGTGATTATCACTCAAATTGCCTTGATTGGTTTAACATTTTCATATAAATATTCATGTATATTAGAGTAAAGCCTGATGACGATCTAATCGAAAACAATATTGTTCGCTTATATGTGTTGTTCTAATATATGATGAGCTGAGTCAACATAGTGTTGACATATGAAATGTACATATTTTGTTATTATTATAATAAATGTTTTAACAAGCCTATGTGTGGTCAGATTGTATTTAATGTAGCATAAAAATACAACATCCGCCTGAGTTACAAATTTTATCACTTTGTTCTATCAAAATGTAGATTTTTTCAATTAGATCGTCACCTGGAATATTTATATAAAATTCTTAAAACAATTTATGAGTAAATAATCACAGTGACATAGATTACATAACTATGCATAATTAGTAAAAGTACAATTTGTTAATATGAGGAAAGGTGTACACTATCAGTGGTAAGGACAATGAAATACTATATCAAGATTTTTAGTCAATTGTTCAACATTTGAAGTGTGGGTAAAATTTAGATAAATTCACTGTAAATAATAATCACAAAACATAATAGTAATTATCATTATTATGTAATGAGTTATGGAATATATTATTTCAATTTCGACAGATCAATGGGAAGACTTAGTTGATGTAATTGCGTTATATATTTCAAACAATCTAGTCACACATATATATGTATGAAAATTTATAAAAGCTCAATTAAGTACTAGTCCAAATAGACATAAGGTGTTCATTATAAATGAAAGAGACAGAAAATTAACGTAATATAGAAAGAATTAGAAAAGGTAGAAACTTTTCACATTACTCCAGGCCATAAAACAGCTCAAATATAACCAGTGTAAATTCAAGGTTTTAACGAACCATTTTATGTTCTTATATGGGGAGTTTTCATTTATTATTTGTCTCAGAATTCCTTATTTTTGTTGTGATCATGTTTTGCATTTGCTAGCCATGTTTCGCCTCTTTCTGTATATTTTCTTCACTATATGATTACTTACACGCGTTTTTATTGCGAAGCTCTCATAATTTTTTTTATTATTATTATGAATATTATTATTACTTTTATCTGTTGTGAGTAGTTATTTAGTCTATTTCATTGAGATCATTGAATCATAAATCGCCTTGATTGGTTTAACATTTTCATATAAATGTTCATGCATATTAGAGTAAAGCAGCCTGATGATGATCTAATCAAAAACAATATTGTTCGTTAATGTATATGTGTTGTACTAATTTTCACACTGAACTGCTCTTTATATAATCTTAAAGTAGATGTGAATATATTTAAGTGGCTGAAGTTTACATAGAAAGAAAAGAGTTAATTGTAATGTTAAGCTTTAAAAATAATTCGGGATAAATATAACCGTAAAAATCGACTAAATAATAAAGCGTTCACTTTTTGTCAGGACCTAAATACCAGTAGCATAGATGGGATGGATAAGAAGATTCATATACCTATTAGTCAATTCACAGTTGCAAGAGTGTAGCAAATTGTATTCCTCAACTTCTATTTAAAATAATGTTCTTTGCTCATATAATCATTGATTCTGGTGTTTTTCTTTGTGAGTACATGAACATTTATTGACGAGTCATAATTTCTTCAAAGATGATTTCGTGATCTGTTTTCAAATGGTGTGGTGCTATTTGCTGGTAAATTTTCAAGCTTTCTTCAATGTATCGAAGATTTGAAAGAGTGCTTCATACATTGTTTGTGTTCTGTTAACTTTATATATAGTTTTCTTGGTATTTCTCCAACATATACTGCAGAAAACGAGTGATATTTAATTTGATAAACAGACACATTTGGTTAACCTACTCTTGACTTTCAGTAGTGTCGATCTGATGGCATCGCTAACACGCAAATTATCCAGAATGAGCTTGAGTTCTTCAGAAGTTTCTCGATAGTGTGAGATAGCAATAGTGTTTTACTATAGTTTTATTCTACTGTCAAAATTGTTCACAAAAATTCTTAGTTGTAGACAAAATTAAATTTAATTCAATATGTTTACATTCTATATCTATCTATATCAATCATATCCATAAACATAAAGACGAAAATTAAACAGAAACGTAAACAATTCACAAAAAATTATGAAAATGAAACCATAAACTATGACCATGCTAAAAAGATGAATCTAACTAGCCACCTGCTATTATTATTCAAATGATAAATAAATAGCAAGATCATCGTATCAAGTAGTCTAGAATGTACGCTTTTTGATAGCATTGACTGGATTTTGTAAATGATGTCGATCAATGATTATGATAAATAGTGTAAGAGCGAATATTTATCTTTAAACAGGTATTTTCGCATCAATTTTTATTCCGATTAACAAACAGACCTTAGATGTGAACCTATTCACTGCGAATTAAAATACATTTAACAACAGCATCATTCAACATGTGTCAGATAGACAAATTTAAAGCAATTTTGATTTTATATCTATGTAATTTGACATTGACTTGTCACTTTATTCCTAACAATCTCTAAGATTTTTTACATGCAAATAGTCTGACTTATGAAAAGAAAAATACTGTATAAAATATGTATGCTACTCACTAGTTAAACCGATATGTAAGAGTTCACCGAATATTAAAATTCCAAGTGCTACTCGACGACCATATCGATCAGACAAATAACCCACTATTAAAGTGGTAATCAATCCGAGTGTTATACGAACTGCATTTGAAGCTGCTTCAAGAGTTGAAGCCTTTTTCTGAGCCAACTTCAGTTTATGCTTATCCACATCGGATCTGTAGGGAAACGAATTGATATTTAATGAAATAGTTTCTAATCAAAATTGATTTCAGTACAGGAATACACTCAAGTTTAAAGTACAACTGTCTTGATTGGATTAGAATAGTGTCGAGCAACTGTTAGCACATTTTCACCGCAATCTACCGCATTTATGAATATGTCCTGATGAGTTACAATAAAAAGATAGACTGCTGAGAAATACTGAAGACAATTTCTATGTAACTCATTGATATCTCTAAGAACAATAATATTGATTTCTATGCAATAATTTGATGAGATCAAAAGACCGAATGCTTTACACTGTTGATGCGTATCAAAATATGTGTTGTAGTCAGATCTGGTTTTGCTCTCACCAGATGCGATTGTCTATGCATAGAAAATAAATTCAGTTATGAATGCATGAAACAATTAATACAATTTGGTACTGAAACAAGTTGACAGAAAGTACAGACTCCAGGTCTGTTGTCAGTGCTGATGTCATAAATAAAAATTCGGAAATCAGTCGATTCCGCAAGTAACTGACAAGTGTTGTCTATAAACGCTCTGATCTACAATTTGATACATATTCAACGACATTATTCGGTAATTCACAACGGTGATGAAGTTGATCACAACAATTTATTCAGCAGAAAATAAAAAAATCTTTCACTAGCTTTGTTCCATCATCACATTATTATATTATCTTGAAACATTTTGAACGCATCCTTGACCAGTCAAATATGAATTAAATCGCATGCTAGGTGAGAGCATTGAAATCCCCAAACCAATGAGTGGTTATGAATCGTGTCAATATTTGTCAACAATGTGGTATATTTCTGAAAAAATTTCAACTCACATATTTTTATATCGTAGTCTTTCCTTCTTTGTATAGTAGGGGAGACCTTGTTCAGTGACAGCGCTGAAAATGTGAAAAGATTAGGTTGTTACACGAAAAATCACTTTTTGTGGTCATTGTCAAATTTTATATCATATTTGAATTCCATAAATGACTTTTGTTGTCTGACAATCCTGTTTAATTATCGAAATGAAATGAATTTAACAAAGTATTACAACATGGAAGTAGACAATTCACAGCCGTACATTTAAACCTAATCAAGTGAATTGTGTTGATTTCTATCTATTCAATTTTCATCACTGGTTGACGAATATCGGAGCACAGCTTGAGATTGTAGTACACTTAAACTTCATGCAATGTTTTTCAGTAGGCTTGATAAATTAGAAATCAACACCATTTGGCTAGCAAAACACATTAGTGATTGCGCAATGGTAACATCCATGTAACATTATGCAGTGTTTTTTGTGCCAAAGGACCTAGAATTCGTGAGGTACCACCTAATAATCAAATAAACTTGCACAAAAATTTAATTGTTTCTGGTGATACACTCTATTGAAGCTAAGTTCTAGTCGAGATTCATTTTGGTATGACCAAATAACTAAGTATGGTAAGACCATTACAATCTTTTTTTAATGCAGTTAAATATTAGAGACTTGAATAACCAAGAAGAACTTGTCATCGTCTTTTATATTTGCGGTGAAATTTAATTGTTGGAATACTTTTTGTGTATATGTCAAACAGTCATGTTACCTAAATAATGTAGTCAGTAAGTTAATCACCTATTCGTAATTGTATAAAGTATGTACGATTAAATGTTACTGAACAATGGAAAAATCTATATTTTACTTGAAATAGATATTATAGAAATACTGACATCAAAAAGCACAATAATCATTATACTTACCTGTAAAACACATACTGATCAGAGAAAAACAGATTCAACTCAACAGCAAGATATAAGGTCATAGTCATGATTAAAAGTAAAGTGATTACCCTAATTCTCAGTGATTTCTGCTTTGAGTCGGTCATGATGAGAAGTCAACTGTTTTGTTAGACCGTCAAAATTAAGCTATTAAAATTTTGATGGTTAATTTTCGTAGATGCATTTTTAAATTTGATCAAATTACATAGAACTATGTTTCATGATAAATTAATTGCGCGATGATTTACTTTAAAATCATCTGATTTTATTTGGAAGTTATTGAAGTCGGATATTTAAAAACAAATTTTAATTGGTTATGCAAAATAAACGTGAACACGCCGAAAAATAGAATATATCAACTGGCTGATCATTTGTTCACGTATTGGTTTTGTGATCACGTTACATTCTTTTTGAATAAACTTATTAAACTCTAATCACTAATTCATTTAATTATCTAAATAAAATTTTACTGAATATTAGTTTCCAACAAATTTAGTGTTCAGGCGAGACAAGCGGAGAATAAATCATGACTAATTATAAAAAGCACTTTACCTAACTACTGATCTAATCACTAGGTCACTGTCTTATTCAGTTATTCATGACGTTTCGTTTTATCCATAAGCTGTTTTTCTAACTTATATAAGCAGAGATGTATTTCGCCTGGCAGTGGTACCCAGGACGCCCGTTTCGTTCCATTTGGGACTCGTCTGCTGGATGCACCTGCATCTCAAAGCTGGTTTTTAGTCCGCAACTTATACCCAGTACCGTTCGAATGAAACGCCAGCACGTTATCCCTTTAGCTTATTATATCATATAGCCGCTGTCTTGTGCAGTGGGGTGAAGTTTAATTAATCTATAATAGTAATTTTAATCTTCTCACTGATAGTTAAGACAGGAAAAAAATCAACACTAACACTAGTAGTATTCCGATTGTGTGAATACAATCTGTAGTCAGGGAATACAGCTGTACGTTGTCTCGGATACAGTGACAAAGCATTTTCGCCGAGGAATAAAGATCCTTGTTTTGATTCCCGCGTGCAGAACAGCCTACAGTGTTGGGTGCTGTTTTCAAGTGCAGTGCACCACACTGGAGTGAAGTTTGGGTGTAGTGTGGATTTTGGAACAACAAGTAGTGAAGTGACGAGAGTAGAAGGGTAGTGAATCGAGGTGTAGGCATACAATTGACTTGCTATGTCATATTATATGTTCATTATATTGTGATGTTGTGCGATAACATTTTCAGTGATTGCGGAACCAGTAGATTTATTTTCACAGATTCATCACATAAAAAGTAAATTTTAGACGTTTATTGTTCATAAATTCATGTGAGTCCACAAAAAAATTAGTTTTTTACAGCATATCATTTCAGTTATGATTCATTATTAGTTGGGTTATGGATTTTCACAACTCAAATAATCTTACACTTGATTTTCAGCTACCTAGAGTCATGAATTATTTAAAGTCACAAACTATTTTAATCTTAATAATCATTAGTTTGACAAGATTTTCGCTCCTAAGTAAGAAAGTTACTATATGTTAACATAATGATAAGAAAAATATGCATCTCATAGCTTTCTGCTATGACAGTCATTTAGAATATTGCCACTTATCACTTGATTGACCGAGTGTAACTGAATAAAGGATTTTAAAATGTTATTTATTTTTTTATGATCAGAATTATTTTATTATCCTATAGTTGTTTGTAATTTTCCTCCACTTTGCTTTTCGATACTTCACTATTAAATTATTTATATACTTCTTATTACGTGATTGTTCTAATGCTTTGTGTTGATTATTATAAGTCTATTTATCCATATTTGACCTACTATATTCATTGTTGAGCTACTGACAACTTTTATTATCGTATTTCATTATTCTTATCATATACAGCACACCTGTCTTCCTACTATTAACTTCTACTTGTACCTATTATGTGTAGTTACGTAATCTATTTCATTGTGATTATTGACTCAAATTGCCTCCATTGATTAAACATTTTCATATAATTACTTGAGTACATTAGATTAAAGCCTGATGACGATCTAATTGAAAACAATATTGTTCGCTTACATGCGTTGTTCTAATTTTTACGGTGGGAAACCTTAATACATTTTAAATGAAACAGAAATATGATAATTAGATATAATTTGTTGTTAGAGTCACGTTTTAGATGCATGAGATAGAGATGGATGTTAGTGGCCAAGTCTTTATTGGCTGAGCATTAGTTACCAGGATGTTGCTATCAAAATTCTAAATGTTTTTCAAGATTCCTTAGATTCGTTCATATGTACAGATATTGTGCAGTCAATTTTTTCATTAGCAACAAAGCATTTGTAGATTAATTTTGATCAGTGTGATTTCCAGTCCCTAACCATAATAATGATATGAATGAACTGCTCTTAAGCTTCTTAAGGTCTTCTAAGGATTAAAAAACATATTTAAAAGAATGTGTTCCTTCATTTCCACATTCAGCTGCCTAGATGTTTCTCCTGCATATTTAGTGACGCCTAACTACAAGCCACTTCTTGTACATAGTTCTGCTGTTACGCCTGAAGTCATAGCATTCATCTGTAGTCATACTTTTTTTCGGAGGCACTCCAGGTTTTACTTTCTTTTTAACCATTTACGCAAACATTTTAGGGTGGTAAATTGCTCCCATTTTAGACGTGATTAAATTAAATTCAAAATTATTATAGTTGTTTAATTAATTTTCTTCTTCCAGATTTCATTTGTCCCTGACAATTTTGATTTGGATTAATTCTTTGAGAACTCCGAATGTAGTTTTAACGTTTAGCGGCGACTTTGTAGATGATATGTATTTAGAAGAAAAGGGAAAATATCAGTGAAATCGGTCTTGCATTTGTATCTCAAAATGTATTGCCTTACGCTGTTAGTTTTCAACACATCAAATTACCACATTCTTAATCAAATCCATCTTCCCTGAAAAAGTCATCTTATATGAGATTTTCATAACGTATATTTTCTGACAGATTATTTGATGTCAACATTAATTATCCACCTAGTAGGTGACTAGCAAAATTGATGTCATTGATGTATATACTTATCCTATAAACTCCAGATTTTGAACAAGAAAAAAACTATAAGTTAAGATGACGGTTTTCACCTCTTACACGGTAATACTGATATCAAAAGTTGTTTATTGAAAAAAAACCTACAACAGTCACTCAAACCGTCAATAAAACTTGTATAAAATATAAACCATAGTTGATGTCAAACATTTCCTAACGAGATGAAACGTTTCTAGTATTTATGCATTGATTTCTAATGATGATACTTTTATAATTGAAACATGATTCACAACTGAATGGAGTTTGGCTTTTGTGAGACAAACACGCATTGAAAATTAAGGCAATATTCACAGAGCAGAATAACTTATCACCTTAGGTTCAGGTAATAATTTATTACAAAAGCAGCTCATTCAACTCAATGACCACCTAAAAATATTCGAAATCAGTAATGCTAAATTAAGCAATACATTTTTGTACACGCTGTCATTGACTGATAATTATTTATTTCAAAATGTATTGATCAGAAACAATATGTTACAGTGAACCACTGTTTGATTATTTTACTATGTAATTTAACTTGCAGTTAGTAGTTCTTTTTTATTTATTCGAATAAACAAACATAAAAAATGAACCAGATTGTTTTTTGAAAATCGTTTAATTTGTACACTTTAAGATGGAATACATTTTTAGTAAGAACCAATTAATCACTTAAACTGTTTATAACAAAATCAGGTTTATTTTTTAGTTGTATTTATAAAAATCATCCTTTTGAACGAGGCCGCATCATGAAATCTGGTTTGTGCATTAGATATTTCCACAAGAGTTTTTCATAGGATCTATTCTCTCATTTTTATTGGCGATTCGATACAAAAATCTATAAAATGTTCACATGAAAAAAATCATTTTTCGGAAGTTTCCAAAACCATGAAAACTTAATTAAAACACGGGGTTGATTGTTTTAAACCTTCCATGAATACACAATTTCAGTTTAACTGTCCAGACTGTTAAAAAATAGTTTGAAAAAGATAAAGTCTGCCTCAGTACTTCACTTGTGAAACTGCATCATTGGTTAGAAATAAATAAGCACAACAGTTTTCGAGAAAGCTTTTTAACTTTTTTCATTCATGCTGATGATATACTAAAACGAATATATATGAACAATTTTTATCCCAACTTCACTTATCATTCAACCAAAGAGGAGATCAATTGTGCTTCGACTCAGTTACGAATGAATTTTAAATTTGTCAATGAAAGTTGTATCAACATTTCTAAATTCGCTGTATAGAATTTTTCATCATTCACTATCATAATAGATGCCTTACTTGAAATAAAATAATCATTATCTACCGGTATTATTCGGAAATGTACCTATCATAATGGCATTTTACATGTTTAGGTGAGATTGCACACGACCATAATATTAGCTTGACGTTACTTTTACATATTTATGTTTAGAAAATATTTATTTACAGTTAAACATAAGGATGACTTGTGTATTGTGCAATTACTAAAATACTTCAATAAACTGTTATCATTGAAAGTTTGTATTTTTCAATTGGTATCAAACAAAACACGGTTACGTTTCATTGACTTTCTGTTATTCATTGGTGATAGCTTTATCAAGATAATAATAAATTAGAATGTAATTTGATCAAAGTCCTACTGGATGCAGCATTTAACTCAACATATATAGGCTCAGAATTTATGACATTCTAGTCTATTATTACTTTGATAAAGCTAAAGGCATCGAATAGTGCAGCATTAGTAAAAAAAAGAAAGTTTTGTTTTAGTCTTTTCGCATTAGAAACCATAAATCTCAAATTGTAATGGGCATTATTGACCCAATGACCAAATTTTTTAAAACTATTAAATTTGGACCGTCGTCGTACAAACGGTGTTCACCCAAGAATGATGGGCAGAAATTAAAGATTTATTTCATAGAATACTCAATTGTTTATCGAAATTGGAGTCAGATTCCGGGTCAATAAAATATTTACACTAAATATTTGGTAGAAAAGTAGAAAATCTGGTAATTTTTCTGGTTGAGATCAGGAACCGATTATCTAAGTGAGGTGAATAAATGGTGATAGCTGTTTTTTTGGTTTGTTGAGTTTGTTTTGCGTTATCGAAAGTTTTTAGTTGGATAAAACAATACTCGTCAGAGAGTTTCGTTACACATGAAGTGTAGCTTTTGACCTTTTACCTTGATGGAATATCTTCTTCACATTCATGTTTAATGCACAGAAGAAGAAAAGAATTTTTAAAAACATAAATTAGCTATTAATTTCCAATAAACCAAATAACATACCCATTTGTTATTAACGCAATAAGTATCAAACTGGAACAGACAAAGAATACTGCGCCAGGAAACAGATTAGTTGTAGAAGAATAGATTAAAATCAATACGGAAAAACAAAAAAGTACGCCCAGTCGTGATACAAACGCAACGAATGAATGAATCATACCTATTGAAATAGAAGTATAAGTAATTAAATGACTGAGTAATATATTTATTTAAAGTTATGCGAAGTTATTAATCAAATCGCTAAGTTGAAATTCAGATTCAGGTATTAAAATCTAATTTTCATTTACTTTGTAGAAATTGTAGCTACATAAATTAAGTTTACTTAAAATAATGTGAGAGGTATCACCGAAAGCGTCTGAATTATCATTTATAAGTCTCTATGTACAAAGAATTTCAACATCTTATATATCTAACCAAGAATCATGGAACTGTAAAGGCGAAAATACTACAGTGATATAGAGTTTCCTTCAGACGTATGGGTACAAATCGTATTGTCGTATTTTGAAATTACCGAACTGTTATGCGTTTGTTAATCTAAACAATAACAAATACCTTAAACTGAACACATAACCTAGTTACTACTCATGTATTAAAAAAATTATACTAATTATACTAAATTATACTAATGCTGTAAAACATTTATTAACTGAATGAAAATAACGGTCGTTTATAAATTTTAAATAAAGGGTATGAAAAGCAGCTCAAAAAGTATGAGTGCTCTTCGCAAAATGTCTTAGGTATTTTAAAAATAGGGATAAAATACAAAATTTACGAGGTTCATAATAAAAATGGCAAGCATATCCAATAATCTTAGTTCGAAATTATGCTAACAACAATTAAAATGGTATTAGCAATGATTAATTACAGTATAAACTATAGCACATTTCCAAACAGTCTGTAACATGGATTATAAAAACTGAATAAATTAGAGACAATATGAACTGTAATCTTAGATTTACATTAAAAATCTGAAATGAATGTACTAAGAACATATAGATGTTCGCAAACCATTATTATAGAGATATAATGTTTATAAGCTGTTAATATATATATCTATATAATAGGGTAAAATCAGAAATGTTTCTATAATCTGAAAAATCTTCACCTATACATGAAAAAGCTCAGGTTTGAATCAGGTCTTAGATCATATGCGATGAAAAGGTTAATAGATTTGAAAGTATCTACTAGGAAAATTCTTTTTTCTAAAAAACTAAACGATGACATCGTTTTGGGATCGAGTGTATTTAGTATAAATAATCTTGTTTGAAGTACTGATTATAAATCAGCCATATCAAATTATGTTATAATATTCGTATCACCAGGCACTTACCCTGATTTTCTCGGTCAGTCCAAATAGATATAAGAGTTCTTAGTATTGGGTTATTCATTCCTTTAGCAAATCTAGGTATTATCGCTGAATAAAACAAAGTAAAAACACTCGTACTCAGTATAATGAATCTATGCACATAAACAGAAAAATAGCAAACAGCACTTAACCTAATGAGCACTATTCTTTTCTCTGATTGGAAGAAAACAAAACAATAATGTTTACCTTAGTAATAAATCTAAAAATGTTTTCGTGAATAACATTCAAAAACGTTTTGGTTATTTAATGAATTACGTTTTTATTACAATAACTATGAGCGACGCTTCATTGAAAATTTTGTAATTTATATGTAGTAATTTATATGTCCTCTGTTTTCAAACACACAGCCATTTTATTTGTCTTGAATATTTGCTTTGCAACTTAACTACTTGTGGTGGTGTTTCGTTCTCTGAGCACAGTCATCTCAACCAGCTCAAAACTTAACTGCCTGAAATAATATCAGGATTTATACTAAGGAAAATATTTTAATTTATATTATTAGTAACCATGTTGCAGGTAAGCATTATTATCGTTATCAGTAATTTGAAATGGAGTTACTGATAACTGGTTATGGTAAATAGAATTCATCAATAAGTTAGAAAATGATGCCAATGAAATACAAAGTTGAATTTCGGAAATTCTATAAACTATGCATATATATATATATATATATATATATATATATATATATATATATATAATTTTAATAATTTCCAATAGTAAACACTATTTTCTTGTGTTTCAAACATATATGCATGCGGTGTTTCATCAGGTTGTAAGAAATAAGTTGAATTAAGTGGAATAAAACAAATTTCGTAAATTTGATTACAAAAAATAGAATTACCAATATACACTAAAGTATTAGCTGTAAATGAAGTAAACAGGTGGGCTATACCCAGTATAGTTCTATTCACAAACATCATGAATATACTGAAAGTTAATATTTTCAAAAGTAAATTAACAGATCGGTATTCAGCATTTTTTAACTGTCGATCATTCTCATTGATTGCATGCATATTTTGCGGTACTGAACCACTTGATTCCGATACTGATCTGTGTATAATTCGAGCCATTAAAAGTGTGAAAATTAGTGCAAGGATTGCCGATATCACGTCAGTCACACCACTGAAACAAAAGTAATACAGTTAAATGTTAATAGACTTTTCAAAACATTGAGATATAATTACATATTACAAATACAAATAACAATTTAATTTCCTTTCAATTCATTAAAACGATTAGGAATTTCCACACAACTATATTGTGTTCATGGTGACGATACGAAACGCATTTCCTCATTGATAGTTATCAAAGATTGTTATTATGAATTTATTTCAATGCATAAATTAGTCCACACTTAATTTGACAAATCAAACCCTCTACTAGTTGATTAGTTGTGGAAAGTTAGATAGACTACTTTTAAAATCATGATTATCATGGGCCGCTATACAATGTGGATCTAGTTAATTTCCTAATGTGTTAATAGGCACATCATGAAAACAGAAACAAATAATGTTGAGGCTTTAGTCAAAGTTATAAATTTCCATTCACTCAGAAACTAGAGTCATATAGTCAAATTGCTGGCAAATAATAAATATTCGTCGGAATCAACTACTTTTTTCATCGAGTCCGGTGCTCTACTAAATTTCAAACCATACATTACATAATAACAACAAATATAAGCTTACTCACTGCTGAACATTTACCACATACAATACCAGATAAACTTTAAAAAAAGCATTTGATTATTCTATGTAAAGGGAGTACGTTCAACTGAATGGGTTACTTTAAATCACTTGGTTCCTTCTATAAATTTTGATTGAACAATGAGAAGACGTATTTGATCTTAAAATTGTGGTATATTTGCGCTACGCATTAGTTAAAATTTAGGTATCATAATATTGAAAATAGTCCTAAACATTTGTAAATTCAAGCACAGTTATGTCAACAGCTGATGAGATAATTATAAATATCATTTTGAAAATGATCAATCCATTTGATTCTTAATTTAAAACACTCAAAGGTTGACTGTTTAAATTCTCTTAATTAAGAGAATTGTAACTATTTATATATTCCCAATAAAACCTATGCATTTATTTCTACAAGAAGTTTTTTGCGTACTACTGAAAGAAAATATTAGTGATGAAATTACATGCAGTCTCCAACTGTAGCCTTTCGACAAGCAGATAGATGTACAGTACAAATTTGATAAAGAACTTTGTGTAATTCATTAAGAAACTTTCAAATCTATTATCAGGCACTTGAACGATTATCTAATGAGATTATGAAATAAAACCAACAATATATAATGTTTACTGAACATGATCATTATTTCCATCTAATCTCAATAAGAAAACGAATCGAGACGCTATATTATTTATCTTGAACTTATTAAAATTATAGAAGCAAATGATTAATGCATGGGTGTTTTTAACATAAATTAACAAGAATGCAACAACACCAAAAGCTTTAATACTAATTTATATATATATATATATATATATATATATATATATACATATATACTCAAAATATAACCTCAAATGTTTCGTCGCTCACAGTGAAAAAGAATAAAATTTCCATGATACTGTATCTTTTAGGGCTTTCATTTCACTAACAACTCTAAACGTTAACTTACGAGTACATTCCAACATCTTGTGAGTTCCATAGAAAAGGATATCCCATTAAATATATGTATATAATATATAAATCAGTTGATGTAACAACAGATAACAAGAAAACAATAAATCCAATCAGAATGTGTTGTTTGTATTTTCCCCTTAGAATCTAAAATGTATTATTATTATTAGATTATGAATTACCAAAATACGATGTAATATGATCACTGATTTATAAAAAATATATTTTTCTAATTGTTTGATATTTCACTTCAGGTTGTATATAACAATGAGAACTCTGTTCCTAAAGTGTTAAGAATACAAGTCCGGTGATATATTGCTGATAATTTCTGTGAACACCAGGAATGTTTTTTAAAATAAGCCGAATTCGTCTTTATATTTATATGAGCCAAATTTAATGTCATTAAAATATGATAAACAGACAGACTGAAGATAATTTCAGCAGAAAATAAGTTTATCAGCATCAACACGGATGGAAATATGAACAACTGGTTAAAGTAAAGGTAATGAGTAAGGCCCGATTGTCTCATTTAGTTTATTTCTTACCTTAGATAACGAATTTACAATAGACATATATAGAAGAATTAACATTTTCGTTGTAAAGATTCGAAACGCTCTCAATCTAGTTTTATCATACTTATGCATGCATAATTCAATAATGTCAACGAGTTTGCTTACACAAGTACCAGTTTAGTGATCATAATTGCATATAAATGATTTTGATTTACAATTTCCATATGCTTGCAACTTAAGGAGGTACTTTCACGACACTCAGATTGACAGTTTAGATAAACACTGATTATCATAGTTTACTGATGAGATTTTCAGCTTCGAGCAGGATTCCCCATCAGTTGCCATTTACGACCACATAAAAGAAGGAAATCAGTGCTTCATCATGTCAGAATAGGCACAGTTTCACTAAGCTTCCAAGTTAAAATACAATCCAAAGTACAACGACTAAGGTACATTCTAATAACTAAAATAGTATGCTATGTAGTGAAATGTGTCTGTTTACGTGATCAATAATACATCAAATATACATTTGAAATGAATTCATAAAACTTTAGACAGTTGTTTGTTTATTGTAATTAGTGTGCGTTCTCATTCTTCCTGAACATCATAGTATTTGTACCTTTTGCTAATAAACAGCTACACAAAATAGCTTTGCAACTGAATATAAACAACCAGTAAAATACACCAGGGTTATAAACTCATTATTAAACAAAAAATCCAATGTGGAAGTTATTCAAAGAAATACTTACCCTGAGATGTTTTTGAATATTTTGACAATTCACTCTCCAAAGTAATGAATTTTTACCGCGTATTGAAATAATCACAGCATCATTATCTTTAGTTTGATAATCTTGATCATTATTTACAGTTATCATATCTGAACATTTCTGACCAATTCGAACATTAGATTCGGGCAAGAAAAATATGAGCAATAAACTTATCCCAATAAGAATGTTGCAGATGATAATTGGTAGTCGAAAGCCAACTCGATAAAGAATTATACCTGAAAGAAATGATTTATTTCTGAAGATGCTTAAGAACAAAATATTGAGTCAGTCAAGTGTTTTAATTTACTCAAATATACATTCTATTCTAAAAAAATAACCATGTCCTTGTTCAGTCGAATAACTGAGCATTATACCATTAATCAGTTGATTGTCGAATCGGAAGCTACTGTTGAGTTCAGCTATAAGCATACTCCATGTTTGTTGCACGATAATACATACTTTGAACTAAGTTTTATTATACTTCAAGATGATTGAGCGAACACAAAGACTCCATTATATTTTTCTTCCTAAAGATAAATTCTTAAACATCTGTTTTGAGTAGATTAAAATAGAATACATTCGCAAAAAGTAACATCACCTAAATAATGATCCGATGATTGATCATCATCCAATTATCTTACTGTATTCTATCATTAAAATTACAGAAAATATTAATAAGACATTTTCAGTTCATGTGAATATGATTATGTATGATGCTATCAAAAATTATATGATTAAGTAATTTTTAATATTCAGTTATGATATTATTGTGAATACATTTATTTTACTCACCTCCTATAGGATTTGAAAGTGATAAACTTATCAGAGCAAGTCCATCGAACCAGGTGAATAAAGTCCACAAATCGTTTTGATTAGTGACTTTTTTATTTGTGACATCATTTTTATCTATTAAATCTGTTAAAGATGCTGAAACTTGTGCTTGTATCGATAACAAGCCGCCTCCAATAGCTCCATCAAATAAACCAGGAATAATTGTCAACCATGGATTTGCTTGGAGTTGGACAATCACACCTGTTAAGTAATAATATATATATATATATATATATATATATATATATTAATATCATGAATAAAACACAATTAATGAAAATTCCTGTAATGACACTTTCTGTTAACATGCATTACGTATAGAAGTATGGTAGAAGTTTAATTAAATTTAATTATTTTGTTGGTTTTATGGCGACCCAATTTAATAATATTTACTTCCTTTTATTCATTTGCTAGAAATAACATTTTAGCAAGCTAATAATGGAGTTTATCCCTAGATACGGTGAATAAACCATTGTAAACAAATATTGTACCGCTGATTGCATCAAGCGCTGATAAGTGTTAAACAAACAGTGTTAACTAGATAGCACTGGACAGCGGAATTATCGTAGTATGAGACGCCTAAGCGATGCGCTTCCATGGCTTCCTCACATAGTATCAAACTCAGGACTTTTGATATTATACGCAAACACTTGGGACCAAGATCACTAAGCTGTCTTCTAATGATTTGCATATTTGACTTTAAATAATTTTTCATATCGAGCAAGCGACTTCAAGTGTACGTGTTCAGTAACTGCCTCACATTCATTTCAGTTTGTTGAGGATGCTAGATCCCCAGAAATTACTTCGAAAACCTTCTAAGTTCGTGATTTATTCTTGGGAATTCTAATTTCTCGTTTTTGAGTGAAAAGCGCTCCACGTCAACCTCAGATTATGCTTCCTACTTGGAATGATCTCACACCTTATTGGTCGGTTTTCTCATTTAATGCGTTATTTATAGCTCTTACAATGACCCTTTCTGTACTGTGAATATTGTGCTTGAATTGAATTCTTGTTACTTTGTTCGCTTGAAGCTGCTTACTGATGGTTAAGGAGTGATGAGGATCGATTTAAATTCGATTTTATCACTCAGGATGATGCTTGAAAAATTCGGATATAGGTTTCGGATATGTATGATAAATGGTACAATTCGATTCAGTTACCGAAAACACCTGATGGCTAATTTGCTCATACCATTCGATCATTGAGTCAGCAGTTCGAAGATAATTCTTCATTACTCATCACGGGTTATCGGTGTTCAGAAGTGGCCATAAATCAAGATGCTAATCTCCTTAGGTTCGTTGGCATCTTTAACCGCAAATGTGAACGGTACTATGTGAAGTCGTTGTCAGTCATCTTCATCTACAGTCTACAATCTCAGCCAGTTAGTGATATTAGGACGCAGCTATTATGTCGACTATACCAGGACCCCAAGTCAACCTTGAATGATATTATAAATGAATATCAACGCCTAATTTACTTACAGCTTGATACTACGATAGTTCGGTTTGGAGGTTAAAATCGCTCTGAAGTTCATGTGTTCCAGCAAACAGTCAATGCTGTCAAAACTGAACCTGCTAAAAGTATCTCAGTACAGTGATGTGGCATTTTGTACGAGCCTGTCCCTTCAAGAAGCATCGCTGCAGAAAATGTAATTGTATTAGTCAGCTGCAAAAATCAAAGCACTCACCACATCTATCCCGAAGCCCATGTAAACCTGCTTCCAGACCCTGCACTAATACACTGAGACTACTAGCATCTTGAGGAGCTCAGCCCTAAGGCGAGCTAAAATTCACTACACATGGTATAAATAGGCATTTGTTTAGATTGTTGACCCTTCAAACGGGATACAATCAAAGTAGAAGGGCTGATAATGACAGGTTAAAAGTCAATAACAGTCAATCAGGATCGAGGTTTAAAGGATAAGCTTCGAATCCTACGTGGAAAAATTCAAATACTTCACTACTACCTGATTATATTGTTGTTCGGAAGAACAATGAAAGCTCCATAACCAAAAACCATAATCATCCACCTGAGCTAAAAATTTTCGCCACCATCTTAAGTATAATAATCTAACCATATAACATACTAACAATTAACAGTTGAAGCTTATTCTTTTGTGATCATTTTCTTTATCAGGTGGTTCATCGGTTAGTCAAGCAGTTTGGTTGTATTTTATTTATACAAGCAATGTTACGGTATTTGATAAAAACACCTACTAAGTGTGATTATTTGTAATGCTTCTCCGATAATCATGATGCCTAATGACAAACGGCGGCCAAAATGATCAGATATGTAACCCATTATCATAGTGGTCAATAAGCCAAATAATAATCTCACTGAATGATTGCATGCACCAATCCAAGCAGCTCTGCGTTGACCTTTTTTAAGTAAAAGTTTATCTGACTCGTTGCTAAAATAGAAAAATAATGCAGAAACCGATGTTCAACAACAAGTGCACTACTGCATAATATGCTAAAATAAAGGAAAACATTTTCAAACCAACACAGAAAGGTAGACGTATACTAATGAGCAAATTAATGCATGATGTACATTATTATCGTGAATATTTGAATCGCTAGTCAAATACCCTAATCAGCTTATCATGCTTATCAGACAATAGATTTATAAAAGATTATAAAGTCAGATATTTTACACCGATATGACAAATGATGAACGTGATCCTGTAAGTCATTGTGCTGAAATAGAATCTAGGTGAAAGTTGTTGCTTACTTTCACCATTATATGACTGCAGATATAAGTGCATCTGAGAAGCTCCGCTTTTTAAAAGCAATGAACTCAACTAATCAAGCTTACCTTGTCAGCAATGCAAATTTTCCATCCTTTACTTCATATGATAAACCTTCATCTATTGCACATCTAAATATTAAAAAAGAAACCAATTGAAAAACTGTAGTATATAAAAGACAACTGAATGTGGTTTCACTAACTAAATTGTTTATTTATAAATTCAGAATAAAATTTAATTTCATGTCCAAGTAAAAACTTTATAGTGCACAATTCGATGTAATATCTGTTAATGTGTCTAGTTTATATAGTATCACTCTTGTACAAAGATTTTGACGATATATATATATATATATATATATATATATATATATATATATATATATCAAGAGACAATGCAGATTGAATGAACTGAATTGCTGTGAATTGCAAGAATTTCAGAAAATTCATCCTTAAATTATCATCTATACGATTCAGACAAATACAATATAATCAATGTACATGCTTCCTTGTCATTCATAAAACGCTGAGATCAAGTCTATTAAACTAGTTATTATGATCCAACCATTTTATTTTGACCATGATTTTGTCATATTTCACTGCAAAGTACTTTTAGCACTAATGTTTAAATTTATTCTTTTAATTAGTGTTTTATTACCATAGAGCGTTTTAAGTTGTATAAATACCGATTATTACTTATAAATTGTAATCGTTTGATTTAACAGTTGATTTTTAATGACTACGCTTCTATTTACTATGTATACTCGAATGTTTTCAAATTACATTCACTTAACCCCGTCGATCACATAGAACACACTCCTTGATAAATGAATTAAAGGTTTGATATAGAGGTAAGGATATTTGATGTTAAATGTTAGATTGTTTTATGAACAAGATTGTTGTCACTTCTATTGCTTTGATATAAAAGCTCGTACGGTAAAAGTTGACTTTAACTGGCACGATGTTTTCTTTATTGATTACGTGAATTTCAAATATATGTTCCAATAAATTAATGAATACATTGACTATAGAAAATAGCTTGATTAACTTACCTGTAAAACACATACTGATCCGATATAAAAAAACACAATTCCAACGATATGTACAAAGGAATAAGTAACGTGGCTAAAATTGTTAAAAATTTATTTCTAGGATTCCAAAAACCACCACATTTCATCATGTTAATATCAAAAGACCTTGAAAACTTTGCACAACTTTTTTTCATAAAATATATATGTAAATTTATGAATTGAATAACAACTACTTTTCCGTTTTGTATTTTAGTTGTCTATTAAGTATTATGTGAATGTAAACAAAGTAATTTGGACCCTTGATGGTTAACAGTAATTGACAATGCATAAATATGTATAATTAATAAAAATTATAAATTGTATGAGACTATTTATATTAATTCAATAGTCTATGTTGTAAGAATCAATAAGCTTGTATTTTCATTAGCTGGCAATAAAATATATTGTGGGTGGTAAATTTCAAAAACATTAGGAACTGCAATAACTAACTCTTAAAGCGTCTAAATGTAAGTAACTGTGCTTTAGGTATTAAGAAATTACACACTTCCGGAATATGATAATAACATTGAAGCGTTAATTATTCAGATTTAAAAAAAAATTACGCAACTAAATTATGTGTACGTAAAATACGAGTTAAAATATGTCATTTTGCTCTTAGACCAATGATAGTTCAAAGATTGTCTTAAGATAAATAAAATTCACTGAGATAACTTTCAGAAATATGTTTATATTTAGTGATGGGTTTCATAGTGAACTAATATAGAGCGAATTTTAGAAGACCTTCTGTTTTAATAATTTTTTGATTTGAGGTGTCAACCTGATGAAGTTTACCTAGAGAGATATATTGTATTTCATTTGAAATCTATGCTTTCTCAGTAATACAGCATCTTTTTTCCATTTTCTGAGATTAACTAATTTTGACAAATACATGTATATTTATGTACAGTTGTAGATAATATGCTGGGGATATCTATTGTACTTTGTTTGCCTCGACGAACAAGTTTTGTACACAAAACTATAACTCCTGTGGTACATAATCTTCAGCTGATTTACTGTACAACATCGTCAGTTTCAAATTACACACACTTTTCCAGTTTATTGGGGTCAGATATCCTTCATATTCTGTAGCATAGATTTTTAATTAATGATCGATTTATTGTACAAAAGTGGGTTCAATTTCGATAAAACCCTCTGCACATACATTTTAGATCAGCTGAATGTTACGTCATTCAGTCCTTCATCATTTGCACTGGAACATCAAAAAGTGAAACTTATCATTCTCTTTATTTCCCAATATAAATTGTACATATCTGAACCATATTTTAAAGCTTCAGCAGGTGATTTGCATGTCGCTAATTATCACATACGATAAACACACTGACTGACTGACTAAACGTACTGCCAAGATATCGCAAATAACACTATCGTTTCATTACTTTCTTCTTATCTTGATTTTCTGAAGATTAGCTGTAAAAATGTTAATTAGAACCAGATGTAAAGGACATGCCATCAGTTTGCTGATATATCACACTACCAAACCGATAGTGAGCATCAGTCCTGCACGAAAGTAGCAGTCGTCTGAAATGCGCTACTGATGCAGTTGGAATTGAATAATAGAGAGAGATTGTATGTATGGTCTGAAGATGTATTTTGTTAAATAATGGTTTTTATCTCAAAGATGTTTATATGATTCAGTTCTAGCTTTTGTGCTAGTCCATACGTAACTATGTGGAAATGGGAACTGATCATTGATAAAATAGTGCTGGGTGTATCATTATATTTATCCAACTGTTGTAGATCAAGCAGACAAGCTAAACGAGGCCTTCGAGGATTTAGATCATGCTAGCTGGAGCTATCAAGCATTTTCATACTCTAAAGTCCCTCAACTGTGAATATGAATTGTTTTTAAATTGAGTTGATCAGTCTCCGTCTACATGTATCAATATTCTTTCTGAATCGGTAGTTGACAATTTTTGTTATTTTAGTAACATGGTGAACTGTGTCCATTAACTTGATAATTTAATCTTTACTTGGTGATAATATCAATTTTCGGTTTCTTTAATTCTGTCTCATATCAAAAGGACAGGATTCCTGACCACTTTTTGGGTGTGAAAAGGCATCTATTAGCCGCCCTTTTCAGTTTTCAGTGAACGTGGAATTCGAGTTGTCAGCCTAAAGATAATAGACTAATCACATGGTTTGAATGTTTCTGATATAAATTGTCGCAAAGTGGTGAGTGAGCACTAATATGTAATCGTAAGCAAAAACCAAATGTATCTTGCGACCTAGTTTCTTATGTTTGTCCAAATAAAATCAGTCTGTTGAGAAAACGAAGTATAATCTTATTGTGAAATTTAATTTACGTAATTTAAGCTTGGTTATTCAATAAAACTGGTTATTGGCGGCACAATATTCCCACACAAATGCACACACAAAGCTACATGGATTTCACCGGACCACACTACTCACAACCAAATCGACCATATCTGTATCAACAAAAAGTTCAGAAGGACTATGGAGGATGTGGGAACCAAGAGAGGAGCTGATATAGACTCAGATCACCACTTGCTGGTCGCTGTAATAAGATTGAAACTCGAGAAACACTGGACAACGGGGCAGACAATACGGCCTTTCTTCGGGATACCGTAAAACTCAACGAATTCAAGATATCCCTCACCAATAGGTTCCAGGCCTTTCAGGATCTGCTCATTGGAGAGGAAGCAACACTGGAGAACAATTGGAAAGGGATTAAGGAGGCAATCACTTCAACATGTCACGAAGTTCTGGGTCACAAGAAGTACCATCACACGGAATGGATCTCTGTTGATACTCTTGCAAAAGTTGAAGAAAGGAGGAACAAGAAGGCAGCAATCAATGTCAGCCGAACAACTTCAGAGAAAGTTACCTCACAAGCTGCATACGCAGTGGCAAAAAGGGAAGTGAAGAAGAGCATCAGAGCCGAAATACGAAAATATGTGGAAGATCTAGCAATGACGGTGGAAAAGGCTGCAAGAGACGGAAACTTGAGGCAATTGTACGAAACAACAAAAAAGCTCGCCAGAAACTATCGTAAACCAGAACGAACAGTGAAAAGCAAGGAAGGCACAGTAATCAGTAACACTGAAGAACAGCGAAATAGGTAGGTAGAGCACTTTCAGGAACTCTTGAATCGACCAGCTCCACTGAAACCACCCTACATAGAAGCAGCAACCACCGACCTCCCAATCAATTGTGCTCACCTACAATTGAAGAGATCAGTATGGCCATCAGACAAATCAAGAGTGGCAATGCAGGAGGACCAGACGACATCCCAGCAGAGGCAATGAAAGCAGATGTAGAAGCAACTGCGAACATATTTCACATTCTCTTCAACAAGATTTGAGATGAGGAACAAGTACCATCAGACTGGAAAGATCAAAATACTAAAGCAAGGCGATCTCAGCAAGTATGAGAACTACACAGGCATCACTCTTCTTTCAATAGCAGGCAAAGTCTTCAACAGGGTATTGTTAAACAGAATTAAGGACTTCGTAGACGCCCAACTTCAAGATCAACAGGTCGGATTTCTTAAGGATCGATCGTGTATTGACATTACGGATCATTGTAGAACGATCAATTGAATGGAATTCACCACTCTACATCAACTTCATCGACTACGAGAAAGCATTCGATAGCGTGGACAGGAAAACACTGTGGAGGCTTCTTCGAAACTACGGTGTGCCTGAGAAAATAGTTAACACCATACGGAATTCTTATGATGGATTCAACTGCAAAATCGTACACGAAGGACAGCTAACAGACTCTTTCGAGGTGAAGACCGGTGTCAGGCAAGGTTGCTTACTCTCACCCTTTCTCTTTCTCCTGGTCATCGACTGGATTATGAAGACGTCGACATCTGGAGGGAAGCACGGTATCAACTGGACAGTTAGGACGCAGATTGACGATCTGGACTTGGCAGATGAACTGGCTCTTCTATCGCACACGCAACAACAAATTCAAGAGAAGACGACCAGTGTAGCAGCAGCCTCTGAAGCAGTAGGTCTCAACATACATAAAGGAAAAAGCGAAATTCTGCGATGCAACACAACATGCACCAACCAAATCACTCTTGATGGAGATGCCTTGGAGGACGTTAACACCTTTACATATCTGGGCAGCATCATCGACAATCAAGGTGGATCCGATGCAGATGTGAGGGCACGGATCGGCAAAGCAAGGGCTGCATTTCTACAGTTGAAAAATATCTGGAACTCCAAACAACTGTCAACCGAAACCAAAATCAGGATTTTCAATACAAATGTGAAGACAGTTCTACTGTATGGAGCGGAAACATGGAGAACTACCAAAGCCATCATCCAGAAGATACAAGTGTTTATTAACAGCTGTCTACGCGAAATACTTCGGATTCGTTGACCAGACACCATCAGCAACAACGTACTGTGGGAGAGAACAAACCAGATATCACTGGAGGAGGAAATCAGGAAGAAGAGGTGGAAGTGGATAGGATATACACTAAGAAAAGCACTGGACTGCGTCACAAGACAAGCCCTGACCTGGAACCCTCAAGGCAAAAGGAAAAGAGGAAGTCCAAGGAACACGTTACGCCGAGAAGTAGAGGTAGATATGAGAAGAATGAACAAACATTGGACAGAACTGGAGAGGGAAGCCCAGGACATAGTGGGATGGAGAAAACTGGTCGGTGGCCTGTGCTCCATTGGGGGTAACAGGCGTAAGTAGTAGTAGTATTCAATAAAAGCATACATAATACGATAATATATTTGTAAGGTTTGGTTCAGTTCTTCAAAGTAAGCGCTGATGATGTCACCGAGGACGACAATCAAAGTTTATCATTTTAACCATCTATCTCAGATAATGAAATAATATCAAAGGTATCCACTTGAATTGTAAAGCACCATTGTTACAGTATCTAGATTATTTCGAAGTATTTTGAATCATACATGATGCAAAACATTATTTTTATTTAATACTCTTTTATTTGTAACTTGAAATATACATAAAAATTAATAAAATAAAGCATTTATATTTGTGAAAAAATGCACTCAATTATTCTTGTTTTATTTAATTACACAGCACTATTGCATAATGGTGTATAAATTTTCACAACTTATCAATCACAACGATGAGATTAATTTACTTCCTGGTTAAAATTTGTATCTCAAAATTTAAAAATTACAATTCTCCATTTAATCAGTGTGTTTTTCGAAATGCTTTTGATTACTTGAATAAAAATTCAACTAAGTAAAATCATTTCCTTTCGTATTCTTGTTAACCGTATTGGTAATAGCCTGTTATACAAAATGAATACAAAAAATTAATGTTATAAATTGCTCATTATTCACTTATTGACTTGAAAATGAAATTGTTGTTTTTTTTCTCAAAAATTCATATCGAAAAAGTTACTAGTGTTTCATGTGTGGTGGAATATTTGACGTAAATCGACGTAAATATGAATTAATAATGAGAAAATGATATCAATTTGATATTTGTACTTTTATTTAAATCATATGACAATAATTGTCATTTCATTCATTTTAAAAGGTGGTACATTTAGTCTTGACTAAACGGTTCATTATGTTTACCATATTCATCATAAGTTCACATCTGATTTCTTATAAACTGGTCATTTGTTAAAGGCATAGTGTTTATGTCAGGCTAACAATAAATGAATGATCTGTTCTGGTCAGGAATTAAACATTAAATCGAAAAAGTTGTAAGATGCATTCAAACAATAAACATTGACATTTGATCTCATATTGTTGTATTGAACAACAAGAATCAAATAAACACAATATTGATTAATACATTGGAACCAATCGATTTTAAATAACTCATTCTTAATGAAAATCATAAGTAGTCAAAGTAATGCGGTAGAAATGTCTAAAACTGAAGCTGTACTATACTGGTTCTAATCTAATAGAATAGGGAAGATTTGTTGAGTCAGGATTCAAAGTACATTTGATTGATGAGTATGAACTAGAAAGAAAGCTCATTTTAGTTTTTCCTATCTAATACGTTACACCACCCAACAGGTAACCAGAGTATTGTCCGTTCACAAAACTTTCATATTTCAACGATTTATGAGGATTACGTGGAGAGTTCTAAGAATAGGATATCTAGTGTAACATAATCACATCATACACATCTTGATAATATGCGCATATCGATACGAATCATTAATAAGAAAGGATTTTAAATTTCTTTCTGACCAAGTATTCCAATCAGTCATATCCTAAATGTGAAACTCACTCACTGATTTACGATGTAATGTTTGCTTGATAAACTTAACAAATTGTCACTGTTACAAATTAACCTCTATAAGTTTAAATTTAACAGTATTCAATTTTATTGAATTTCATAGAGTTCACATGTGACTGTAGTGTTTATGAATAAAGTATTCGACAGAGAAATATGTTTTCACATAAATTTGATGATTATTGTCTAAAAAATCAATTTAATTCTGTATCACTTATTTACAAAGACATTTTAACTAAATCAATAAACAGCTGTAAAATGTATTCAATAAGTTCAAGTTTTGTTACGTCATTATAAGATGTGTATAGCTTCACTTACTACAAAAAATACAAATAACATGATATTCAATTGAATATTCTTCTATTGGTGACTAATTAAGACTTACTCTTTGTTTGAATTAAGATAAGTTATTGATAATAAATTTTAATTTAGGATGACTTAAATTCAGTGTTATAAATGTATACAATGGAAACTTCACTGAGAGAAATTTGTAGATATTTTAGATAAGCAGTTTTGACAAATACTGCGCATGTTGTGAAAAATTTGATACATTGTTATTCTCACTATGAATTGTTCAAAATCACTTATTATTCATCAATAGAAAAACCATAGTTAATCCATCCATGTATTTGGTAAATTGTCTATGCACAGAAAATATTCATAATATAAAATAAATGAAATTGGCAATTTATACTAAACTTACACTCCAAAACAGATAGTTATCAATATGAGCAAAGCGCATACAAAGAAAACAGTGCCAGAGAAAATATTAACAGTTCCGGCATATATCAGTGGAAATACTGTTAGATTGATCAGAAATCCCATACGTGAAATAAATGCTCCAAGCGATAAGATAAAGCCTTTTTTTTAACAAATTAAATAACAATCCAACAAAAATTATGCTTAATTTTACAATACCAATTTATTTTTAAAAGTAGAATATTGAAGAAAAAAGACAAAAAGAAAACCAATTACAAGAATATTCACTAAACTATTATAGTCATTAATGAGAAATAGTTTATTGAAAAATAGAATGGGGTCGTAATGTGCTATTCGAAAAACTTAAACGTTTACTAAATGTTACACTAGAACTTAACAATCTATTTACCTGCTTACAACTTCATCACATATTTTTCCTGTTTTTTCTGGTAGCCCTGATGCTGCTTCCCGTGACATCGCTGGTGTAGGTATAGTTTTAAAACCTAGGGCAGAACTAGTGCTCCTAGACTGGATCCCAGTAGATAGTCGCTTGTGCGCTGTCCGACTAAACGGGACGGTACGGTCTCGTAAACATTGGGAAACTGGCCGTTGCCTCTTCGTCGTATCTGCCTACGCTCCCACTGACTGCAGTTCAGACGAGGAGAAAGATGAGTTCTACAGAAAGCTTTCGGACCTCCTCCAAAAAGCTAGGCGCTCTGATATAGTAATAATGGCTGGTGACTTTAATGCTCATGTGGGTAGACTAAGTGAAAAGGAAAGACACTTGGATGGATCTTGTGGTGTCACGTCTAATAGAACAGATAATGGCGAGCGTCTGCTGGATCTACTTTTAGGTAACCGCCTAGCACAAGCAGAAACATTTCTTGATCTGCCTCAAAACTTGTTTAGAATTATAAACAAAATCAGTCCGTGATAAAAAAAAAAACACGGCATCAAATTGCATTGAACTTCATATCACAGTTCGGGGTCGAAAGACAACTGTTTAACCAACAGGCATGAGATTTCGAACCGCTTCTCATATTTATATTCATGCATTCATATAAATAAGATTTATTAATTTTGAGAGCTTTCTAGCCAGCAGTACTTCTTTAAAATAACGAAACAGCTGGTGCTTATCTTGTCAAGAGACCTGAAACGAAACTGCATCATAAATGTACACCCTAGTTGCAGTTTATTCACATTTATTTGGCTATCCCACTACTTAGCCAAGCAAAATATCGATTTTATTGTTTATCCGTGTGTATTTATTGCAGCTATGATGTTTCTGGTTATGACTAGCTGTAGTTTGGTCGATTGGTGGGGAAATAACAAATGAGATCGATTTTTCCTGATTGGGTATAACGTGTATTTGTATCTTAAGCAGTAATAATGTTACATCTTTGTTATATCTGAAAGTTGAAGACTATTTAATTCAATTTACATAAATCTGACTGTTCATCTAACTTTATTGTATTCATGAATCATCCTAATTTATTTTGAGAGTCAGATAAATCCTTATTACCACTCTTTGAAATGAACTTTGCCCTTATTCTCTTTTATTATAGCTGTCGTGTAGATTTGAAAGAGGGTTATTTGAAACAGCTAGAAAATCAAATCGAACAGTTAATTAGAAGACATCATTTTTTTACCAAATTACTGTATTGTATGCCATATATCAAAAACAAGTTTTAGTGTAACGACCATTCTTAATGTTATGATCAACACACTTACATAAAGATGAATCACTATTGATATATATATATATATATATATATATATATATATATATATATATATATATATACTTCATTATAGAGTTGCGAAGATTGTTGAATTTCATTGAAACCATGAATCACTCAGTGTTAGACCACTATCAGAAACCTGAGAGCACTGGTCAGATGTTTCGCCCTAGTACGGGACTCATCAACAGTGCACATACACTATCCTTGTTCACGGGCAACAGAACCTAAGACCTTTCATAATTGATAGTGATACGGAATTGATTATGACATAACACACCTATTTATTGTAGTTAAAGACGAATCGAATAGCATAGTTAAATAATACCACGAATTTCAAAACTATTGTTTTGTATAGGCTTAACGCTCATACCACGACTACGAGATAAGAAAACATATATTTCATATTACAATAAGAAATTTTTAAGTCATTTGAAATTACCAATAACATACCCTGTTTGTCATTTGGTGTTATTAAAGAGATCATGGTTCGAATCGGCGCAATAAGTGTATTTTTCACCAATCTGACAGCTGATGCTTAAGAAAAAAGAAAGACAAACAATAGTGCTTACAATAGTCTGGCGGTTAGGATTTCAGTGAACCTTCATCTGATATTTATGTCTACTTTTGAATAGTTTGAAAAGGGAAGATAGTTCCTTAAACGTTAAAACACTTGATCCTCTAGTAACTAGTTCAAACTTTGAACTAACTAACTCTTTTGAGAATCGCGGTTAAGTTAACAGCTATCAGACGAATGAAATTTACTAGTCACCATGAATATAAACGCATTATTTAGTTAAGTAAATTACATGAATTAGTCGTTTAACATCTTTTGAAACAAATATGCACAATCCTCTATTTTAAAACCACATCTATTCTGTTAGAGTATCAGGAACCAAAATGTTTCGCTGGAAAAGGATATTCTGCATCTGATGTAGATGATTATTATCTTATCAGTGTTAATCATTATGTTAATTAGTTTGATAGCAAACTATAACGTTAATCAACCTAACATTATTTTGTAAATTCTTGTCAAAAACTAGTAACACAGGAAACATATTTACCTTACCTCCATAAACAATGTAATTGGCAACAGGTAAAGGAAATAAGAAAGCAATACCCATCAGTATGCGGTTAACCAGCATTAATCCAAATCCTATGAGTATAATAGCTGTATTCATGAATAGTACTCGCATTACTTTTGATGTGATTTCTATAGAGTTATATTCAGCTATATATTCTTTTGTTTCATTTGTACTGCATAATTGTAATAAACGGCTTTGTTCCAAGTTATAAATTGCTACGGTGAATGTGATGGACAAACATGCTGAAAGGGCATCAGATACACCTCTGCAACGAATAAAATTTGAACAAGAAAATCAGTTACATAAAAGTTTTATAGCTACTTAAGTCTAGTTTAAGTAAAAATAATATTCGGTTAAGTAACTGACATATCATTCCATCATAATTTTATTTAATGACTAGTTCGCTAATGATAAATTATCTGCATAATATGTGAAATACTTGTCAATACTAAAACTGATTACTCATTTTCTTGGTTTAACTTTTTAAATTGTGGAGTTTAACTAATACTACTGAAAATACTGAAGTAGTTTGATACTACCTTCCAATACTGATCAATAGTTCAGCAACCCAATGAAAAATGATCAGACACAAATAATCTTATACAATCTGTACAATAAATATGACGTAACTGAAATTTCAAAATGCCCAATACTTGTTAAATACAGTTCAAGCAAAGGTCACAAGGGTTACAATCCAATAAGAGGTATTTATACTAGACTAAACGATTACAGATAACATGAAACTCGGTCACTAATGTGGAATAATGAATAGAAAGACGTTGAAATGAAGTCCATGAATCTATTTTCATTCATGTGGTGTTGATCTGTAGTTAAATATCCTCAATAAAAGAATAAAATTCACACATATGGTTTCATTCATCTATCATTACTACTTACTTGATTGACACACAATTTTTCTGAGTTATATGATTTTTAATAGTTATGTTAGTGATCATGGTGCAATCTTATATTAAAATGAAGAACTAATAATAGTATTCACAATTCGTTAGTACATTAGTTATTGGAAGCATACATTCGGCGGTATATTGATGCCAACAATTCTTACCATATTCCTTGTTTTAACTCTAATGGAAATCATAAAACAATCGAAATTTGGACACTGTCAAAAACCTGGAAGCACTAAACGGCCGTTTCTCCGTAGAATGAAACTCCTGAGCGGTGTGCGTCCATGACCCCATCACAGTACATTGGACCTTGGACCTACGGGAACGCTTAACTTATCGACACTTGAGCCAACATCCAATGCCGTTAACATAGACCTTCATTTCGCTAAGCATCAAAATCGCATGTTTACTTAAGTTGCTGTATAAAGACTTTCTAACTTCATGTTCTACGAGATTGTTGTGGAGTAATCATCAATATGAAATTCAGATACCATTATTAATACCGCTAACAGCTTGAGTGAAATGACAGACGTACAACCAAATATATATTCAGATCATATCATAGCATCATATCGTATTTATTAAGGTTCCTTATGTAAAGAGGACCATCCTATTCATTTTTAAATTTATCAAAACATACATCATTAATTTGCGTAGATCATATTTATCATAAGTAAACCAGAAACAACTTTATACATTTCATAATCGCACCATGGGTTTACTGAAGTGATCATCAACCTAGCTTAATAATCACTATATTGTTTACACTATTGATACTACAATAGAATCAAACAAGTAGTAATAACATATGATATTCAACTACAAAACTTTTCATGCTTGAGAGAACAAGAAAATAATTTTCACTGTGCTAACAAAGTAAGCGAAAGCACATTGAAGAAAAGCAGCTGATTTTAATGTTTCAAATAAACCTGCTCTAAAATTGTTTCTACCAGAATCTAGTTTGAGGAGTTAAGACTCGAAACAAACCTGTCAACAATCATGATGATTCACAGTTGAATCTAGAAGTAATATTTTCAGCGTTACTTTCTGTGATGAATTCATAAATAATATTATATCTGGTTCATTTTAAAGTATAAATTGTCAAGAAGATTATATTTTATAAATATTTTTTTGTTAGTTCCAGTCACATGAATGAGAATTTTAATTTGCGAACAACTTCGCATTAGCATCACATACATTCCTCCGTTATATACTCAATATTTTTAAAACAAGGGTTTCAACGCGTGAAATATCAGGATTGACATTAGTGTAGACAAATTATATTATGATTTTGTAAAGCATAAAATCAAATTATTCTGTTAACTAAATAACTCTATTAATCGGTAGTTAACTCGCAATAGAGTAACATTGAGCTCTACTGGTGAATTCCTAAAGAAATTTCATTTCTTTCAGTGATTATTCCAAATAAATTATGATTCATTATTGCTATCCATCAAATACTGAGGAGTGTAGATATAACACTGTAAAATAAATCCAAAAAGATAATATAAGAGATCAACATGATTGAAATAAACAGTATAAATTGTGTATCTGAGTTCGATGCAACAATAATAGAAGGTGAAAAAAAACAGCTGTGAAATGGTCAATGATTTTCAGGGGTTCCCGAACTTACACCATCCAATCAAATAAAGTACTTTCAAAGATATTGAAAAAGTTACTGATCATTATTAAGTAATATATAAATCAATTTATAAGTAAACTTTGATATATATATAATTCATTCACTTATAAATGAATGTGTTCGCGGTGAATATTATTGTGATTTGATCTGAGTAGGTTTGATCAATGAATGGAGAACTGTTTGTCTAATCTATTTTAGTGGGTAAAATAAAAAAAAATAATAAACTTATTGCTTATCAGCATTTAGTTTATTTAGCACTCACGCATACAGTCCAACCGTCTGTGCATTCCAATAAAATGGAGAACCCATCAAATATATGTGGATATACTGTAGATCTGCCACAACTGTTAGAGATACAGAAAACAGCAGCGTCATGACTATTCGTGATAAAGGACTAGAATGTTGAATCGCCTGAAACAAAAGTCATAAAAATATATTAAAATAATAATAATCTAGCATTCAGGATAATTACGAGTTTATGCGCAAAGCTTACATTACCATTAGATCCAGAATTCAGTAACCATACTTTACAATAAAACTTCTTATGATTCACATTTACTGCATGTGCATCTCTTCTGTTTTCACTTAATTTCATGTCGTGTTTTAAATTTAGAGTGCGCCTGCACTCCATCATCACATCTTAGAGGAAGAGGGATGTATCCCGTTTCATTCCAGCCAAGACATGAGTACCGATTTTATAAGCAAACTGTGACTGAAATCCACAGGAATAGTGAACCTTTGATTAAAAGTTTCCATCCTTGAGTCACCCAACCAACATAGGTAGGAAAATCATCAGTAGGTAACTTGGACAGTTTTAAGAAAGTGTAACGGTTGCTGAATAAAGATGATTTGTCGCCAAAATTTTCGGATGGATACTGTCTATGTCATCAGAAGTAATATCCCTGGCCAGTTTCAGCAGAAAAAACTGTATACTCAAAGTGTCTACTTGTTCCCAACTTTTTGATGAAAACACAAACTAATGTACAATTTTAAATAAATTTTCATAATTGTTGCACCAGGCATCGAATGAAATTCCATTTTTGGGATCGAAAATAAATTTAGCAACCGTCCTTAGCACAACTTTATTTGATAATTCACACACATTAATAAGACCATTAATTATACTGTAACAGTTAATAATGGTCTAACAGATAGAACATTGAGTTGCCGGATCATTTTATTTCTTTCACTCAAATTATTATTTCCTGACTGCAAAGGATTAATCAATTTGGTGGACATAAAACTTTACCTAATAAAAAATTATAACTTACCTTAAACATTTTTGTACAGACTTCTAGTATTTTAATTATAAGTCTACATGTTTTAATTTCCAAGTAAAGTAGACCGTCTTCAGTATATCTAGATTCACTTTGTTTACAAATAGTAGTAATGTGCGGATTATGTCGTTTTGATACATCAGCATTGGTCTCGGGAAGAATAGTTAATCCGATCACTGATGTAGTATATAATGCAATGCATACAGTAACGGCAAAACCAAAACCCCAGCGGTGTATCAATATACCTTTAAAATATATATATATATATATATATATATATATATATATATATATATATATATATATATATATATATATATATCTGAAACAGTTTCCAGCCAACAAATAGAAAATATCAGTAAATGATACGTAACATGTCTCAGTAAATGACCTTAAGATGGGATTTGTATTACAGCACATATATAAATCAAATTAGTACTTATAATTTTCCCTATTCTATTAGAACACTTCATGGTGCAGTGCAACTTAATGATCCGGTAGAAAGATGAAACATTTATATATTTTCGTTCCGGTGTAAAATGAAATTAAAAATGTTAGTTTACAAGGGAAACTGTCTTCCTTTTGTATAAACCAATGTAAATGGTGTTGGTAGGACTTGCCAACATTCAGAACTTTCATTTCTACAAATTCATAAACTTTTTGGTTGACATAATCACAAGCATATCGATTAAACAGTTCAATCATAATCCACACAGTCTAAACGTACCATAAATAATTTGTTTGTTTTTTTATAACTGTAATTTACACTGTTTGTAGTGACTTGCTGTGATAAGCAACCAGATGAAGCGCCGAATGTTTCGAGCTGTAGAAAGACAGCTCACTAGAGTAAAGCAAGTAGGTCAATGCAGTCAAAATAAGTTGAATAAATGGAATGACATTTAGTTTACAACCTACCCATCCTGACTATTTCTTTTATGACACTTTTTTCTCCTATATATATATATATATATATATATATATAATCTCATGAATAAACATGAGTTATAAAATTTCCATCTCAAATAAAACTTTACTTTTCGACCAGTGATTCGAAACTGATGTGACCACACTCTAACACCTTAGACTGAATCCAAGATTTCGAATCCATTTTCAACCGAAAATCAGTCTAATGATAAGTTCAAGTGATTGGCGAAGAAGTGACAGGAATAAGACAAACACTATTGATAGCCTAATTATATATACAATAATGAATGCCTGTAGATTCACTTACTCAATATACTTCCTTTATCGCTTTCAAGCTTCTCATTTGAGTGACCTATCGGGGTTTTGCATGAGAGGATTGCGTTTCAGTGTCAAATCTTGGACAGCAGACGTCACAACAAAAATCAAAACCGTAGTATGGGATGATAAAGAGAGTTTTTAATTCATCTCAAGTTTGTTGGCCAAGGCAAAGTGTTTTCTTTTATCGAAATTACCTTACATAGATTACGTTAGACTTTTTTCACTGATTTTACACAACATTCAAAATTCTATATTTATTATTTAGATGATGCTGTGAGCAAGTATTTACGTTGTTGTCACTGTCATCCTAATAAATCTTTTCATAATTTCATCGAATAAAATATACTCGAATTTTTATTTTTCACATAATTAATAATAACTGTCTTATAAATTTATCTTAAAAGTCGACATCCTACACGAACAGACTTACTTTATCATTTTTTTTTAAATTAATAACTAATCAGAATATTTATTCGAGAATATTTTTCAAAAATAAAGTTTGGTAATAGTGAAATAGAGTAGTATGGAGTCATCAGGTAAGTGTGTCAATTGATTCTCATTGATGCACTGATGTTCACGTCGGAACTCGGATGTACTACCTATCACTTTTAATGTATCCAAGCATTTTCCATTGAGCTCTCGAGTTCATGTTCTCATACACTGTGGGATGTATTTTACTATTTATCTGTAGTAATTTGGATTACTTCCTTGTCATTTAATGATATTGCCAAGGTAATCCGCTCATGTTATACATATACCAAAAGTGGCTCATCACAATCTAGTGCTTAACATCACTAACTAGAAACATTTCATTAACTTGTTCCGTAAGTCATGATTAATAACCCAATAGTGTATAATATTGATTCATCAGACCATGATTATACTCAGAAGTTGGATAAATTAATAATATTCGAAAAAGACAAATTCTTTATTCATTAGATTAGTTAAAAAATCTTAATTATCGATTATTTGTCTAGCAGTTGTTTAGTAACCCTTTACTTATGGAAGACTAGTATTACATATGTTGCAAAAAATATATAAACAGATACAGAGGCAAATCAAATGATCTAATCATCAAGACAGCGACTAAAAGCAGCCATAGAGAAAATATACTACGCTGCTAAACTAACTGTAAATGAAAAGATTAAGCCCATGATTTCACATAGACCTAAACGTTGCTCGAATGATTACATCACATCCCACCGCATTTATCAATTTACATGTTTGTGTAGACATACATACATCGGAAGGAGTAATAGGACTTTGCAATCAAGGATTTTTCTCACTTTTACCATAGTACATCATATAACAAACCTAAAATTCGTCATTCTAAATAGTTTCGATATATATCAACAGACAGCAAGATTCAGGATGCCATGTATCCAGTTTACTACTATTATCATTATCTTATTGTCCAGGTGGAATTTCATATATTTCTTACCTCCAAATAAACTGCCACAAGCATGACTCACACTTGCTAAGCTATCATACATTGTAAAGAATAACCATCTGTATTCTGTAGACACATATTGTTGACTTGAAGTTGAACTTTCGGAATTTTCATGAGATTCTTCATGTTGTACAGTAATATCAGCTAAACATGCAGATATTTGAGCAGTGACAGATAGTAGACCACCACCGAAAATTCCTTCAAATAAACCAGGAAAAACAACTGTCCAAGGATTCAGATCTAAGCAGACTATAAAACCTGAATAAAGGTTATAAAAAAAGAGATATAGTTCAGAATTATTTTCAAACATTCAACTATTAACACTCAGTGAGAACAAATTTACTTTAATTTTTTCCAAATTTTTTTTTGGGAAATAAACTTTCTACAGTAATCATTATTAAACCAGATTAGTTTTCATTTAAACAGAAAACAATATGATTTGAAAGTGGATAAAATGATCGGTAAGAAAGATAAGTACTTACTCATTAGGCCAATGTATAAAGCTTCACCGAAAACCAATATACCTAAAGCAATTTTACGTCCGAATCTATCTGATATATATCCAATAATCAGAATTGTTGCTAATCCAAGACTTAAACGTGTAAAGTTACTGATAGATTTTATCCAAGCAGCTTTCGTTTGAACTAATTTCAATTTTCGATCATCCTCTTTAGATCTATACATCATTTTATTTGATTAAAAAACTTGAAGTTATTGATAACTTTATAAGATAGAAAAACAAGTAAAAAGCTGATGAAATTCTAAATGACCATAGTAAAACTGTTGATGAAATTTGTTACATGATTAGCTGAACATGCAACACAGATAAGCTTTAGTATTAGACAATCAGTGACCATCGGGTGGAACTTGTTCAATAGTTACAATATTGTCTGCATTTACACCTCTTATTAGCTGAACTAAACAAAGTGGAGATTTCAGTTTAATGTCAGTGTTCCAACGAAAATCTAGTTGACACTTAGTTTTATGGTTAAAATAATTCAAACCTCAATAATTCATAAATTTTGCTCTTTAAAAACTACCAAGTCTTGGTCATACAGATGTTGTTTCTACAAAATGTGAATAAATGGTTCGCTATAAGTTACATTATTCTACATCCTGAAATGCTGTGTTCACGAAAATTAAGTGAAATTTTTTTTTTCGGACTAATTTCAAAGACAGCAATATTTTGTGAAATAAGTTCAAATTTAGCATTAGGATATTCAGATTACAATCAATATCATGTCAGACATTTATAAAATGTAATATCACTGTAGTATATATAATGCTACGTTTAAATATTATTTATTGTTCCCTTTGTTGATTGTCTCCAACTATTTGACAAGTATTATATTTCATATTTGTCATATATTATTCGAAGAATTAATGAACAAACAGTGAGTGCAATTATAATTAGATTAGGTCGGATCAAATTCAAATAAACGTAATAATTTGATTTTCTTAATTTTTCTTATACTACTTACAAGCCGTTTCTGCTAATTTTATTAAAAAGATGACCATAAGGAAGGCCATATTCCATTAAATATCTGTAAGATAAATAAAAAATGAATACAACCATAGAATAATTTGTGCATTTTCATACAACAAAAAGCAATGGTACCTATGAAAAACTTTCTATAAAAATAAATTTTAATTTTTGAGTACTTCTTGATCTGATAGTGAATAGGACCTTCTAGTCAATGAAAATACCAATAATGAAAATATCATACGAATCTCTATCAGTTGCATATTTTTTTCAATTTCTGAAATAATAATCATCTCACACGTTGAATAAAATAATTCAATTCCATCAAATTACTATTCTTTATAGCTTACAAATCGAAAAAATCTATCACTAGTTCATGACAAATTTTTGCATCAATATCTATTGGTTACAATAAACAAATGTGAAAAATATCTAGATCAATAATTTTATTCGACGTCGGAGCTAAGTTATCGATTAAGATTTGTTACATAAATATCAATTTGAATTTGAAATAAAATCAGATAATTTTGAGATATAAGATAATCACTGGAGGCAGTTGAAAGGATAGCTTCAATCCAGGTTTCGAGTTATCTGTATTTCTGAGCAAGGTGCACTTATTTTCTTGTGGGAACTGGTGCTTGTTGGGGACTTTAGATTCCCAGAACTCACTTGGTAAAGGCTCTAACTTCGGACATTATGTTTTTGTGCAAGGCTACTTACTCTCACCCTTTCTCTTTCTCATGGTCATCGACTGGATTATGAAGAGGTCGACATCTGGAGGGAAGCATGGAATCAACTGGACAGTTAGGACGCAGCTGGACGATCTGGACTTCGCAGATGAACTGGCTCTTCTATCGCACACTCAACAACAAATTCGAGAGAAGACGACCAGTGTAGCAGCAGCCTCTGCAGCAGTAGGTCTCAACATACATGAAGGAAAAAGCAAAATTCTCCGATGCAACACAACATGCACCAACCAAATCACTCTTGATGGAGATGCCTTGGAGGACGTTAACGCCTTTACATATCTTGGCAGCATCATCGACAATCAAGTTGGATCCGATGCAGATGTGAGGACGCGGATTGGCAAAGCAAGGGCTGCATTTCTACAGCTGAAAAATATCTGGAACTCCAAACAACTGTCAACCGAAACCAAAATCAGGATTTTCAATACAAATGTCAAGACAGTTCTACTGTATAGACCGGAAACTTGGAGTACTACGAAAGCCATCATGCAGAAGATACAAGTATTCATTAACAGTTGTCTACGCAAAATACTTCGGATTCGTTGGCCAGACACCATCAGCAACAACGTACTGTGGGAGAGAACAAACCAGATTTCACTGGAGGAGGAAATCAGGAAGAAGAGGCGGAAGTGGATAGGACATACACTGAGAAAAGCACTGGACTGCGTCACAAGACAAGCCCTAACCTGGAACCCTCAAGGCAAAAGGAAAAGAGGAAGTTCAAGGAACACATTACGCCGAGAAATAGAGGTAGATATGAGAAGAATGAACAAACATTGGACAGAACTGGAGAGGGAAGCCCAGGACATAGTGGGATGGAGAAAACTGGTCGGTGGCCTGTGCTCCATTGGGTGTAGCAGGCGTAAGTAAGTAAGTAAGCAAGGGCTGATCAGTTGATCTTGAGATTACATTTCGCACTCGGAAAATCCTTGGATGTTATTAGTTGATGTATTATTTTTTACGCTATGTTTGTGCCTCTCCCAAGGATGTTTCTAACATGTATAAATAAACTTAATTGGTGTACTTAAAAACCGCATATTTTCTGGGTGCTTGTCCAATACACTTTCTACGACTTCTTCCTCTGCTTAAGGGGTCCTTGTGACGCTCGGATTACAGTAGCCTATCGTGTCACTGGATAATTTGTCTTCGCTGTTGTTTACTGACTAAGGTGAATGGTAATAGTGTCAACGATTCGGCTACAAATCGGTGGTCACCGAGTAGCAACATTATTTTTTGATTATCCTGAACGAACGTGTTTATGTATTCACGTTTCATGATCATTATCCTTGAAAACGTTAATTATTTGAAGTAACTGAAACTTAAGAAGTTTCAGATAGGTATTGTATCTATATTTACAGCCAAGGTAACACAGAGGATTAAATCCATGTAGTGTGGCCAAGAGCAGAACATCCTCGAATTACGCAAGCCCTTAGAAAAATGATTTCGGAAAAGATAATATATTTTCAGCGATTTCAAGTCCAATTACAATTTATTGTTATTTAATTGTGTTCTTTAAGAAAGAGTGATATACCTCGAGTCTGTAATGTTTTACAAGGATATTATTTATATTATATCTAAATTATATTTATGATTTGGGCTAATCTGAAACATAATATTTCACAAATTTTGCGACAAAAATATTTGAGTTACCGTGGTGTTTGCCCTAATCGATAATTTATTTTGTACATAATTCTGTTACTAATTTGAGTTCCAGATACGGTAATTCCCGTTGTACTCAATATTTTCTCCATAATTATTGGTATCTACAAGACTCTTAGCCATCCAGATTTCATTCTTATTACACTGATATTCCGACTGAATTAGTTCCTAGACAGTTGGACATTTATTCAAGCGAAGAGGTCTTTAAAGACTAAGTGAAACTATTTGAAATTCAGCGCAAGAGCAGGAAAGACATTAATGACAAGAAAATGTCAACCTGTTCCCTGACATTCATTGGTAAAGTTGACTATTACCTGGTGAATAATTTGATTTTTTTAATCAGATTAATTTCACTGTTGTATGAAACTTTCAATGGATTAAAACTCAACAATGTGCATTTTGTTAGTTTTGAATGTAGAGAAAAACAATCATAACTTCATTCAATTGTGTGACAAAATGATCAGAAAGTTGAATACCTTGTACTTAAATTGTTGAAACAGGTTGCTAAATTTGATTTAGGAGAACACGTTGGAAATCCACCTTAGTAACTGGCTGATTACTAGGATAAATATTCTGAATTCAGAAAGGGAGTTAATTCAAAAATCTAAAAGTTCATCTCTAGACATTATGTATCAAATAAGATGAACCTGACTTTCATTCAATAAAAAACTCTTAGGTTTAGCTGTGTTGCATAATGAATCATATTTTGAAGTTCATTCCAGCTCATGTTTGGTTAGTAATGAGTGATTCCAGTTCTCGTGGCACGATGAGAAACGATTAAACACAGCAAGTCATATCAAAAGTGAGTACATATTTGGTAAATGTTTATCTTTTGATCAGCTGCATTCCTAAAATTCCTGTCTATTCCGTGGTGCAAAATGTTTCAATCGCAAAAACTGAGCACCACACGCTGATGTGTAATACTACTGCTCGCTTTGCTGCTGGTAATACTATATTCTGTTATCCAGATCCTAATAAAATTAATATTTCTCATGATCATAAGTTATCTTTATCTACAAATTTTGAAAAGTAATTTCCATATTTCAACTTTGACACAGTGAATATAGAATCCACCCAATCTCGCAAATTTGGGAAAATTTCAGAGAAGAACCCAAAAACCAGTGTAGCGCAGTTTTGAGGACAGAAATTTCTTACGTCAGGAATTGTTTCAGTCTTTCAAAGCATAAATAAAGCAAATGAAATTTTTTTCCCTTTATGACCTTACCTCCAGATCCTACAAATGAATTCACTGTAAGTCAGTAATATAGTAAAAATCCTTCGTTAGATATTCGTTTTCCAGTTTAAAATTGCAACCTATCCTCAGAAGGAAATCACACAAGCGATCATTCTTGCAAGCCAAGCTTTCTTACATGACTTAAGAGATAGATTAAATAACCGCAGATCAAAAGTAAATGTAAGCTTGGATTGTTAACGTTTTACAGTATACTTGTACCTGTTTATTAACTTCAGTAAAATGTTGATCTTGGATTTTTACTCACTCTTTGCAATGCATTTAAATTTGATTCCCGAAAGATAAATGAGGTTCTCAGTTTTTCTCAAAACAATAAATTATAGGGTTTCTGCGGTTCAGTTCAATGACTTTCCCTTCAATCAGTTATAACTTTGGAGAAATTCTGGGTTTCTTGCAAAACTTGCGGGATTTTACAACGTCAGGGAAAGTCATGGGGCTTTCGGTTGCATTTCCCCAAAGTTTATGCTATATCAGGAAGAATATTAGAGGAATGATAACTTCCAGGTTTGATATAAAGATTAATATTATTGTGTATGACCTTATTGGATAATTAGTCTGTAAATAGAATGGTCTGGCATGCTTGCTGTATAAACTATATCTGCTTGAAATATATTTTGTGGAGTTTGATTCTAAAGACTTTCGAACTAAGAAGAAGCAGGGTGAAGAGAAGAAAGCTATCGAGTTGTGGATCTCAATAAGAACTTACAACTGACTCACGGTTTCTGATGCTAACATAATTCTGATGGAAGCTTTGTATTTACTACTTGATACTTGATTAACAATTAGGTATACAATAGTTTACTATTAGGGCTATCTGAAAACCGATCACATCTGCAAAATTAACAAATTTGACGTTGTTTCATTCAAAGTCTCTAGATTCTGGCGTGATATGCCCTGTTGAAGTGTCCGTTTTAAGAAAAACCGGGCTCAAATCGCCTTTACAAGAACGTTAATTGCTAAATGAAGATAAATATTTTTCATACATTATTATTTTTAAGTAAGCAACAACATTAGTCAAACTTTTTGAGGGAATAGACATATTTCTGCAGCAACATAGAAATGCTAAACATTCTGAGACAAACGAGACTCCACAGAAATTACTAAAAAAAACGATTCTCCATTTGAATACGAGATGTTTAAAGTCTGCAGAAGTCACATAATATCGTGAGAATGGTTTCTAGTCATTCATGGTGATCATGATGAAGAATGTTCAGAAATCTATTGTTCGAATTCCAAAAGAAAGTGATATGCTAATCAAATATAATCTCTGGAACTCATTGGGTTTGATACTGTCTCTGTTGTTAGCTATATTGCTAACAGGTATTTTCTAGTTGATACAGAATTTCGATGATGGACCTACAGAGAAGATTGATATAAGATTACCAGAATCTGGAATCACATTTATGCATGAGATGAAGACCGATTATTATGTGAAACATGTTTATGCATACTAATTATTTTTAGTCGACTTCTTTGGAAATCATATAATGACATTTTATCAATGGGTATGGGTCATCATTTTTATCTCCTTGACTCGTTAGTTAACTAAGAATTATGCTACATTAAGTAATAATTGACGGTAATATTCATGTTTTGAAAAAAAGGATGTGAATAAAGACATGTGATTTTACATTGGCCTGTCATGAGTTTTGTGAATTGAAAAATAAATTATTAGCAGTAATTACGCTGTAGTTAGTTCAGAGATTTGTAATTGTTTTTCTAAACTTTTTACAGATCCTACAAAGTTGTCTAGAATGTTAGTTGTAAGCCATAAGTTTGCAAATTATTAAAATTGATTTATTCATAATTTGATGATATTGGAAATTTGATTGATATTGTGTTTGATGCAATTAATTTTAATCAGAATGAAAATCGAATGGAGTAAAACAACTATTCTTAATTGGTTTTAATCGATGTTTGTGAGATTACACTGTGTGAGATTATGTTTCAGTAATACGAAGAACTCATTTGCTAGTTAAATCGGAATAAATAGAATAGGTGTGACGAACGATTGGTACGTTTTTTATCATGTTCAGCAGAGTTGTTTATGTTCACCGAGTTAGATTCCGCTTAGATCATTTCAACTACTTATTGCATCTGCTATCATCAAGTAACAAATACACTTTATCATAGTGCGGTATATGTTATAAAGCAAATTTAACATCCGAAAGCTAAACAGATAAACACTTCTCCATTTGAACTACACCAGATTATGTTTATAGGATCTATGAATCAGTCACATTTACAGGTACATACATATAGTTATGGTAATCATCTGCTGCCTGATTTTTACTCCTTAAAATTATTGAGAAATACAATCTAATCAATTAATCTACTGGATAATACACATTTCGGATGGTTGGATTTCAGTGACTGCAAAAATTAGTGATCACAATGAAAATGTCCCCGAATTATTATTTTTTTTGTGCTAAATATTTCATTCACAGTAGTGCCATTTGAAGAAAAGAACTGAGTCTTTATGAAGGCTATTTATCATTTGTTTCATTTTTCACTCATTTAGTTTTTCGATTGAATAACTTAATTTTTTGTATGCAATCGTCGCTTAGTTATCATGTTCGTATTTGTTGTGGTGTTGAATAACACAGTGACACAATTATACAGTGTTCTTTCTCTAATAAGTCTGTTGCAAAAGACTCAACATTTTACGAGAACTACTTGGCGAATGATACGTTAGTTTAATTTCTCATCTGTCTAACTGTAATATTAATCAACGTGGTGCTTAAAACTTTTTTAGAGTTAAAATACCTTTTTCTACTATTTTTAATTGAATAAGGTAAAACTATACTAGAATTATGAATAATTGTCGATGCACTAGATACATTACAAAATTATGCCTATGAACATATCCCTAATCTTAAAAGAAAATTATGTTCAACTTACCTATAAAACACATATTGGTCAGAGACAAACAAGCATATTTCAACAGCAACATATAATAAAGTAGATATAATGATAAGAACTGTTAACACTTTCAAATACTGATTTTTACATTTACATCCAAACATTTGAAAGAGAGGGGGATAGAGAGAGAGAGAAAGAGAGCAAAGTATTCCAACCGTAAGTAGGAATAGATAGGATTGTTTCTTCAATAAAATTTTAATGTAACTCACAGTTTATAATCGTGTTAATTATTTTCACTTTTATAGTGAAATAGGTAACCAATGATGTGTGAAACACACACTGTAATTGTCATTCAATTATCAATAATTAACTATGCAGTAATTTAACACTGCGATCTGATTGAATGACTCAGTATATATATATATATATATTAATGCTTTACGAAGCATTCTTTTGTGAAAGTAGTAAACAATTTATTGATTTATTGAATCCTATGTTATTTCCATTTAAATCAATCAGTAGAAGTTTACATACACGTAATTCACATGAATAATCTGGAGAACAATGATTAGCCGGTTAACAGTCTTTAGAAATATTCATATTTCAGTCATATGCCTGAGTCGTATTACAGTGTTACGTTGATAACATGGTGTTTTGGTTACTTAAGATACAATATACTCAAAGTTTGTACTGACAACATTCTTATACCTAAATGTTTGTATACTTGAGAAACAATGGAACGGTATCAGTTTAGATATTAAGACAAGTGTGCAATTATCCACTATTCACTTCCTAAGCAATTCGGATCAAATTAACGTCAACATAGATAACAAGAAATGAGGCAATCACATTAAGCAGAAAGTATACAATGGAGGTTATCGAGATTAAAACCAGTCACTTGTGTATTTTACATGTCTCGATATAAAAATCAATGGCAAACTGTTATACATAAATTTATTTTCAAAATTAAAGTTATTATGCATCACTTAAAATGTATGATGTTTATGATAATTAAATAAAAATAATAAAGTTGAGTATTTAGAAAATTTGACTGATAAATCAAAGGTGAGTAAGTTCACAAAAGAATATAATTTACTGACTGGAGTACCGAGACTGTCAATTTGACAATAAAACGGATTAGTTTTATTGCATTAAATTTATTTTGTTAATAAAACGTCACCTACACAATGAGATAGACAAGTATATTCAAAGTGTGAATCACGGATATTTCTGATAATATAAACGAATTTACCTGGTTATATTAGAAAAATTAACTCATTTAAGTGTTTTGTGGAAATGTGTGTAGCTGAAAAAAATACTTTCATGACCAATTGATATCAAGAAAAACATATTCAAGTTCAGAGTACTGCATGCTTTTAGAACCTCACAACACTGGTCATTAGTTATTCGTTAAGGCATATAAACTGAAACATTCGGATCTACCGTAAACTTTCTATGGAACGAATGCACACAAAACAAGATTCTCTGAACATATATTTATTTTGAATAGGTTACTTTATTTCTGTATATTTTAAATTTTCACTACTAATTTATACCAAAACAGTTACGCATTAAGTTAAATTTATTACTTAATGGATGACGGAAAAATTTAAATTCCCTAATATTTATATGCTGAATAAATTTAGTCAGTATACACATTACCAACACAATCAACACATAGAAATATTATTTTATTAGCCATCCAACGATGAGTTTTGCAAGTGACATTGTCAAGTTTTGCAGTGATAATTCGAAAAACCATTTTGCGCCCAATGATATTTTGTGTTGTGAAGACGGAAACAAAGAGAAAGTAACAATCAATAGAAGCTTATTTCGGAAACATTATTGTACCTGATTAGAAGACTGCTAAATACTAACAATATTTTCGTTCCTATCTTATTCTTTCGGTTGATGTACAATTCATTGGCATACTCTGTTTGATTCCAAATTTATTGTAACTTATACGTAAGCCCCATACCCTATTTTTCTACCCTAAACGGCTAGTCTGAGTACAGTTGTATTTTTCTAAATCATTGTACATTATGGTCATGCACAGTAGATGTTTATGTGCTTTTTTTTCGTAAATCGAATCACACCGTTCAATGCTTTGCGAATTCTAATAATAGTCAAGCTTAGACAAGTTCGTGATTTCAACTATGAAAATAATCCAGTCCCCCCCCCATAAATCTCTTTCATTAGTTTACACTTGTATCTTTAACAAAAAGATGCATCTTTTTTATGTATCCAACTGAATCATGGCCTGTAAATCAGAATGTCTTCCGTAATAATTTTCAACACATAATTTATTTATTATACTAAAATAAAAAGCAAATTTCAATCAGATCTTTAATTCATTGTCAAGAAATGAGACAAAATAAATTTACTTGAGATTACTGTTCAAAAATTTAAAAAAAAAGAAAACAGTTATAAAAATTAACAATAACAAACGAAAGACAATTATTTACATAGAAAAAACGAAACAGAGATTAGTCCCAATATGATTGGCCATACATGATAATAATAATAATAATAATAATAATAATAATAATTAATAATAATATTGTCTGGTGAATTAATAGTGCTTCAATTCAATAACAGAGTATCAATTAATCTCGACAATATTCGATTGATTGTAGTCAATATTTCTTATCTGCCTTTTTGTATAACGTGAAACAAATCTGAATGGAAAAGAGAAAAAAAAGCATACATGTAGAAAACCAACAGAGATAATCAATAGAACTTTAACTATACACATATTGATATATATATATATATATATATATATATATATATATATATATATATTAATATCCTGAAATGCACGTAAATATTTTCTAAACATACACAAATACATGCATACATACATATGAAGCATGGGTGAATTCATTCATTAATACTGTTTAGCATGAATTAAATGAGAAAATGATAAATAGCAACAACAACAAAAAAAAACAACATGTAAATGTAGCGGATATGCGTTGAGAAGAAGAAAAAAAAAAGAAAGTGAATCCGTTGGTAAACGAATTTAAAGTGTCAACACTGTGGATATGATGAGAAAAGTTACATTTTCAAATTGAACAATTGGCTAAAACTATTCACATTAACATAATTTAGTGATAGTTTTTTCTTTAGAGCTTATTTATTGATATTCATTAGTTTAATGTGTATGCTGGCTTATTGTTTGTTAATGTAATTCAGAAATCTAATTCTAATATTGTGTTTCCAATGATTGTGTTTAATATAATGATTATTAAAAAGCGTTCAGCAATTAAAATCAACGTAGATCAGAGTAAAATTCCAACATTCAACCAATTATCAGAAAAGGTTGAATGTTGTGAACAACATTTAGTCAACGTTTCACAATTGAAAGTGCATTTTAAAAAAAGTTCTAATACCATTAATATATTTTATTCTTAATGGAATACAAATGAATTTTAATGCATTTCGCTTCATTAATTGTTAAATAAAATTAAATTTTCTAGTGTACAAGTGTTTTTTGTTCAACAACTCAATCACATTACATAACACATCACAATTAACTAAACAGGTTGTTTGTTTGTTATTATTTAATTTTAATAAGCATTTTCACTTGTAAATGTAAACAAAAACATTTTCGTAAAGCAACCATGTTTACACACTTACAAAAGAAGAATAAAAGCAATGGAAGCTAATCCTGAGGAGACAAAAAACACTGTACCAGAACAAAATGTGACAGTAGCTGCATAAATATACGGTAAACTAGCAGTGCCAATAAGAAGACCCAAATATTCCGACAGTGCAATTACAGAGAATAAACTGCCTAAAAGAAAGACAATATGTAATTAAACACAACAATCATATAAAAATGACACTGATATATGAATTCAGAAAACAAATTAAATGATAGTTTCTTAAATAATAATAATTAGGCATAAAGTGATGTTATGCTGTACGATACAATAGCTGCACTATGATGTATCATTATCCTAAACAGTATGGAACATCATTTCGTCAATAAAATTAAAACCCAATATTATATTGTAGCTCAAAACATATGCTTTAAATGATATTGAGTCTTTAAATTACAATCAAATATTACAGACATTACATGGTACTGAAGATCGTTTTCACACATGATGTATGCTTTAGAAGTGTAATGAACAAGGGGGAACAAGAAAAGAATAGATCTAATCAAGGAACTACACAACTAAATACTTGAATCTGATCTCTCTTCTAGTAAATATAACCGATACGATTCGATATTCAAGACAGGACTAAGCTAGAAATCTGATAACGAGGTTAGACATTTTGTCACAGCCTAGGATATAAGGATTATTTGGAGACAGACGGGTAGTTTGAGATCATATTTTACAAAATATAAAATTTGGCGGTCTCAGAAAGGTCCAAGAAGAAATATCTAAGACCAAACTGACTGACTGTAGTACCCAATAGCAAACTGGTTGGTCAGATAATTAAAATCAATGCATATATTGTTATATTCGTCACTAGGTACGCTTGAATCTATCACGAGTTCACCTTAGTCGATAAACGCGAACGAGATAATTACCAGCGTCCAGATAGGCTACCTTGAATCCCAAGCTGTAAACAGAAGGCTTTGTATGTGTAGAAAGTATATTCTAAAAAGATCCAGCAATCACAATACAATCAAGCATACAACTCTCGTTTATTTATATACCATAGAAACGTCCTTGGGACAGTTACGAAAATAGCACACTAAAATACACAGCAGCCAATCACAGCCATGGATCTTCCTCGTGGGAAGTGAAATCTCAAGGTCAACTGATCAGCCCATGCTCGCAAACGTGAAATTCAATACGAGGCATTTATCAAGCGAGTTTTGGGGATCTAACATCCGCATATATATATATATATATATATATATATATATATATATATATATATATATATATATATATATATATATATATATGAATTTACGCACATGAGTTGAGACAGTTTACCAGCACAAATGTTGCATATGATCAACTCAACTAAATGTGAAACGATACAATATTTAAAATATCAAAGCGATTATTAGTTCAAAAACAGTAAAACCTTGAGAAAAATCAATAAAAATATAGAAAAAGTAGAAAGAAAACAGGAAATTAAAGGAAGATACATATCGTAAAATAAGATAACCCTAACGTAGATGACGAAAATTCGAAGAAAGAATGAACATGTTTGATGGAAATTGATTTCTAGTCAATTTGCCCAACTTTTTTAACATGTGGTTTTGGTCGTTTTTAAATAACTTAACGTTCTCTGAATAACGTAAACCAACAATTAAAATTATAGCTATAGAGGATTCCCTAGTAAGAATCCCATTTAGAATTCCTGTACACCGTGAATACTACTTCGACTACAGTTTAGTGTCCTAACCTTCGATCAACAGAACACTTCACCTAACAAGATGAATCTCAAGTTGAGGTCGTAGTAATCTTAACTTCTAATAGTCTACCGATATACAATCCTTCAATCCTCTGTCATGAGGTCGTATAAGAGCAAACAGAAAACAAGCTTCTACTATTGTATCACAGAAGCCCGTTTTATTGATCTCAAACACTCATTAGTTCACAAACATCAAAAACCAGATCGGAAAGAACCCCTAATAAGAAATTTCTTTCGCACACAATTATGATTGGTAGAGAAGGGAGTAAACAATACATAAGTAGTTATTATTAACTCAAGAATAATAAAATATGTAACAATAGTGAATATGATAAATGCAAGTCGACCCCAAGAGCACTCGCTATTAAAAAGGGAGGATTGTTGGGTATGTTAGATCCCCGAAACCCGCTTGATAAATGCCTCATATTGAATTTCACGTTTGCGAGCATGGGCTGATCAGTTGACCTTGAGATTTCACTTCCCACGAGGAAGATCCATGGCTGTGATTGGCTGCTGTGTATTTTAGTGTGCTATTTTCGTAACTGTCCCAAGGACGTTTCTATGGTATATAAATAAACGAGAGTTGTATGCTTGATTGTATTGTGATTGCTGGATCTTTTTAGAATATACTTTCTACACATACAAAGCCTTCTGTTTACAGCTTGGGATTCAAGGTAGCCTATCTGGACGCTGGTAATTATCTCGTTCGCGTTTATCGACTAAGGTGAACTCGTGATAGATTCAAGCGTACCTAGTGACGAATTTAACAACATCATAGTCTGATTATTTTATAAAAAATCATAAACAAAAGTAGTTTGGAAAATGGGTCAAAAAGTTTGAACTTTCCTAATTCTCGCTCCCTTAAAACAGCTGAAATAAGAGACGGTATCATTGATTAAACATTGACCAAGTCAGTAGAACAATAAATTTATTCAAAGAATTCAAGACATTATAGGAAGTCAGTGTGATAGGAGACTATCTGTGACAAGGATTTAAGACCATCCGCAATTTCCCATGGCTTTTATTGAAATCGTGAACATTTTAGTAATTTTCGACTTACATTCAACAAAGCTTGTTTCTTCTGATGCGGGACCATAACAAATACACACGATCCTACATTTGTATATTTGTTAAACTATTTATTTTGGTACATATATGTGCTCAATTTTATCAACTGATTTATCTTACTACGTTAAAAAATTTATTTGAAGATAGTGTGTTCAAAAAAGTTATATCACTACAAAAAATTATACAAATTAACTCTTCCTTTAAGAACTTGGATATGAGTTACACTCTAACTGGGAAGGCTAATCACGCTACCCTGTCGCTCAAACCTAAGTAAGTGGTGCCAGGCTTGAACCTAAAGCTTATTAGCTTAAAGTCGAACCCCTCAACCAATGATCGATTTTGGTTTTTAATCTTCTACTGTAGTCTACTATAAAACGTTAGTGTTGTTAATATTTTCTGAGTGCTCTCTTAATACTCCCCTAGCATAGAATACTTGGTTGAGAAAATTTTGATCCACAGTGTAGTACACACTGATAATGGTTAGTAAATCATTGCACGGTAATTTTTCTATGAAGATCCTAATGCGACTCCTTATCGAGAATTGAAGAATAGATTAAAATGAGTCCCATTTACTGAAAAAGAAATAATTCTCTGCTAATCAAATTAGAATCTTGAAAATGAAAGTTGAAGGATCACTGAGTCAGTAGACAATCATAGTTTAAGAATTTTAATGTACTGCGACATTGTAAAATGAAAACTAGTAATTTAAACAACATAAAGTAAATGATCGAAATATGACGATCATTAAATAAAAGAAATACATACTTTGGAGTTTGGAAGTATAGAGAGATGATGTGAATGATTTGATTACTGGTACAACAGCTGATCGAAACATACATACAAACAGACCTGTAAAAAATAAAACTTCGTAAATTTACAGTAATAATAAACAGGAAATAATTGAAGCAGTACGTGATAAATTACTAGTCGTAATGTTATTCCGAAGCATAGTTTAGATGTTATGTTACGTTAACAACGAAGCTGGTGAGATTGCAACCGACCACTTGTTGGACTAGGATATTTATAAGCACTGAAAGACTAGGCAAATACGATATCGGTCACTACTCAGTGATAAATCATTTGTAAATATCTTGGCGGCCCCGAAATAGCTTGGTAGTAAGAGCACGGATTGTGAAGCTAGGTGACACGGAGTTGAGTTCTGCAGGGAACAGTACTTCCCTCGAAGTTGCAGACATGTCTTACTGACGAGTGCCAGCTGAAACGCAACTTAAATCCAAGATCTCTCGCCAACTATCTACAAACATTCAACAACTCAACATTGTGTATACGATCCCCAATCACATGAATTAGTAGACATATTGGAACGTGACCGACAATCAACTATAAAGTACTAAATAAATAAAACACTAATCACTACTCAACGATCAATTATTTGACTTCATTAGTTTGAGCAACCATTAAATTATAGGTTCAAAGTTCACAATACGTATTAAAGCTTAAGAAAGTCGTACTATTATTAGTTTAATTACAATAATCGTGACCAACAATGTCATAACATGAATGCGTATAATAAAGTTGCAACTCGTCTTAAATGATCATTTCGGTGTTTAAAATACATGAAGCAAAACACCTTAATACAGGTAATAATTACAAAAAATTAATTTGTAACGTAATTCAGAAATAGAACAAATATCTTGAACAAGTTATACAATTATCAAATTATCAATTTCATTTAATTTAGTACTACAATAAACTAAACAATCTTACCTATATATACATTCAAAAAAATAGTAACTTGAGATAATTATTAAATCATTAAGAAAATTGATAGACAAATAAAGTTGTAAGTAAATTTACATTTGTAATATACTTGAAAGATTATATTTTTTTTATAAATTATCAATCACAAATGTAACACGAAGTATTCATATGATTGAAATGAATTTTAAAAAATCTATTAGACAGAATACATCTATCCACCAATGAATTACTCCATTAATATGACATCAGCTATAGATTCTTATGATAGAGTAAAAATACTAGAGAAGTATTTGACAGTAAAATAGCTATGTATCCAAACCAGGACAAAGAAAATGTATTAAATCTATTAAGCCAAATAACTAGCGATGCATAAAGATGGTATTTTCTCATATCAGCAATTAAATGAAAAAACTAATGCTTGTTATTGTCTGATTCTGCATAAAACCAAACAACTGTGCATAATATCCATTATAGACTGACTTTATCAGGGAACAATGGAACAATATAAACAGTTTTTCTGTCGTCGTATGAGATCCCTTAGCAGCGACTACCCATGATCCTACGGGGAATCGAACCCGGAACATGAGCCAATAACCGGTGATACAGTTCTAATTCTAATCAATGTGAACATTTTTGCCGTTAAATTAATCAAGTAACCATAGTTTAATATATTTTATTAGAAACAATAAAGGTTTAATAACCTAACCATCGTCATATAAAATCATTGTACATAATTTCATCCCTGTCAAAACTTGAAAATTTACAGTTCAGTTCACTATTCTAAAAAATCATACTATTTGAAGTACTCTAACCAAAATAAGACGACTGTGATGTAGGTAAAAAAAACATGCCGGATAAAGGTCAAAGATTCGTTTACTGAAATAATAAAACCCTTAACGTTTTAGTGATTTATTAGACAATCAACAATATCGCGTGATATAATAAATATTAGATAAGTGATACTATAACTTCAAACATATATATATAACAAATTAATTTTTAGAAACAACTTACTAACAAATACGAGAATATTATGACCAGGCGAAGGAAGCAAAAAAGCTAATCCCATGAGCAATTTACTCACTACAATTGCAAACATTCCACATATTAAATACTTAATCATACGTCGACGTGCTCGTAATACTTCATTTTGAATAATAGAATTCGATGGACTACTGCTATTACTGCTACTACTATTGTTATTAGTAAGATCAATTGAATCGATTTCAGAAATAGCATTGTAATCGGAATTTGACTGATTGGTGAGTAAAGGTTGTGATGATTCAGATATTCGGCGCCGTTTAACCACTTTCATCCAACGAATAGTAATCCAAGTTAATCCAAAAGACAATAGACCCAAAAGAGTAGCATTTAATCCACTAATAAAAGAAAAATACTTTATATGTTATTTTGTATGATACAATTAAACGCATGAATACCATTCATATAAACTATCATATTTAACCTACCTAAAGTAGCCAAGTTGATCAACAGACCAATTGAATGGAGGTCCCATGAGGTACAAAAATGTATACTGGCCTTCATTGTAGGTAGTTAATGTTGTTAGAAACAAAACTATAAAGATGAAAACTATGATTGTATTGGCACTTCGAATGAGCTAAAATAATTAAAAACAAAGTTGTGATATTATTTGAGTAGTTTAAAAATTCTGAAATAATTTTAAAATAGAATTTGAATCAAACTTGATTAAAAAATTATTTAGCCAGTTTAATGTTATGTTTACTTGTAAAACCGTTGAGATTCAGAAAAGGCAGAGTAATTAATTGAATAAAAAGTGGATGAAAAAGCATTTCTGACTTCATCACGTAATTATAACAGTCAAATAATTATTGAAAAAAAAAGGCATTCGAAATGATTTGAATTTCAAAACAAAGTTTCAACTTGTCTTAACCTATTATTGTTTCCTCATTCAATATTCTTAAAGCCTAGAATAAGTAACTCTCAACTCTGTATTATCAGCCATGTTGAACTTATTGAATGAAAAGTGCAGATCAAGTAAATTGAAGTGCATAAATTTATGTTCAGTGGATGAGAACTACCAATGAATTTTTAACGATGATATAAATAACTGTATGATTGGTCATTGAATACGTTTTATAACTAAATAAAGCACTAAATAGTTCATCATTCTGTCTATTGAACTAACTAGTGGAATATGTTCAGTGATTGACAACAATGAAAAAAAGAACTAGATTTACGATTTAATTGAAACATACTTACATTAAGTTTTTCAAAGGGTTCATTTTTTTCTACAATGATAAGTATTTAGGTGTATAGTGAGATATTAGCAGAAATGTATTTATGATTTTGTTCATTTTGTCCTTGAAACTTTCGATAAACAAAGCTTTATTGAACCATAGAGAACCATGAGAATATATAATAAGATCGAACTAGAAAATTATTTATTTCCTTGTTTACCATTCACAAAGAGATAAATATACAATACAATTTACGTTATTTATTCTACTTTTGTCATTTTTAAACATAGCATTATGAATCTTATGATTTAACATATCTAATTCAGTCAACTAATGTCTGTTGGTATTTTGAGTTATTAACAAAAAAGAAGCCACCAAGATATGTGTACGATTTTAACGCTAGAATTAAAATTTCAAAAAACTAGTTAAAGAATGAAACCTGAGTGGTATGTGATTAAAACACATAGTTAACAAAAAGTATTCATTACCTGACAGACCAAAATCTATAATTTAGTTCACATTTAATCAAATCGCCTTTAGTGCCCCGGGATCTGACTCCAATTTCTACGAACAACTGAATATGCTATGAAATGAATAATTCCTTTCATTTCCGCATACCCCGTTCCTGATTATTAAAAGCCCAATACGGTTATGTGGATGAATTTATTTTATATACTTGAGTAAGCAAACAGATAACAAAGAGAATGGTAAAAGAGGAGCGAAGTAAGGCCAATGAGACTAATGAGCCAATTCCATTTGGTGCCACCTCTAATTAACTACGTACAGTTAGACAAAAATAAGCGAAGTACGCAATGCACATACGCACTCAAATAACAACAGCCAAGATTATAAGAGAGTAATTGTACAAGATCGAAAGACGTGTGAATAACTCTAGAAGAATGAATTAATTAATTTGTCCAAAGGCTGGAACAAGCTAATGTGGGCTCGATATATTAATACACACCACATGCCCATACATTTAAATGTGTTAACAAGAGAATGCATAAGAATAATCATGTGGAAGTTCCACTGAAATCATGCACTGATCAATGTTAGACTCTTATTGGAAACCTGGATGTATCGAACGACCGTTTAGTCCTATTATGGGACTCATCAACAGTGCGCATCCACGACTCCGCAAGTGATAATTGAACCCAGGACTTCCGGTCTCGAGCACGAACGCTCAGTCTCTTTGACCACTGAACAGGTATTGATGCATGACCTGGATCAATGAACAATATTGCGCCACCATCATCCATCGTCCAGTGCTTTCACGTTTTCACTGGTGGTCTAACATTGGCCAGTTCATTATCTCAATGAAACTCATCGATCTTCATAACCCTGTACGGAAAACTATGTGAAAATGTCGATGGAAAAAATTATTATCAAAACTTAATCATTACAGTATTGAGTGTAAGTTCAGTTTCTGATTTAGTAAACTTGATAAATAATTATATTCTTGACATGATGAGGCTGACTATGACACGATAATCCGAACCGATAGTAAATACAATCGATTGACAACAAACATGATTACTCATCTCCCCCAATTATAACCTAATATCTCATTGTGCATCGGAATAACAGGAAACAAACCTTGGTTTGTGAATACGAACAATTGGTACTCAGTAAAATATCACTATTTAGATATATTTTTTATGAAATATATAAGTGATTAGATGGTCAGTTTTGATTGATTCAATAATAAAATATATAGTCGAGTAAAATTTCTCTAATCACGTAACACCAGCATAAACCAAAATTGAAAGTGCAAACATTTTAACATCAGTAAATAATTACCTATACTTTTGATCTATACTTCAACTTTTTTCCATAATTTGAAAATACAACCACCTAATCAAATAAATACAATCATCAGTCAGTCAGTCGGTTGCAACGTAGAACTTCGTACGTATGTACATAAGTTCATGTTGCCATACCACATTAGCACAGAGACGCAAATATCAAATCAAATCCCATAGTGATAAACATAGTAGAGGTATTAATGCTAATGAAGTAGACTAGGGTTTGAAGATATTATTCAAGAAGTGTAATTCAGTGAGATAAGGTTAGAAAGACAAAGGTAGATGTGCTGACGATTCCAGAAGATTAGGATTTGAAAGAGCACAACGAATGGATGCACTTGAGCCATTGCAAACGATTTTGAGCCATGTCGTTCAAGGTCTCTAACCATTGGTGACTTTCGTCTCGCGAACCCTAACCCGGTAGCCTAAATCTACCAACATGACTCAGTCCACTCGTCAGTGACTTCATGAATTTCTGTCATGTTTTGGTTTGGCCACCCCTAGCTTTCTTTCAACCTACTCCTACACCACGAAACATAGCTCGTCGAGGCAGTCGGTGGTTAGTCATTCGTAACACATGTCCCAACCATCTCAACTGATGAAGGTTGACTACTTCGTCTATTGATCTGCCATCCTTACCTAGTACTCGTTTCCTAACGACAGCATTGCTTACTCGGTTGTCCCACGGTATTCGAGCAATGCTTCTTAGATATCTATGATCGAATACTAGTAACCTACGAACATCTACTCTTAACGGCCATGTTTCGCAGCCATATAGGAGAACGGAGCGAACTGCTGCACAGTACATCCGCCCTTTGGTTAGCGAACGGATATCACGCCTACGCCAAAAGTGACGTAGGTTGGCAAAAGTCAATCGAGCTTTCTGTATCCGAGCTGAGATTTCGTCAGTCACCAGACCGTCAGCGCTGATGAGACTCCCCAGATAAGTGAAGCGGTCTACACGCTCGACTACTTCACTTCCTATCACTAGTTCAGGTGCCGATGCAACCCAGTCTTGAAGCAACATTTTGCATTTCGAGGGTGAAAAACGCATCTCGAACATGCTCGCATTGTTGCTTATGGTAGTCAGAAGACTCTGCATTTTGTCAGCGTCTTCACCAAATAGAACTATGTCATCGGCATATTCTAAGTCAGCAAGCGATTTTCCTAGTAGAAGGTCAAGCCCTGAAAAATCTGACGAGCTTAATGTTAACTCTAAGAGGATGTCTACGACAAAGTTAAACACGAATGGAGAGAGTGGACAGCCCTGACGCACACCACTTGAAGTGGAGAATTCCGGTGGCAGTTCGCAATAAGCTCTCACTCGACCTGTAGTGTTCGAGTAGAGTGCTTGTATAAGGTTAATGTACCTCTTTGGTACACCTTTCAGTGACAGACACTGCCACAGAACCTTACGATCCACTGAGTCAAATGCCGCCTTAAGGTCCAGGAACACGACTATTGTCGGACGTCTAAATGTGTGTCTGTGTTCCGAGACCTGTCGTAGTGTGAAGATGTGGTCTATACAACAACGTCCAGGTCGAAACCATCCTGGTTTTCTCGAGTCTGCTCTTCACGAGCTCTAGTTAGACGTCTAAGTATAATCGAGGCTAACAATTTAGAAACTATATTAGTTAGACTTATTCCCCTGTGGTTGTCACAAGAGGACTTTTGTCCTTTCTTGTAGATTGGGACAATTAGCGACTGAGACCAGTCAGATGGGATTACGTCCATTTCCCAGATTCTACCTAGGATCTCGGTCAGTCTAACTGTTAAAACTGGATCACGATCCTTAAAAATCTCAGGGGTAAGCCTATCAGGACCTGCTGTTCTACTTCACTTTAGATTCCCTATAGATTTCTCAACTTCATGTAGACTGGGAGGACTTAAATCGATTTGCCATTCAGGATGACTGGAGATCGTGGGCAACCGAAGTGTGGCTCGTGGCCAGTTGAACTGATCCCTTAAGTGTTCTGCCCATCGGTCCAGTCTCCTGGATTGAGAATGGACCATCCTTTTCCGAGACAGTTTCACTCACATTCGGGTTCCTAACACCGGTTTCTTTGATAAGGCGGAAAAGTTGTCTAGTGTTGCCTATCGCCGCTGCCTTTTCCATCGCTTTTGCTTTCGCCACCCACCACTGTACGCGGTCGTTACGTAGGCTTTTTATCAGTCTGCGCCCAAGCTGACTACGCTCTTCATCATGTTCAGAGTCACATGGGATGCGTCTTCGAGCATCCATCAGTTCGGTGGATGGGACTGAAATCCACGGCTTCATCCTAGCCTTATGGTTTACCTTGCTAGCAGATATCACTGCTGTTTCCACAGCCTTCTTGATATGATTCCAACCTGCTTCAGGATGGGAATCACTTGCATGGCCGCCTAACTGTTTTTCTAGTTCCTCCTGAAATATCATTAAGTAAAGCCCTTAGAGGTTTTCTTGCGATATTTATCTTGCGTCCAGTTAGGCGCAAACAAATAGGCGCTTGCACTAGGGCATGATCTGAATCTAAACATGTGCCCCAGAACGAGCGATAGTCCTCTATCAAAACCCTCCATCGGTGGCTGATAGCGATATGATCTAGTTGCTTCCAACGTTGAGATGACTTTGGGGGGTAGGCAGGTCAAGAGATGTTTTTCCTTATGCATAAAATTAGTGTTTGCTAGAAATAGTTGGTTATCTGAGCACAGTTGCAACAGACGGTCGCCATTGTCTGTTCTTTAAGCCGCGAGACCATAACATCCACCTAGGTGTCTTTCATTTTAACTTAATCTACCTACTTGAGCATTGAAGTCACCAGCCATTATAACTATATCAGAGCGCTTAACTTTTTGGAGGAGGTCCGAAAGCTTTCTGTAGAACTCGTCTTTCACCTCGTCTGAACTGCAGTCAGTGGGGGCATAGGCAGGTACGACGGAAAGGCAACGACGGGTGTCCCTATCTTTACGAGTCCTTACTGTCCCGTTTAGTCGGACAGCGCACAAGCGACTATCTACTGGGATCCAGTCTTGAAGAGATAGTTCTGCCCTACGACTCAATGCTATACCTACACCAGCGAGGCCTCTGGAAGCAGTATCAGGGCTACCGGATACACCAAGGGTAAATCGAGTTGCTTCTTTATCTTGACATGGTGAGGTCAAGTGAATGATGCTACTCGGATGCTGTATGCGCGTTCCCGAGACGCAGCACACATCGATTGAGCGAGATTCTAAAGTCCTAGCCAATGAAGCCTGTTGCCCTATTTGACACAATGTCCGTACATTAAATGCTCCAACATGTAGTCTTCAATTAGGTTTCAGGAGACTAGGAATGACGTTTCGTGAACTCGCATTTTTTTGCATTAGCTGTGCAGTGAGATAAAGGAATGTGAGAAGAGTTAGTCGTGGAGATAAGAGAGGTACTAGGGGGTGTAGGAAGGATTTGATTTTGACCAATTTGGTCTCGTGTGCTGTTACCGGTGTGAGGACGGTTGTCACTTCCCGGCTTCCCACACCGTGGAAGGTTGTTTCTTGAAGGACCTGAAAAGGAAAATAGATTAGTGTTGGTCTTAGAGACCTGGGTGCGTGACCGCAGAGCCCAAGGGACAACTGCTTGAGTCCGGTCACGCACGGCCTTTTTATGAAAGGATTTTTGAGTATTAGCTCCGCTCTTAAAAGTCCTTAATTGGCACCCTTACCGCGGGAGACAGAAACCCATGAGGTGTGACATTTTTAGGGTCGACCTTTTCTAACTCTTCCTTCCTTGTAAGAAGGCAGCATCGCTGCAAATGCTGGTTGTCCAAGGGAAACACCTCACTGCTGTCACACCCCTCTGCAGCCAACAGTACGACTTCGCCCTCAGACCTTGAGCAGCTGCTTTTAGTCTCATCGTTCTCCAATAGACCTGCCTGGCATGGTAGAACCTTCAGGAACATAAGTTCCAGCCAATATAGCTCGGCTGGGTCATCACGATAGGCAAGCCCGACCACCACGTCAAGGTAGCAGCTTCGGTCGGGAAATACAATCTGAAAGAATCTGTTTGCATAACTAATAGTCATTTAAAAATAAAAGTATAATTCGTGGTGGTGTTTCGTTCTCTGAGCTCAGAGAATCATCCACCTGAGATACAAATTTTCTCCACCACCTCAAAGTATAGTTCTTTTGACGAGAAAATATGATTCCAGATACAGAGTCTAAGTCACTTCAAATCGACACATATAGAGATTATAAAACAGAAGAAAATAAACTATATAAGCAAGAGATAGAACACAAGAAATATTGTATTTCTTAGACTAAAACAAAACGATATAATCAAGGCAATGGATATGAGAGGGTAAATATAATAACCCAATAGATATTTTACATTTCAAATATCTACCTCACACGAGATTGACCAAATGAATACCCAAATCTTATCGTAAGCTAGATGCCATTGAACCATTTGGTTAGCATTCAATGGTCTACATTTTTAATTTTAAAAATTTGAGATATATTCTGATTTTTATTCACTGTTATGGTTTTCATCACAAACTGGTTAATCAAAGGAAATTAACTGAAGTTGAGAATGAGAATCCTCACTGAAAGGTGATACTACGGTTCAATAGTACTCTGCACATTATTAAATCGGAAGGTTTATGGAGTTCAGTCAGTCTAGTGTATAGTCTTAAATGCATACTTCTGAACCAGAATGGAATAACTGTACAATGTTCCTTAATATATCGGCAAATTAATTTCAAGCAAAAAATACTCACATTAATCATCTCAATTGACTTCAAAAGCCAGTTATTCCTAGATGGTTCTGATTGATTAGATGCATGAAAGTCTATGTTACATGTAGAAACATTGGTATTGCAATTATTATCAAAAGAAGAAAGATCAGCTGTTTGTATGTTGAAAGACTGTGTTTCTGGTAGACACCACAGTACTCCCACCGATATTAAACAAAGAAATAGCATTATCAAACAAGTTATAATGAAACTGTAACGGTCGATAAGAACACCTAAAACCAATATATGGAATTAAAGCTTAGAACAATTTTCATTCACAATTATTCAGTAAGAATTGCTCTAAAAAAAGAATATTGACAAACAAACAATCTTACGTTTAATATTCTGGAATTCAAGTAAGTGAAGCAGTTTCAACATGAAAAATAATGATTTAGGACAGATTTCTTAGACGAGTTAGCCAATTCCACAAGATTGAATGCGTAATATGTTCAAGTTGATTGTCTTAGTAAAACTGAAATAAGTGAACCGATTTCAGGTAAAGATGACTTCGTACATATAAGTTCCCTTGATAATTCTGATCAAAGCAAGAACAACAAGATTTGTGCTATAGAAATTAGTTCATCAGTTTAAAAATTCAAAATCAGCCCACCCACCGACTACCTCGACAAGCGATACTGTCCGGAGTTAAGTAGCAAACTAGGAGAGAGCTGAAGATGGCTGAACCGGAACATGATATTAGTTCATTGACAATTGGATTGAAGCATGTTAATAGGTGCAGACTACCTGGTTGTGGTCCGCGTGAAAGTTGTAACCGGTAGTTAGATACTTTGAGTGACATGGACCAAAATCGTCTGTAATGGCTCTGGTGCATCCATGATTTGTCTTCTCCCAAATACTGAGCTTTAAAATCCCACAAGACCGGTTGTCTTCGTTTTCTAAACTAATTTTGCTGGTTTATATATTTTTGAATCTTAACTTTGACCCCTATTCTTTTCCACTACTAATAATACTGCTAGCACCTCTATAACTATGGGATTTGAACTGCTGATTCCACCTCTCTGTGGTACAGCAACCTGAATTGATGCACGTACGTATCAAATTCTTCGTTGCAACTGACTGAGTGACTTACACTAGCTGAAAACAGCTTGAAATAACAATATAAATTGTGAAGTTCTAAATAACGATTTTGATTGGTGCTATATACTGAAACCAGATGAGCTGCACGAAAGCACCATTACAGTGTCATTCCAATTCATTTATACAAATATTCGAAAAGATATTCCCCTGTTTCCAAATCGAGGTTTAGAATTCTTGAATTAACATGAAAATCATTGGGTGCACTTAAAATTTTCGATCAAAGAAAGCTAAGATTTTTCAAGTGCCTATCGGAATTTCAAGTGTTATTTACAGCTTAACTATTAATATATAAATGACTGCAAACAAAAAATCTCATAGATCACGAAATGGTAACTTTAACAAATTAATAATAAAGGTAATATTGAGGAAAAGTTAAATTAACAGAACTGGTCTGTAATAAGGATTTATCTCGTACAGTAACTCAATTTTACAAGTGACAGACAGTATCAAAATAAAAAGTGTCACATGGAAAACGTTAGTAGATAGCTGAGATGTAAAGCAAATTGCATCTATAGATAGTCTCTAGACTTATCCGTGTAAACTTTCTTATTTACAGAATCTGAAAATCGTCCTGTTTCGAAAATTCACGCTTACATCTACCGACTAGTTTGAAACTAGTAGTGTAGCTATCAGAAATACATAACTCTGTTTCGGGGGTGATTCTTAGCTTTAGGCTCTGTTATCAGGAGTAACTTATAATAGGAACAAGAGCCTTTCGAATTATCAGGTTCAAATTTATATCCAACATCTTACCATTACTTACGTTTATAACCAAACAACTTGGTCAACCAGATAGTTTTTATAAAAAGTTACCGCCTTGACCTTATTGAAACTGAATTGTAACCTTTATTCTAAATAATCATTGTCGATCGATAAGATAGCGTTATTTCCTATAAACATTTAGTTTTTAAGGTTGATCCGTTTTAAAATTATAATTATAGACAAATTTTGTGACTTAAACGTAACAATTGGAACAAACAAAAAGTTGACATTTTAAATATCACAGCATTAAACAAATTACATCATGTTTCTATCATCACCTGTAACTGATACTGCTGCGGCACCAGCTAAAACACATACACCATCGTAAATCCCCATATACAAAAGACGTTTACGTTCCAGAGAAGCTTGTTTGTGTTTAGATTTATCTATTAATGGCTCTTGTTCATCAGGAACCTTAGTAATATCAGCGAAACAAACGGAAATTTGACCTGAAAACGTAAGCAATCCTCCGCCAAGAAAACCACACGTTAAATTTCCCAGAATTAGTAAGTATAAATTCAGGTCCAGTAAAATTACAAACGCTGAAAAAGGATTATGACAGAAGAAATAATCACTTTTTCACTACAAGTATTAATATTGAAAAACAGGGATGGTGAAATACAAAAAAATAAATTGAAAAAGAATGAATCATGGTTTTGATCGTTCATGGAATAGTGATCAAAATGGCAAAAATGATTCCATTTGTTAATAAATCACTTAAAACTACCCTGAAACACACTCATATATCGGTTAGCTTACTTACAATGAAACGACAAGTATCAGACAAAAATTGCTTTCAGTAATTTTATGAGGTTCTAAAATTATAAATTTATAAATAACCAATATACAGAATAGACAAAGCCTTTGATTAAATCCATTAGTGTTATAAGGCCATAAACTTTTGTAAATCTTACAGAAAGCTCACAGTGCTTATCATGTAGATTATGGCCTAATTACTGGAACAATGAGAAATCATTAAAATTATAAGAGATATTACTAAGTATATTTGTCTGTTACTTAGACAATAAGTAAAACATGAGTAAAATTACTAGAATACAATTTATGTGAATGTAATACAAAATATGTGAAATTTTAAATATTTTAAATTTTACTAATGATAAATATAAACAAACAGGTCTAATGCTTTTTTAGAATGCTTCAAAATAAGGGAACATGGGGAAAGCTAATATAAATAATCGAGGTTTTGTAATTTGAAGTTGGAATAAGCAATACGACTAAAATTTGGATATCCTTGTCACGAAATGGGACAATCAATAGCTAAATATCACTGAATTAGATTTTCATTATGCATAAAAGACGCAATAATACAACCTAACTTATCTAGCAATTGATTTAGAGCCGAGAATATTCTTCGTATGGCAATGTGATGTACATTATCGACTAGATTATTGAGGAAGATGCTATTTATATATTACATTGTTCTCTTTACAAACGATACAGAGACATGTTTACTAGCATTCAATAACATTTTTGTGAATGTAACGTGCATACGGATGACAATATCTACAAACTCCCAACCTTAGAGATGATAACTTTGTTTGGTACATAAGTAACCACAAAACTTCACCTTAACTAACGGCTACACTTTTGTAGACTATAATTAGCAAGGAAACGTGAACCTAAATGGGAATAATTCATTTAAATCACATAATAAACAACAATGCATGACCAACTGATAAGAACAAACAGATTGTGTTACGCAATAACAAGTAGTCGTATATAATGACAAAATTTGAAATGATAAATTTACATGAAATAATTACGTTCGAAGTTAAACCGGCAAATAAAACTCCCATTGCTACACGTCGACCATAATGATCAGAAAGTGAACTAATCAGGAATGATGATAAAATTCCAGGTATCAATACTGAAGCGCTCAATAAAGGAAGTAAATGTGCAGTTTTCTTTTGAACTTCATCTTTCAATTCTTTATCATGATCGGGAACAGATCTATCAATGAAATAATATCAACCTAATTAGTGTTGAACACTTCGTTTTTAGGTAAAATTTATTTTAAAAAGTTATTTTGTTAGTACCTGTTTACTCCTATCTTCGACTTAGCATGATGTGTTTTTCAAACTAATAGAATAAAGCTGTGATCGAACATGAACGACGACAGAGTGATATTTTAAAAAAGCATCCACTCTTTTTTTCTCTTATACAGAGCTAAAAATATAATTATACATTTTTAAGAAATATTTAAGGATCTTTTTTACCCAATCTAAGAAAGTGACATTTAATTTGTGAAATGCTGTGTCATTAGGCTACGGGATATCCAAGGTGTTGCTGCTACTGATTCAGCTACTCTTAATTACTTTGAAGCAGAATACTGAGGTGATAGCTCCGTTGAGATCTTGAACAAAGAACTCAAGAACTATGTGGCCTATAGTTAAGAACGAAAACTTCCTTGAATAACCATATATTTTTTATCCAGCGACTTGACCGTTTCAGCTTATATATACTGTTGGATACAATAAGCGTAAACAGTTTAAATAAAAGGATAAGGAAAACATATCAAAAGAGATTGATGAAGTAAATACATATAATTATCAAACTGGGAAAATAATAGTCATCCTTTTTATGGAAAAAAATTTAGAAATTCGTTCGATTATGAGGATATGTAGAAAAGGAAATCGATGCTTTTCATACATCTTAGAGTAAACTAAAACTCACCAGTAATTACAGTTAGACTAGTACACTTTTGCTTACATGGTTCTAGTAAATGACTCACCACGCAAACCGCTAACTTGCTGTGAGGGTCATGGAACTTAATGAAATTAAAACATAAAATACAACGTATTATTCAACCTTTAAGTTGCCTTATCACTAACATATATCGTATAATCTTTCGAAAAATTGATGTCTTAATAAACATACACCCAATAGAGACGGTATTTTTAATGAACTATTCTTCAGTGCACTTTCAATGTAAAATGAGACTTTCATATAAAAGGACTAGACAATGAAGTTTTACTAATGTTTAATTGACTGAGTCGAATGTAGTTATGAAAACGGTGATGACATTTCTAACTATATTTTAATCTACAGATAACACGATTTGACGGCGAATTGAACTATATCATCGAACAATGACAGTTGTGGACAAATAAGGAGAAACAACTTCCACTTGCTTTGTCAACAAGGAAATAGACCTTGGTTAAAATAGTTAACTCCACAGGGATAAAAGAAGCTTAAAAATTACCATAAAACTCAACTTGTTTTGTGGAGATGGTTCGTAGGGCAAACCTGCATCCTTGAGGAACCTACAACCAAACAAACATAAAACAATGAGGAAATAAGTAGAGCAGAAACTTAAATTAATAGATCACCACAAAAACGGAAGGTATTCAGTACTTCGTAATAATCAAATTAAATTAAAATCCTCTACCAGCGTCTAACAGATAATTCTACTAAACTGTTTTTTATTGTTACGAAGAACCACATTATCCTCAGGTTTACTTCCTACATCAAGCCTTCTGAACTCCATCCGTCTAAAAAGATGTTTGGAAGGAGTAAATATGGTGTACTTATTTTTCAGAGCATTGTAACTTTACGATATTACAAAATACTTCCTCACAAAAGCTTACTTATTAGTTAAAGTCAAGTTCTGTCCATATCAGTTTGTTCAGATCTGACTACTGATTAGTGTACATAAAACCTAAAAGTCAGTGTACTCATATATGGTTTTGATCCATTTTGATATAGTAAGTCTTCATCTGTAATTTTTTTTGGGATGGATATTGCTAATAGTTATTTTCAAAGTTCATTAATCTAAAATGTCAACACAGGTATGTTTTACTAAGACAAGGAGTTAAATAAGGAACTAAAACAGCCAACTCCAAGTATGTATGAATACATGCAGTTAAGAGCAGCCCTTATTTTTAATAAGGAATTCAATCGTTAAAAAAACAACTACATGTGCCTACCATGAAACTCAGTTACAAAACCAGGAGGCTGACACTAAATTCTTAAGTTCTGTCCTAATATTAAATGCGAGAGACAATAAAGTTATCAAATGTTTGAAAATATGAACTACGACTGTCGAATAAATGGTCTGATAACTCCTCACTTTTCGTCATTCTATCAAGTGAAACTAAAACAATTCAACAAAAGATTAAAAGGCTTGAAATGTTTGAGTGTTAATATGAAAGTTCTTTTTGACTTCGAAATATTGAGAAAAACATGTATTTGAATTAATTACTGAGTAAAACGTGACCTGTAGTATATAAACTGGTTTGTAAGAAACTGAAAACCGGACCAAGATGATTGAGTAAATATAGTGAGAAGAACCAACTTAATGGCAATTTTCCTTTCAGGACTCCACATAGTTGGGTTGTACAACAGCAAATGTGGTTTTGTTCAGAATAATCTGTAATAATATCGAAAAATACATCAGAAACTTTATACGCTATCAAAAGATTCCTGAGTTTAATTAGTTGATAACATAAAAACCTACAAAATATCAACCATCTTAAGGGAAACAGTGTTATTTAACACAAAACAAACATTTTTATGAAAAGGAATAGAAAACGTAAATGGTTTGCAGAAAATCTTTTATTTATTCGGATGCTCAAAAAAGGGCTTTTAAACTGGTAGAAAGAGAAGGGAAGCTCAAAGCAACGAAAAGCAGAGGACGAATTAAATCAAAAGCAGCATTCTGAAATGAGGAATCCAAAATTTTATAAAGATAGCAAATACAAATTGACTGAAAACACTTGGGAACGTGGCAGAATGATAAATAGGGAGATGTCTGGATTGCTTAATGTTTGTTTCAAAGAATAAACTGCTATTTTGAAATCCGCAATATATAAAAAACTATGTATGGTCTGTAAAACATCTGCAGTTTTTAAGCAACCGAAAAACCGGGTTAGATCATATTCTTACTCTTTTATTACACTAACGGAACTTTAATCAGTACTAATAGGTAATCTTTGACAACCGCTGTTTGGTTAGCAACTTTTTTTAGGCTGTTCAATGAAACAAGATGAAAAGCAGTTTAACCGGGACTTCGGATACGAATATATAATACTAAGAGGCTCCTATGGCTAAAGCAAAACGATTTAACACTTCGAATAGCCCTACATTTGATCATCAGGTATAACTATTTGCTTGATGTCACTTGAGTACAGACTAAATTGTTTAATATAATCAGTTGAAATGTAAGTGAACATACATCTGGATTGTGATTTGGATTGAGACAGATGAAGAAAACTATATAGAGATTGTGTGTCTTTAAACTATAACGGTCATTATTTAATACTTTTACGAGAGTCATACAGATAATAAGCCGAAATGAATGAGGATTTCCCTAATGCCGTAACGCAACATTTGAAAATGTGAGTTCCAGTATCCAATATATTTTTGACGAGCTAGTATAAACCGACTGATTTCTTTGTGCTGGACTCTAGTTCTTTCGGTACGGTTACAGGTGTTTGCCAGTGTCCAGTGAATGGGGCCTAGCCACTCGACTGTCTAATTCTAGTCAGTTGGTAGTTGGTTGCGGGTTTGTATGTTTCGTGATTTGAATGAAAACGTTTGTTTCAGTGAAGTAGGGTTTCTGTATACCAGCAGCTATCACATTATCAGACCGGAAAACGTTTAGTTTCAGTGTGAAGAGTAATGAGAATATGAATAAGATTTCATAACTAAGTAAATCAATAGAAAATTTAATTTATTTAATAATTGATAGTGAAGATTGTGAGAGAGGACCGATGTGTGAGCACGGGAGAGGAAAAAAAGATAATAGGGGAGAGGGATTAATTGAGTGATCTGAGGAGATGACATTAATAACGACTAGCAAGTTTCAAGGCATGGATCAGGTTCAGCTTGTCCAAGAGGGAGATAATAATCCGTGTGTAAGTGTTTGTCAGGTCTCTTCTTAAAGCTGCCCACTGAAGAGGCCAGTAGTAACCTCGGCTGGGAGAGAATTCCAAGTTGCAACGACTGGTGATGAGAGAAAGTGTGCACGAACCTGAGTTTTTGCTATTTGATACGCAATTTTTCGAGGATTACATCGAGTTGAGTGGTGGTGATGCATGGGTAAGATACTCACGTTTAGATGGTGTGTCGTACTCAATATGTTGCGCGCCATAAAAAGAAGAGTTGCATTTGCTTTGGCTGCGTCCCCTACATATTTCGAGTCGGTATGGAGGCTTTCTGCGGTCACTAAACGGAGATCGCGCTCTGAGGAGACATTAGGTAGCAGATTTCTGTTGAGGGCGTAAGTTGTTTGTGTCATGTGGGTCAGAATATACATAACTTGACAGTTCGGCTGGTTTAGTTTTAAACCGTTTTCCGTTGCCAATTCCTCTATGGATGTAAGTTCCTTTTGAAGCTCTGTTGAATCCTCTCCGCTTCTAATGGACCTCCAGATATTTGCATAGTCTGCGTTTATCAATGCCGGTGAGCTAACTGTGTCGCTAACTCGCTTGCACACTGCTTACTCACATTGGTACGAAATTTTCTATCCTAAAAGTAGTTTCTGAACCAATATACGAGTAGATCAGTGAAGCCCGTTTCTGAAACCTTCGTGATCAGGCGTGCGTGGCGTACTGTGTCAAAGGCTTTCGCAAAGTTAAGAAATATTATGTGAACCAGTGTTTTCGGCTCAAGCGGTATTGCCAACAATCCCGTGCTGTGAGAAGATTGGATGCGCACAACCTGCCTTTCCGAACTCCTTACTCAGCTTCATGGAGTATTGTCTTCTTATCAATGTACTCCCACATCTGTTCGTTCACCAGCCATTCCATTGCCTTTGACAGCATCGGTGGTAATGCAACTAGTCTGTAACGAGCTGGGTCATTCCTCTTCGCCTATAGCAAGCGTTCACTGCCGCGCCTAACCCAGGTTCTCTATTCCCAGATATGTGGTGTGACTGAGGTCATGGTCTACGACAGCGTTCTGGATGATGTCTCTCACAGTTCGGCAGTAATCACCTTCTGTCATCCTCCTCAATTCTCGTGACCACGGGGCACGCAGAAGGGTCTCTCTCATGCGCGTTATTCGCCCTAGTGTAACAAAGATAGGGCTCCTTTTGTCCTGTGTGAGTTCTTCCTTTATGACCATGTGAAACGAGACTGTACCATTTGTTTATGGATGTGAACATGCTCGACCAGGAGCTAATCATTTGTTAACAAATAATCCAGGTTTGAGGACTTTCTCTCCTAAGTCAGTCTAGTGGCACTGCATACATGCTCAGTTAGCCCAGAGCTTCTAATGACTTTGCCAAGACGTCTTTGGAAACAACCAGTGGGAATTGTACCCTAATTACTGAGATTTAGAGATGGAGTGTAGAAATATCCAGCTAAGAGTATTTGATCGAACCCAAGGAGTAAAAGTTGGAATATTGCCTCGACCAGTTTGTCTCTCTGGGCCTTAGTACCTGATTTGGTTGTTTAAATCGATACTTGATTATGGCTGAAGCCATATCGGATCTGATGTCTCGGCGGGTGAAACGTGCATCTGGACTGGAAGGGTGCGATTTCGAACTAAAGGGAAGCATTCTTCCAGAACTGGAAACACAATGTGTTATTTTGGGCGGAAAACAGTGTAATATTGTTAAGGTAAATATCTGTATTTTTATATATAATGATAGGACCGTTTCTTACCCAGATAAATTGCTTTCTATTTGGATTAACTGGGCAAGTAGCGTATCTAAACTTCTAGAACTGTTTTTCCGATATCACAATCCATTCCGAATCTTACAAATGGTACAAAGTTAAACGCAGCAGTTCGAATAAGAACAATAGTAATAAATTATGTCCATAACTTCGATAGATATTTGTTTTATTTTCACCACATGATGATTCGTTTGTACATTATTTCACTCCTGATTTAAGGAAAAATGCACTGCATTCAGCACTGCTCACGTAGTGGTTCCTGAAGTCACTAGTCTATACGTGGCTACTTGAATAGGAACTCGACATTCCTGCAATTGATGGTCGGCATGCAAATTTCAGTAACTACATATCATTACAGCATTCCCACTTACTCTGAAGTCGAAGCATGAGCTTTAAATCTCGGACACAGTAACCAGCAGCAAAGCGACAACCTCGAGATGCTGGTGTCAGAAACCTTAATTTTAGCATGAATGAGCAAGATCAGTAGACTCAACAACTTATAGTGTGTAAGCACATTTATGAATATATATCTGACCCTCTAATCGTTTCGCTTACTGCCATATTTGCTTAATTCTTATTCGATTTTCGCGCACCTAGTTGACAAACTCCTTCTAACTTTCATCATTGCCCCGCTCCTCCCCCGTCATTTAGCTTTTTCCTTTTCCTCATTGTGGCAGCCTCCACTTTTTGCAGTCCCATTAACCTTAAACAATCAAATTCAATTATGAGCAAAAATAATAATCTCCAAACGACTGTCAAGTTCACTACGGCTAGTTCTTCCAGGTAGCCTGATTTTAGTGACCTGAGGTTCACACTAATTGATCTCGATAAGAGACGCTAATATTCAGTTCCTCAACTAAGTCAATGTATATGTCATCTAGTTGATCGCGCTGGTAAGTAATTTACAAGCAGGGGTTCGTTATGATAGTTTCCTTGAATCATGAATCCGTGAATGCGAAAGAAAATCAGTGACGTCAGATAGCGATTAGAACTTGTGACTGCCTAAAATATTCTTCTTTACAAGCTTAGATTCAACTTGAAGTAGATGTTAAATAATGTGAATAAAATGACCGACATTATGTATAAGATACATGAATAAGATACGTGAATAAGGAGTGAATATGCTTGAGTATGTAAGTGCAGAGATAATGATTCAGACAGATTCGTAGGCTTCAGAGGTTAACTGCTTTTGGATAGAATAGAGTTGCCAGGAAGTTGACTATGCAGGATCCAAACTGAGGTTTGGACTGAAGAATATCTGTCTAGTTAGTTTAGATACGAGTCTTGCCCAATTTACATACAAAACAATTGAGTTGTGTAAACAACAGTTCTAATATACATCATAAATATGAATATACGTCGTTACCTTAACAAGAATTACCACTTAGTTATTCCTTCAACAATTGTTCAATTAATCGAATCAACAGCACAAATAAATGTTATTCTACCTCTCCTGGATAGGTCAGATTCGTTCGAGAGATAACATTTGGTTGCTTTATAACACAGAGTGTTTCCTATTCTGGAGCTTGTATAGCAATTCGTACGATATACTTCTTCGCAGCATAACAATTGTTACTCCACGAACTCAGAGAATCAAGTAAGAAATAGATTCCAGAGGAAGAAGCATATTTGATACTGGCCTCGTGATATCGAAATAATGTCGAGGCAAGAGGGCGTACAAACAGCTAACGTCCACGCAGGAGACGCGCGAAGAAGAGAATGGGAATAACACGCTTGGCGAGCGAGAGATAGTCTTCAGTACAGATAAACAAGAGGTGTACAATATAACAATTATTGTCAGAATTAAATACAATAATAAATATTTGCATTTCAGCAGTTGCGTTTTCTTCGTAAGAATAAACCACTACAAGTCCTTCAATTAACAACGAAGATGCACAATTCCAGTCGGTACAAGCAACTCAATCAAAAGAGAAACAAATCAATAGGGCTGTCTTCCTGACTAAGTATCAGATTGAACAACATATTGCAGTTCAGAAAGAAACATAGAAACCCAGTGAAGGCAAAAGAAATAGAAACTACAACAAAACGCAAATATTATCATCTCAAATGGAATCGAAAAGACTAACAAAATATACAACTGAGGGAATCAATAAGGACAAATTATAAATGTATACATGAAGGGATTTTCACAAACAAAGCCTTCAAAAATGTATCTTACATACTATGACTTAGAAGTCATTTAATTTCGGTTATGTGATCACAAATTTTATAATATATGGAACACTAGAAGATTAATCTTGTTGCGCGATGCCAAGACACTCAAAGGTGCTGCGAAATGAAGCAGGTATTGTAGTTGACTGACTTACACTTGATTGTTTGTTTTAAAATCTTATATGTTTAGGTCGCCTCAAAATATTTCATGAGACAATTGTTGAAAGTGAAAGTCACTCCTCGCTATCTCTTGTTTATGCTACCTTCTTCCTTGGTCACTCGCCGTTTTCATAATCAGCGCCGTGTATAACGTGCGATGGATTTCGGTAGTTTCTATAAAACGTGTCTAGTATTTTTATAATAGATGTAGTTAGATCTTCTGTGCTGAAACTAGCTCAAGAATCAAGGAACAAAAGGGATTTTTGTCTGAATCGTTTGGCTGAACACGTATATTCTATGTTGCAATCCGAACTGTTGGTCAGATGTTATGATATTGTAAACATTGTTGATTGTCCTTCTGTTTTGGTAAGAATACAAAGATTATTGAACAATTATCTTTCTTTCCTGATGAAATCTACTTTAATATTACTATAAGGCGTCCATAAAATTTTAGCAACCTTAACGAACTTCCATAAAGTTACGAAGACTCATTCGGGGTTAATAGAAATTATGACTTTGCAAATGTGAGTAAAGTGTTTATTTTTTATCCGAGACGTCAACTGTTGTTGAAAAATATCTCAGAGATACCAAAATATTACATCTAATGCAAAAATGTCTAAATCTTACTTGTTTCGTGATTTGTAAGTTCAAAACATTTGAGATGAAGATCAAGACTGGAAAGAAGGATACCTGATCTAGATACCAAAGAAAGAAAATCTCAGCAAGTGTAAGAACTACAGAGACATCACTCTTCTCTCAATACCAGGCAAAGTCTGGTATGAATGAAGGACTTATTAGACGTCCAACTTCGGGATCAAAAGACTAGATTTCGTAAGGATCGATCATGTACAGACCAAATTGCAACGATAAGAATCATTGTGGAATAATCAACTGGATGAAACTCACCACCCTACATCAACTTCATGGACTAAGAGAAAGCATTTGATGGTGTGGACAGGAAAACACTACGGCGTGCCTGATAGGTAAGTCAACATCATAAGGAATTCTCGTGATGAATTAAACTAAAAAGTCGTTCACGGAGGACAATCGACTGACTCGTTCGAGGCGAAGATCGGTGTCAGGCAAGATTGCTTACTCTCATCTTTTCTATTTCTCTTGGTGATCGACTGGATTATGAAGACGTAAATATCTGGAGGGAAGCACGGGATACATTGGACGGCTGGGATGCAGCTGGGAAATTTAGACATCGCAGATGATCTGGCTCTTCTATTTCACACGCAGCAATAAATGCAAGAGGAAACGGCCACAGTAGCAGCAGCCTCAGCAGCAGCAGGTCTCAACATATATAAAGGAAGAAGCGAAATTCTACGATACAACACAACATGCTCCGACAAAATCACTCTTTATGGAGATGCCTTGGAGGAAGTTAACACCTTTACATATCTTGGCTGCACCCCCGACAACCAAGGTGAATCCGATGCAGATGTGAGGGCACGGATCAGCAAAGCAAGGGCTGCATTTCTACAATTGAACAACATCTAGAACTCAAAAAAACTGTCAAACAACACCAAAATCAGGATTTTTAATACAAATGTCAAGACAGTTCTACTTTATGGAGAGGAAACTTGGAGAACTACGAAAGCCATCATGCAGAAGATACAAGCATTTATCAACAGTTGTCTTCGCAAAATACTTCGGATTCGTTGACCAGACACTATCAGTAACAACGTACTGTGGGAGAGGACAAACCAGATTTCACTGGAGGAGGAAATCAGGCAGAAGCGGTGGAAGTGGATAGGACACACACTGAGAAAAGCACTGGACTACGTCACAAGACATTCTCTCACTTGGAACCCTCAAGATCGAAGGAAAAGACGAAGGTCAAGGAACACAATACGCCGAGATATAGAGACAGACATCAGGAAAATGAACAAAAATTAGACAGAACTGGAAAGGAGGCCCAGGTTAGAGAATATTGGTCGTTGGCCTATGTTCCACTGTAGGTAACAGGCGTAAGTAAGTAAGTTCAAAACAGTTTAAAGAAAAATAAAAGCATCTCCCTAACAGTGGATAACATTTTATTGGGATACTGATATATTCTCAATATGTGCATGGGACCGAATAAACTTGAATTTGGGCTAATTTGACCATTTCGATTGCCAAGTGGATGAGGGCAGTGAACTTTGGTACTATTCAACAATACGTATGTACAGTTATGAGGGAAATGATGCTTAATTCATATAATCACGTCTAATAGTAAACTAAAATATCTTTCTTATTATCCTTTATTTTGCATCATGAAGTAAGCAAAGAAATAAAATTGTCTTAGGTCGACATAGTTTTAATAATTTCATAATATCTCTTCATTTAGCAACTCAACGAAATAATAATGTTATTAAGAGCACCAAGTACAGTCAGATATACAAAATAAAAGGTATTTATCTAGGTATTAGAGTTATTGGAACCAAAGTTAGTAGTCCAAACCCATGAAAACGTATAAAATTAACTAACTGGTGGATAACTGAACTGTTGCTGGGAAAAAGGAAAAGATTTACGGATCTAAACAGTGAAGAGAGAGCTTGAAATTAAGAAATTGTTATTACCGGAAAATAGATTGCAAGTCTGAATTGTTTTACTAGTTAAATGTGAAAAGCTTAGATAATACAAAAATTGAACTAAATCCTAAAATTGTGGACACGAAAACAGTAATATGAAATTAAAGCAAAGAAGTAATATTGAAAATAAAAACTGTCATATCTGTACGGTATACTTTGATTAGTTAGATTAGGCTTTAGACGTTTTATGGTCATACTCATTTCTTTGTCTCAAAGATCAAACCTGGAAATTATGGTTAATTGGAGAATTCTACCCAGTTAAAAGCGAATATGTACTAAAAAATCTTTTAAAGTAAACAGTAATTTTACTAATAACCGTACAAATATTTTAGTAAATATGTGTTTCAACTACTCCATAGTTTCAGTGAGTGACTAATGATATGATTTGCAAGTGAATATTTCACTGAATAGAATAAGTTCTCCTAAAATGGAGCACATGAATTTTATTCACTCTTGTGGTGTTAACTAGATACAAGCTAAATGGTGGGCGTTGACCTCTTGATAAAAAGTAGATTTGAGAAGAGATTTCCAAGTTATTCACCCTTACAAATCGAATCGAATCATTATTAAAGTGAAGCAAGCATCAAGAACGGTACTGATTACGGGCTTGCTTTGTTGTGAATAAACTTTAGTCTTCAGTATTACCGACTGCAATGGAAATCAATAGTTTCATAGAATACTCAACAGGACCTGAAAGTCATAGACTTCGTCTCCCGTAATTTCGATAAAAGAGTATCGAACTTGGACAAAAAGATGATTCAGTTCTCTCAGATTTTTACAATTTTCTTGCTGATCTCAATTCATGAAATTAATTAACATCTTAGTCTAACATTTGTACTGCTTGGAATAAATGTTGTAAATAGTATTTAGTTACTGATATTTCATGTAAATATTTTATATCAGAAACTCTAATTTAGGAGACAATGTTTCATAAACCAAAAATATTCATTTTTCTTTACAAGAAGTTTCGGTTTTTGACATTTCACTTTCGTGGCCATTTTTTCATCATAACTGAAAATCTTCGTTAATCTACTTAAACTTTTTATATCAGTACTTTCCCGATGTTTTCTAGATAAAATATATTCTTCTAAATTATAGCTAGACAAATGTGCATTCTACAGATTAAACTCAAAGAATTTTTCATTTTACAATTATCTGTTTTTCCTAAAGGAGGATTTAGACAGTTTTATACCTTATGCAAATGTCAATGAAGTTCAAACAGGCTTACCTCCATTTTCAACGGATCAAATCAAAAAAAGAATTACAGGCTTACATTTACCGTACGGTACAGGTATATTCACTATTCGATTGCCCGATTATCAACCTCGGTTTGGATATCGAAGGTCAGGCATTGTTCTTCGACAAGTAGTTATTAAAGGGGAAGTAGAAAGTTTATTTGTTGCGGGAGTAGAACATGGTAGTCCAGCAAGCAAGTAAGCATTATTTTTTTCAGAAAAACTTATATGCTATAATATTATTTGTATTCTCTTGTCTCCAAAAAATAATTAAAACAGTGTAATGGTTATTGCTGATAGTATTTAATATAAAATCAAGCAATCAGGAAACACCTAGAATTTTTTTTGAACAGTGATATTATAGAAGGAGGAGGACAAATGAATGGTATTTTAAATACAATTATATATATATATATATATATATATATATATATATATATATATATATATATATATATATATGGAAGCAAACAACTTATAAAGTGATTTTATCAACTACCATCTAAGCTAGTCAGAGTAATATGTGCGCAGTCTGTCACATGTGATCTAACATACATAGTCATAGAAACATGATAATAGTAATATAAAGATGTAGACATATTGTTACTGACTTAATGATACTGTGGAGCTAAGCTAAATTAAATGTACTCAAACCTAAGTGAAGGTGAAGTACTTTATTACTTGTATACTTTAACCAATATCGAATATCATTAACATTTCATTGTCAAGAGATGAAGATGAAGTTTCTACACTATTTAACTAATTTATTGATTTAGTCAGTGGTAAATATTTAAACATTTACAAAGTGAAAAAGAGATATACCTTCATGATTTACTCACAAAATAAATTGATTTTCGTTATAAGGTTAATGATAGAGAATCTATATTAGGTCACGCTCACTAATCACCACAGTGAATTTTTTTATACAACAGGTATGAAATACGTCTTAATAATTTAATCATTTTGTAACTTGATTGGATTTCAAAAACTTAATTCATTATTTTAGTGAAATGTTAATTGTATGTATTTTTATGGTAAAGATTATATTATAGTTAAGTAGTAATAGTAGTACTATCAGATGTTTTACTAGTAGACTTGAGAATTTCGTACCTTTAACGAATGTCATCTTTTTTGATGCATTGTAATTAACGAATGATATGTTAACATAACGGACCTGGTATGTATCATGTCAGATGCACTGTAGAAGATTAAAGCTTAACTTCCGAAACAATATATTCTTAATTATAATAAACTTTCACCCGGTGGCCTACTTTGGTACTACTAGCTCTTGAATGAAACGTGTGGTTTATGTATGAATAGACAAATGTTCACTTGGTTGGTGAACAAAAAATATGATGAATTTTGAAGTAACCTAAAACTTGTTTTATTTTGTATAATGTTTAATTAAAAAAATTATAGTTTTTAATGCATAAACTGTTTCGAGCTCTAGCAATGCATATGACATCGTTCCTAGAAACCTATGTCTACAAGGTACCTGAATCCTCACTGATACGATCCCCGGACACCTAGTGAACAATGAACATAATATAAACGTCTCTAAAGCATTTAAAATTTCTAATAAAAGGAGGTTTTTCTGAAGTAACTGCTACTTTAAACACTAACCTTGAAGTAAAGCAATCACCGTTTACTTTGCGTCTTTTCTCATGTGTTCAAGTTGCAGCGCAGAATCTAGTCTTGGGTATCTAGAAGGGGGCGCCCAAACCAAAACATGGCACAAATCCATGAAGTCACTGACAACTGGATTGAGTCATGTTGGTAGGTGTCGACTTACCTGGTCGGGGCCTGCGAGATGATAGTAACTGGTGGTTAGAGAACCTGAATGACGGCTCAAAACCGTTTGCATTGGCGAAGGTACAGTCATTTTTTGTGTTCTCTGAAATCCGAACCTTCAGAGTTCCTCATCACCTTTATCTTTTTCTATTCAAGTTTATTTCACTAGATTCTATTTCTTGATTAATATCCTCGAACCCTAATCTCTCCGATAACAGCTAATACTTTTCTACTTTTACTACTATGGGATTTGAATTGACAATTAGACAGTTTTAGATTATCGAAATTATATCCCTAATGAAAATTATACTTATATGTAGTACCGACATTCTGAATAACTGAAAAATTGCTCATAAAACTAGACATCACACTTTTATTAAACAATGGTTATCCTCTCGTATTGTCTTTGCTTTACTCAAACTACTTTATATTAAGTTTTTTTTATAATTGTGACTAATTGTGACCTGTTTTTGCTTCATTTTTGTTACATGTATACTGAGTTTTCATGTAACCATATGATTACATTGACTAATCCACTCATGTAATTTTTTCAGTTTTTTTATGTTCGTTTACGTTTCTAAAAGTTCAAGAATTACTGTTTGTTGCTGTCATCACAATCACTATGTTGCTCATCATTCTGACTTTCAAATTTAACTCACATTACAATGAACAAAAATACAAAGAGTAGGTGTGACATTTTGTGCATCCCTTTATGTGTTCGCGTGTTTAGATGGCTGCGGTTGGTTGCATCTTGTTCGTTTAACTGTTTTTCTAGTATAATCAATAATTAAGCGGAATCGATTCACCTTATGGTGGACAGTGTGATTCGTTGAATTGAGGTGAAGAATAACATATATATATATAATATATATATATATATATATATATATATATATATATATATATATATATATATATATATATATATATATATATATATATATATATATATAGAATAATGCCACAGTCAAGACAATCGTTTTTCGTAACTGTCTGGTGAAATAATTGAATCTGTCATTATTTTACCTTACCTAAAGATGAGTATATTTATCAGTAATCTAAATGATATTAGTATGTTGAAAGTTACCAGCAAAGAGAAGAGTTCCCGTAGATCAACGTTCACGGCGTAATCAGAATATTTGGAGACCAGAAAAAGAGCTAGAAAAGTCAGTATGTAGTCAGCTTAGATTGTAGAACTCATACAAATGCGACTGGATAATTGTAGACTAGCTGTACATATAACATAAGAAAGCTGTGTTTTCTCTAAATACATATATATTCCATATGAACGTTGTTTGCTCCTAAACTGGTACAGTTAGTGAATCCAATTTTGTACACTGATATTTATCAGTAAGATTCGCCTGGAATTATAGAGTAGTTGTTCAATTCCTATGAGGATGAGTTATTTTCCCCATGATTCACCTGTAGCATCCTTTGGATAATGTAACTTTCAGCGGGGTTTAAGATATATCTTGTGAATAAGTTGAAAGCTTAGATTCAAAGCTTTTTCTTAACTGTAAAATATTTATTAAATTCCAACTCAGTATCTAATTCTTTAGTTTAGTCTCTATCTTACTTAGCTGAATTACTTAATCGATAACATACTACAATATACACATGACATCAGTTGATATTCACTGATAAATTAATTCACAACACATAAGAGCGCATTACAAACGAGATTTTTCAGATTTTTCTAAAAACCTAATAAATCTCTGCTGTGCACTAGGCTCCTAGGTGTATTCTATGATGGTAAATCAAAATTCCAGTTTGTCGATAATAAAGTGAGACCATTTGACAGCACCAAATAATTCAAGACTTGAAAGTGAAGCAACACCTTTTATTTAAAATTGTCAAAATTTGTCGCATTCATTTTGAATTAAATGAGTTATTTCAAAGTAAGAAAAATTATATTCAGTTTAGTTTCGACCTAATGTTTAAGGTACCAATACTTTAGAAATAGTAAATATTCACTTGCTGAACTAAAATTTTATATGTTAGCTTACTATGTACATCGGACCATTACTACCACTTAAAAACATACCAATACTATTGACAATTAGAACCTATTTGCTTACTCATAGAGTAATGATGATAATATTCATACATCATTCACTGTAATTAATACTTTATAAAAGATCACTTGTTATAATATTCAAAATCATTGCTTTGAAATTTTTTCAAAATATTGTGTTCTTGATGCATTCTTTGTAACATTTAGGTTTATTACTAATAGGAGTGTATATAAAGCTTAATAAAATAACTAATTAGGTCATTAAGACTATCTTCATTAAATTATTGTTAAAATTAGATATGGTTGTGTATAGTTCTTCAAAGTAAGCCATTTACAAACAGTAATGAAAAATTATTTTGTAATGGGCGTCCGTTAATGGATTTAGGAACGTGTGAAGGAAAGAACATTTTTTAGTAGAAAATTTAGTAAAGATTAACAAGAGTGTGTCTGGTTTCAAGCAAGCTATTCTAAGAACTAACTTTCATTTTTAGCATTAGACATAATCTTTGCGAATCTAAGCACACGATCCAAAGGTTTTCAATGGGTCTCAAGTTTGAAATGGTAAATGGAAATCTACCGCTGAATAAATCGATAATCACGTTACTTATCTAGACATTTTATCGATTGTAGCGACGGCAACCATTGTAATAACAACTTCATTATTGTATTAATGCATGCTTTAGTTCAAGTAAACAAAAGATAACTACTCCACTAGTTTAAGCTTATGAAATATTTTACTTGAGCACATAATGTACGAATTCGGAGAGCTGTAGATAAGATTGTCACCCTCGGAAACGACTGTATAATATGTGTACGCAGTAAACTGTATACTATATATATGATTCATGAAAATTCTGAAGAAAAGTCCTTGCAGTATTTTTATATGCCTCGTAGTCCGATGAAATATTATCTTTAACTTTACATTTTTGCTGCATGTGCCCGAAAAAGCCAGTTTCCCATTTTTTTCTCACCAGTAGCTTTTGTTATGAGCTTAACTTTTCACTTCGGACTTGCAGATACCGCAAAATTCACTGAGTAAGTGAATCACCAGTTTGAAATCTGAATTCTATCTTCAAAAACATATTAAAATTAAAATTCCCTAAAGTACCATGTAAACATTTTCATGTCTTTTTTAATTTTGCAAACACTATGTCAAATGAATAATCAAATGAATAATATTATCTTTAACTTACATAGAATTTATAGATATACACTTTATATTGCCTTCAATTCCATTGTGCTATAAGAAAAAATCACCAGAATCTTATCTAACAATGACTGTTAGTAAATTTTATGTCAAAATAACAATGGAAATATTTTAATCAATCATAAGTGGAAATTTTTCCAATTATAAATTTTCCATTTTTGGTTAGCCAAAGGATAGTTTGGATTTGGTGAATTCGATTTTGCCTGAAACTAAAACTTTGTATAACGTAGAATAGATTATAAATTATAGTTCTTTGTATGAATCTTTGTTCTTGAATAAATCTTCACAAAATGTAAATCATTACAGATCATCTGAAGTACTTCCAGAACTATTGATGATAAGTAGTTCACTAATAGTGATCAGCTTTTTCATTACTGTACAAAATACTGGTATATATATATTTATATATATATATATATACGTAGATAGATACCTAAAAATACCCTCTAAAGAATTGAAATTTGAGCTTCGAAAAAAGTGTTTGGTTAAGTTTTTACTGTTTATGTATGTCTTTGCTTTATTTATTTATTCAATACAACAGTGCAACTGATTTGCAGATGGGAGATCGTATATACTCTATATCAGGTTACCCGCTGGACTGGCATACATTAGAACAATTAAGATACAAGCTAATTCACCTGGATGGATTGGCACCAAATTCAAATATTTATGATTTAGCTAACTATTTACTGAATAGAGCCTATCAAAATATTGGAAATGCCCAAGATCATCATCATAATTTAAATAAAAACAGTAGTATTTTTAAAGTCCCCAGCGAACCAAGTGATTCAACAATTTTTGAACCTCCAATTCTTGTTATCATTCGTTATCCGAAATCAAATTCATTGTGGTCCAATCAAACAGCTAATGGTGAAACAAATGAATTACAAGTAAGTTTATCTTCGATTTTAATTCTTGGAGTAGCGTCTAATCAAACAATTTAAAAATAATCATAATAGTTTTAAATCACTATTTAAATTATTATAACAGAATCTACTTGCTGACTGTCGAAATTCATTTTAAATGCAACAGCAACAACAATAAAGGCTTTCTATTTTTCATTATACAAATTTGAAACGGTGTTAGGATATTAAGAAGTTTTAGCAGTAGAATTATCTACGGAAATATTTGGATAAAAAGTCATGAATCACTAATTGTTTTAATGAAGTTAATCCCACGCATTTTTAATTCACCATTTTCACCATGTTTTCTGTGTTTTTTCTTTTGTGAACTACAGACAAAACCCAATAAAAAACCACTCAGTTGTTATGAAACAGTTCTTGAAAATGAAGATAATGACATAGGACTTGGTTTACAGATAGGATCTAATCAAGGTATGTTATAGTTTGATATTAAGATGTTTATGAATATTATTTTGTGATAAACACAATGATACTACTCGAATCATATCTTCAAATCCTAATCTTCTCCATTACTGCTAATACTTCTACTATCGCTACCACTATTGGATTTGAACTGACAGTTTCGTCTCTGTGCTAATGTGGTATGGTAACCTGAACTGATGTACGTACGTACGAAGTTCTGTGTTGTATCTGTCTCTCTGTCTGATAAGTTATTATAAGGGCATGTTCAGTATAGATGATATGAAAACTTACAAAGAGTTTTTGAATTCTGAAACAAAATTGTTCAACTACACGTTTTGCTTACGGTAAAGTTTCATAAAAGTAGGCTAGAAATTGTCTTAATAATTTTAGTCTGAGCGCTTATTTGAACCTTACTTCTGATACCAATTGTACTCTGACATTGTAGGTTTTTCGTTAAATGACTGTTACATCACCCAAAATACAAACGACCTGAGGATGAATAGTAGATTTCTAAAGAAAAGAAATATAACATTACATGAGTTTATGACTTATCCTTGTTGATTAACTACAGTGAAATATTCATCATAGATCACAATATTGTGTCAACAATTGTTATTCGTTCTGCAGTTAATGAAATATCTAGAGATTGACAAACATCGCTTACTGAAACGGTTATTTTCGTAGTTAATCTTCTGTAAAAACTGAATGATAATTAATGATGTTGTTATTTTTGAATAAATTTAACAGATAACACGGAAATCCACATTGTTTCTATATTCAAAAATAGTCAAGCTGAAAAAGACGGTGTTTTGAAGGAAGGCGATCGTGTAGTTGAGGTAAATATTTTCTTTAGATAGTGCATGATTAGTATGCTTTGAAAAAATAACAGATTCCCACTATTGGTTATGGAAATTTGGGGTCAAAAGACTAATGGAAGAGGTTTGATAAACTACATTTCTGCGCTTAAAAAATTAGAAGAAAGTTATTTAAGATTAATTCGAAGTTGTTTGATCCCGTAGAATTTAAATAAACCACAGTACCAATCCAAGCTACAACTCACCCATCAGTTTGTAAGAGACTTCTTACATTCGGAAGAAGTTGCAATTTGCGATGAAGATTTGCATAATCAGTCTTTTAGTTATCTGTCATATTGTTGAGGGTTTCGTAAACATAAAAACTAGTTGCACAGTTGATATATCATCTTGAATTTTCCTGAAGTTTTTGATTTTTTTTGTGTTTGACACTTATGAACCATTTAGAATATCTAGCAAACGATAATTTCCAAAATAACAGTTTGAAATAGTATCCACAGTAGAACAAAACTATTTCTATATTTAATCTTATTATTCCATAGAATTATACTATTTTTTAGAATAACAACCAATACAACTGAAGTGTCAGTGTAGGAGTGACAAATCAAACATCTGTCTTTTAACATATTCTGAATCAATATATCTGTGAAGATAGAGTACGCAAAATCAATAAATAAATTTGTAAACCGTATTTAAATCAAATGTCGGTTTTCGAGAATGAACACAACTTTTAGGTGGATAAATTTTAGGGCATAACTGATAGATATCAATTATCTAGTCTTGGAAATTTATTTAGAATACTCACCTACAAAATAGGAGTTCAATCAACTAATATCACTAGTACATTCGTACATAAACATGATAACAATTATCTATACGTTATTAATTTGCGTCAATAGTTTCAAAGTACAATTTTAGTGATTTCTACTACAAATAAAAATTGTTCTATATTTTTACAAAAAAATTTTTTTAAATCACTATTGTAGGTAAATTATCAAACTCTTGAAGGTTTAACAGCTAATCAAGCTTTGAAAAAAGTTAAAAGCATATGTCGAAACACTAAATATGTACAGATTAAATGTGCAAGGAATCTTCAAACTGATAATCATGTTAATACGACTAATAATCATTGTAAGTTGAATGTTTAAATTTGATTTGATTTGATTCAACCAATTTTAAATTTTTACATGTAACTATATCAATTATTGGAAACTATTTAAAACATTCTGAGATCGATACAATGTTACATAATTCTCTATTTATTAGTAATGCTAGTCTAATCATTTTGAACATGGTAACTTGAAGTTGTTCATTTATGTTCGCCATTAGTAAATCATTTCCTGCGTAAAAATTAGCATATTTAATATACAGTAATAACACTTTTATATTATTCAGAATATATCTCATGTTATTTCGTCATTTGTCGGAAATTATCACTGATATTATTAGTATGCATTCAATTATCAATTAAGAACCTATGCTTCGAAACAAAATGAAGCGCTTAATATGACTAGAAAATTATCACAAATTTGAAAGTCTTCTTATTAGTTTAGAGAATATTTTCTAATCCCTTAGATTATTATTATTATTATTATTATCATTATTATTTCTAAGAAGTCTTAAAACATTATCGTGTTAAAACGATATCATTTGTTAATTTTAAAACCATTGTAATATATTCAATCTTGAAATATTTAATAAAATGCCACAAACTTTTCTTTCTTGTTATTTTGATAGTGATTTCGTCTTCTAATGACAGACATGAACAATCTGAAAACAGTAAAGTGTTAAATAATGTACATGATCCTGCGTTATATAATGAAGATGTTTATGAAATTAGTACTGATGAGAAAAGTGTATTGACAAGGACACCGACTCTGATACTGAGCGCTTCAGACACATCTATAAATGCTTCTGAAGAGGAGACGGTTTTATTCTACAACTGTAAATTTAATAAACCTGGTAAAAATGATTATTTTGATGTAACGTAAAAAATATTATTTATTTTGTGTTTTACATTCATATGTAGTTTTAATTTGAGTATATTTTTTTGTGGTTTAAATTATTCAACATGTTCGACTGATATAAGCTAATCAGTAAATTATTATTTTATGTTGACTAATAACAAAGTCACAGTCAAAGTAATTAACAAAATTTACCATAAACGTATCTAGTAGTTCATACAGCACTCAGAATATTTCTTACATTATCTAGTGTTATTTGGAGTTTATATATGTCTGTTAGTTTTAAACCTACACATGTTCATTGGATTACGACATCACATCAGTGGTACCGAACGAAATTCCCTTTGTCGTGTATTCTTGAGTAAATTTATTCCTGTCACCGCCTCTTTTTTCCGCATTTATCCTATAAACTGTGACTAAACTATCAGTATTCTTCGATAAAAATTATAATAGTTTGTTTACTTCTGTGGCTGTACAATCCATAAACAGAATTGTTAATAAATAAGAAATGGAGAAATAAAAATTGACAAATTATTTTAAATGTCATTTTTTAGAACCAAAATAATTTGTCGAATGTCATAATTAACTGTGTTTAAAAATTCATCAAATATCTAAATAAAGAATTATGTTGAGTGACAAGATGAATCGCCTGTAATAATTTTGACTATATTTAGTTGACTCTTTCCACGAATGGCTTGCATTTCAGATAATACTTTGAATTATACAACACTATGATTCTTTGGACTAAATGTATGAATCGGTTCGTGACAGCCATGAAAATTCTACTTCCACCTAGTTTATCATAATTACTCTAAGGTTTTATCATAAAACCATTGATGAACTTGCTAGAAATGCGGCACTAATAGACTCAACTAGTTTTGAGTTTGAAGTTAATACTCATATTATAATATTAATTAAAACTACCTCAATAAATAGTTTTTGAATGTGTCAAACTTGATTTTTAATCATCAGGAGTCGTGGATGCGCACTGCTGATGAGTCCCATACCAGGACGAAACGGCCGTCCAGTGCTACAAGGTTTCTAATGGTGGTCTAACAATGAGTGATTGATGATTTCAAATGTGTAAAAACACAAACCTCCGAAACTCTGCCCGAAGATAATATTATTATTTTTTTGGTTCCTTCTACTTAATATGCACATATTTCATATCAGTAATTTAATTTTTCCGTTTCCAGGTAACAAGTATTTGGATAAGACAAATAGTTATGATCAAAGTTTATTGAAAAAATGGTTAGATATATTCAGTCCTGATGTCGAATTACTGGTAAGAAACTATATTACTATCATTGGCGTTATCATAACAGTGAATCGATAATAGCTGGAATCTTTCGTGCGATTATTTATATGGAACCACCATGCAAGGATATTCAAATGTAGAACTATTTCGGCATATGAGTTCGAAACACCACCACAACTTTCAGTCAATTCGTTAAAGAAATAGATTAAATGTCTAAAGATTTCAAATGAAAACTGAAAGATTAAGAGATATATGGAAACTAGTCAACGTGTTTTATTCCTTTTCTATGTATGGGATACTGCCGCGTTCTTCCAGTTTTTCTGTAAGCGTCCTGAAAGTATTGATCACGATCATTTCTCTGAAGAAGCCAAACTAGTTTGTCCCAAAAGAAATTATAATTATTTAAATTTTAATGACTGGTATTATTTTAAATCTAATGTACAAAACTATGTGTAAAAACATTTACATGATGATTACTATTAAGTTGAACAGTGCTTTCACCTATATAAACCTGTTGGCATTTATGTTTTATAAAAATCCACAACGGGTTCTCATTACTTCAGGCATGCTCAGGTGTTGTTACTCAGCACATTTTAAAGTTGACAATTTTAAAATTTTATTGCTAATATGCTTGCGTACACCGTCATATTAGTTTGCCTCTCAACTAAACTTTTAATGTATAATTACATATATGTAGACTATTACTTGTTTATAGACTTCTCTTTTTGTAGTTAGTACATTATGACATAACAAATTCCAATTGTGGACTGGGTATCGGTATTGAAGATACTATACTAGATGATGAGATGTTCGGTGAAAGTCAGCATCATCATTATATAGTGGAAATTAATCCAGAAGGACCTATTGCTAAAGATCAAACTCTGTCAATTGGAGATGAATTGCTTGAAGTTAGTTTTTTTTCTCACTTGCTAATATTTTATGATAACTGAAAATGAACACATTTTTTTCATAATTTAAACATTATATTCCCTTATTACAAGCATCAATGAGAGAATTGATAAGATTAATTTTAAGTTTACAGGCAAGTAACTATTCATCAACGTATGCACAAACAAAAGGTAGCTATTTTTACTGTAATTTTCAAGATACTATCCATGGTTAAGATGACTAGGCAAGTTAGAAGTTATCGTTGCGAAAATATTCAAAGAACTCTAGGCTTAACGTTCACTCTGCTGTTGCCCAGATAAGTTCTGAGGTTATTAGAAATGGCTAGGGAAATTGATCAAGTGATCATTTAGCAAAGTTACTATATTCCTATGTTTCCTTTTTAATTCCTGGTTTTTAAATCATTCCAATAATTTGTCATCCATTATCATTTATTTACACTGTTTAAACAATCATTTTTCATTGAAAGTATTTTTTGTTCATCAAATAAAATCTGAAAATTGTTTTCTTTTTACTTCATATTGTAAATTAGTAGTAAGTGTCTGTAAAAATAACATTTAGTTTCTTGGTTTTATAGTTTTCTAACTAATTATTTCTTCTTTTAAAGATAAACAAACTTATTTTACTGAATTGTATTATTCACTGAAATTTCTCGATGTTTATAGCCGAATAGAACGATGAAATAAATTAAACCTAATTTATTATGACTATTTTGATCAATTGCATTCCATTGAACTGTTTATCTTTCTATCTATAATGGTGTTTTTCTTTCTTCGATAAAATGCCTACTCATCAAACAAAATAAACGAAATTTTGTGTTACCATTAATTATGATAAAAGTTGTATTGAATATGATTGTATTTTCAGAATTGATAACATCATCAGAAAACATAGGGAATACGTGAAAGCTGTTTCAACTTAATACGAAACTTGCTATTAGAATATACCTTTCAAACTCGCCGAAGGTCAAATGGACAATATTTCGGTCTAATGGCCATTGTATTATCACTTGGGCCACTGAATTGTAATCCGCTTGTTCACCTTCCGAAGTCCAGTTAATTTGTAACATTCGCATTCTGGATTCACTGCCATTGATGATTTTTGTTTCATTCCCAAAGTGGCTACACTCTACAAGATATGACCTTTTACTAGAAATTTAGGGATGGTTTTTGAACACAGTCGTTAATCACTACAGTTTCAATGTTTGGTGATAAGGTCTGTAGAGCTTATTTAGAACTGAAGTTTGTTTTCTTGAGGGATTAATATGAACAGAGGAATCATTAAATTCTACTTCTTGAATAATATCTTCGAACACTAATCTCTCCAATTACTACTTATACTTTTACTACCTCTACTACTATGGGATTTGAATTGACAATTACATCTCAGTGCTAATGTGGTATGACAACTTGAACTGATGTATGTACACACGAAGTTCAACGTTGATTGACTAACTGAATCATGGAAAACAAGAAAGTCATTAACTAGATGTAATCTTATATTTTGGGATACCTCACCATTTTATTTTTCTTATACAAAGTAATGATTAGTTATCAGCTAAAATAATAGAATACTACAATAATTTTTTGATCTTTTTCATTTTTACTAATAATATCCGATATATTTCATACATTTCAGATTAACGATGTCATTATTGTAAACAAAGATAATTCAGAGATCGCTAGTATTTTTCATACCATTCCTACTGAAGGATATTTAATATGTGCACGTTATCCAAACGAATCTTCTCAAAGTGATGTCAAAGGGGAGAATGGAAACGACGAATTGGTTCTAGCCAGTGTTGTTCCGTTCACTCGAACTCTGAGTGATGGTGAAATCCCCACTGTTGATTTCAATGGTCAGGATATGGATAATAATTCTTTCGATGAAACAAATTCAGGAAGTAAACAAAACTTCGCTGTGACATCACTGGACAGTGAAGCAGAAAACGATGAACATGCTGGATCTGATGTTGATGAAGATCGACACCCAATAAAACTACTATCGATTACTTTGAAGAGTCAAAGCTCCAGTTTTGAACATCAAACTGAAGATATGCAAAATAATAAAATGGTATATTATTGAAATTACGCGCCTGATTTTGTCAGCCTTTCTTTATTGATATCATCATTTTGTCACTATATGCAACTGGTCACAAACCAGAAAACTAAAGTATTGAGTCATAGTTTATACGACAAATTTTATTTCTTAATTAACTCATTTGAGAATAGGATATGCAACTATTAGCTCACCAATCTTAGTAGGATTTCCTTTTTTCCATTTAACTAGTACAATTTTCAGCCATATCATGTTTACATTTACAATGAAAGAAATATATCCGCTTAGTTAAGTAGGCTTAAATAATTCAATTAAGCCTGGTCATTTCAGATGTGCTGCAGATAATTTAAAAGCAAAAGGCCCCATGAGTATGTATTTGAAGTTTACACTTCATGTATGTTTCGATGAAGCACATCACCTTTCATTATGAATGAGTATGTATTTGAAGTTTACACTTCATGTATGTTTCGATGAAGCACATCACCTTTCATTATGAATAAATATCATTTTAATGCTAATCTCTCTTCAGTGTTGTGTCTGTTTTGACGTTTTCGGTTTCGATTCTTAGCGCGAAAAAAGTACTGGAACTCTTTCAAAAGGGTCTTAGTTCTTCAAACTGCTCTCTCACTTTGTTAATTTGGTAGACTTCTCAATACACAATCAAATAATTCATTAACTTAGAAATAAAGTCGTCCTATTTTATCTTGAGTTTCATTTACCGAGTTATTATACCTCGTTTTTTTACTTATGGAATGTTTACCAAAAAAGTGACCTACTTTTACTTTTAGTCAGTGCTAAGAATATAAGCCTATTCTATTTATAACTTTTGTTTCCAAATAAGGACCGTTACTGACAAGCTAGAATTAAAATTAAGCTACTTTAAACCTAATTCAGTAGTTGAATATATATTATATAAATTTTATGGGGACTTCAGTCTTAGCTTGTACAGCGGTTCGATTTCTAAACGAACAAGTTTTCTTTGAATTTAATTAATGTCATGACTTCTGTAAATAATGTATATACGTTTACTGTATAAAACCTCACGTTACTAGTTTGAAAATTTATTGGATAGAATTTGATGTCCGAATTAGTAATGTGGTTACAAAAAGTCACTTGCTAATGATGGTTAAATATACATTATGATATTTTTCATTAGTTATTTTAAATGACGTTGTGACACTCAAAGGTATCTAGTGGTGTAGTTAAACTTACTACCGTACAAAATTTGCTGTTAGATTTATTCTGAAATAGACTACATAGACACGTGTTTTAACCATAGATCAGCACTTACATGAACTTCAGACTTAATCGAAGCTTTAATTTCGGAGGTTTAATACATACATTAGTTTTTGTGTTGCTAAAAGATCATTACCCAGTTTGCGATTCACCTGGTTTATTTACACAATGAATTGCTTGATTTTGTGAAAATCTATGTCTATTTTTTTAGAGAATTGAAAATTTTAAACCAAAAATGAATAAAGATAACCTAGCAACGGATAGTCGAAAATCTACAAGAAGAGGCTCACTGACACGCCTTCCCATGGCTGCTAAATTAGCGAAATCCATGGAAAAATTACCGTGTCATGAAACGTCGTCTCAAGTATCCGGTTCAATTTTCGAAAATAACAATCCAAATCGTGATAGAATAAATCAATTGAATGAAATAACCAATAACAATTATGATGTCTTAACTGTTAAAGTTTTGAAAAAAGCAGGCGAAATACTTGGTAAGTTATTGGATGTAATTCATTGATTGATTATTGATGAAACTAAATTTCCATTTCAAAAATGACAGATCATCCACTGTATCGAAATAGAAATTATTGTATTCCCACTTACTAAATACAGGTCACTTGTCGCATAGTTAAAGTGAACTCTTGTCCCTGGTTCAAAGGTATTATGTTATTCACTAAACGCGGATGTATTAAGCTTTGTAACTTTGATTCAGTAAAAAACAATTTAACATATTTTAACACTTCTGTTTGCATTTCAAACGTCATACATACTATGTCTTCAGATCAGTGTTGAAATGGAACTTTTTTTATGGGACGGTAAATATACATTGATTATTGTTAATGTAAAAACAAATGTAAGTTACTCCTAATGGAGTATAGTTTTCGTAAAATTATATATTTCACATTATTTTTGACTTCTTATTTAGGTCTAGAACTGGAATTAGAAAATGGTGATGCAAGAGGCATTACACTTGCCCATATTACTCCTGGAAGTCCTGTAGATCGTTTAAAATATTTGAAGAACTACAAAACTATGGATCTCATTGACACCAACTCGAACTACTCGAAACTATCAAAACCTTTAACAAATGATGATGATTTACGTATTCCTTGTGTGGGTGATCGTATTTTAGGTGTATCAGATTACAGTTTCCAAAATATGTCAGCGTTTACAGCTTTAAGATTATTAAGAAAATTAATTTCTTATTCTGGTATTATTAAGTAAGTTATTAAAAATATTTCTCTAATATTGAATCGTTTTTAATTGAAACTACTTAACTTTCATCGTTGCTGAAAACAATATAGGGATTTTAACCGCAACTGTGCCTTACATTATACTGTACTGTTCATGAATTACATGGGTCCCATGATTTGCAAATAATGATTTAAAAAATTTATATGCATAAATGAAATATTCAGTCAATCATAATCAACATAAAGTCTGGTATAATTGTGCGTTGATCAAAGTTGTTACAAAACGATAGCACAACGAGGTGAAATTAACAAGGTTAATGACAAAAACATTAGATTAACATATTAGAAAGATTGCGAAATAACTTCAAAAGGACAGAATGAAAAGATAATTTCGAACAAGTATTAGAACTCAGGACTTACAGTAAGCTAGAGAACGAGTGTTTCTAGATCACTGTGATCATGTCACCCACTTTATCTAACTACTGGTCGCGTGGACCTGAACTAGGTTGTTTGAACCTGGCATAATGAGTTATAGCAACAACCATCAAATTCTCAAACTGATGCCACGTTCTGGCTTGGACAACCTTACATTTCTTATGACTTAATCCTTTTTTTAAACCATGAGTCGATCAATGTTAGACCACCATTAAAACTTGGAAGCACTGGATGGCCGTTTCGTCCTGGTATTGGACTCATCAGCAGTACGCATCCATGACTCCTGCACCTCGGAGGAACCGAACCCAGGACCTTCGGCCTTGCCCGCGAACTCCTAACCTCTGGACTACTGAGCCGGTATCTAACGGTGTTAAAGTCTAACTTGATCGATTCACGGAGTTGCCCAACCTCACACACAGTCTTCGGTAGTTACTGTCTACAACCGGACAGGTTGAACTTCACCGGTCACAACTTCCCACTAGAACTCGGAGAAGACTCCTCACGGAGCTAGTCACTAGTGAGCACAGGTAATTTGCATTAGGGGGTTGTGAAGATTGTTAAGTTACACATTTTGAAACCATGAATTGATCAATGTTAGACCACCGTTAGTAATCATTTGTCTTTTGTCAGTAAAATGACTATGTTATTTACCTTACATCGCCTGCCTAGGCGGGCAGTGTTCTACCACATGTCATTTTACGGGCATTTCTTCTGCTCTAAACTAGCAGATGGAGGCATTTAAGAACATCGTTTAAATCCAGAAGTCGCAAAATTTACTGGCGATAGTATTTTAACAGACATTCCTCAATACAGTTACAATGAAACGCTTACTGGGGGAATGTTAAACGGTAACGTTATTCAATATAAGTCACCACTTGTGTTTTTATAAAAAAGCAACTCAAAATAGAGAAGTGTATTCTACATTTCCTAGTAATAAAGCATATTACAAAGTGTTGAATAGTTTTAGAATTGCTTCTCTCTTTCTAACGACTAGTTTTTATTACTTACTATCACACTAAAAGTTACTGAAATTTAGATTTCGTTTCATCGTCCAAAATGTTTCTAACTATTGTCACGTATTATCACTTCATTTTTCAACCTTTTATAGTAGTAGTGACGAATAAACTTTAAAGAAGTCAGTCATCCTTTTTTTTAGAGAATAATGAAAATTAAATAATTGAGTAATTGCATAGGAAAAAAAGAACAGGAATTATGCTTTGATGAAAATGATCTCAAACATCAGTGGTCAATATCAATTGTGGTTTTTTTTAAAACAAAAAATAAGCTGGGTTTTTTTCCCTTAATAGTTAATTTTCTCTCGTTTTGTGCTTGTGTTTATTTATTTTATTTATTTCTCTGACTCGTTCAGTTGTAACTTGTTTCCTATCATAGTTATAAATCAATGTCAAGTGATAATTGTTTGTATATGTGTGCATGTATGCATGTATGCTTCTTTGTATGTGTAATCAAATTGAAAACAATTATTATTAATTTATAATTTCATTCTCGTTATCTTTTATTTGCTTGACTTAGTCCGTTTTATTTCTGTTGTCCTGACTAACTTTGTAGGATAACAAAGTTGACAAAGAGAGGAGACGTGCTAATATAAAAAGCAAAACAAAGAAGTTTATATAAACCAATCAACATAAATTTTTCGAGGGATGCCTATAACAGTCAGTGGTTAATAATAATGATAATGATAATATTAATAATAATAATAATAATAATAATAATAATAATAACCAAAATAAGTGGTTGTTAAAATCAAAACAGGAAGTGTTGAATTTGACGAAATTTTGACTAGGACATAAAAATTAATTTTCGTCCATGTTTAATGCTGAACAAGTCAAATCAATATGTTACTTATCTGTTATTTATCTTTCTAGCTGTGTTTTGCGTGTACACGTAGACAATAAATGAGATAAGCATTTTCCGCATTGCATATAGTTGATAAGATTGTTTAGGTTAGTCGAAGAAATCAGTTTTATTGAAATTTTCCACCAAAGCAGATGATATTGTCAGATATTATTTAAAATTAATTGACGAAGTCTTCAATCGATACTTTTATTACTGGTCATAGTTTATCGATTGTTTCATCACTTTTCTTTTGGTTGATTTTATGTTCTGAGTAAGCCACATTGTGTTATCGTGAAATTATTCAGCCATTACTTTTCAATGAAGATAATGTAATGCTTCAATGCAACTATTTTATGCTGATTGTTTCTTATCCGTTCTGTTAATATTCATAAATTAACCTTTATGAACTGAACATATAATATAAGGTAGTGGTGGACAAACTGTGACATAGTCTCATAACCGGTAACTCTGTTAAAACACTATATATAAATGTCCCATACACATAGATTATCAAATAGTGAAGCGATGACAGTGAATTTCTGTCATTGATTGACATCAACTGAGGAAGAAGAACCAAGTACAAATAGATAGCATGCTGGAAAATATTTCCTTCATTTATTTTACTAAATTTTGTCATTATGATAGCCTTGTGTTTGACAACAAATCACGGTTTTATTTTCAACTATAAAATATGTTTTAATTATGAATATCGTTTTACTGATGAAAATATCATTAAAAACCTTTATGATAATGTCTTCGCTTTTTCGTATAGAAATCAATTACACAAAAGTGAAAAACATCAGATTTCAGTAGATACTTATTCTAAAAACCATAATTATGTCATCAGTTAGTCAGAGTTCATTTATTTTAATGGTAATCCAAAGTTCCCTCCTATCAAATGACGAAACTCTCGTATTTGTCCGAAATTTTATATGGTATAATATAGTTCAAACTAAATTACTTAGTGGTAAATTTTTAGATTTATTACTCAGTGTCTCTCTAATAACTTTTTTTTTCAAAAAAAGCTAGGAAATCGAAAACAGTACTGATTAGTTGACAGCCAATTTTGAAATTTGTCAGGTTTCAGTATTTTGTCAAAACTAGAGTTATTATTTACAAAGTGATTTGAGTACATTATAAGTTTGATATTAGGTTCAGTAGACAGTCATGAAGGATTTTAGACTGATCAGTTAACAATATGTAGATGAGAATTGAAATAAACCACAATTCTGCATTCACTTCATACTTGACCTGCACTCCTGATGTGCATATATATATATATATATATATATATATATATATATATATATATATATAAGAGGGATTTATGTTCGAAATACTTTCATAGCCTACTGGTACATTTATTTTTCTAAATAGTAAATTCATATTAAGTAACATGGACGATAATAATTTATTTGTATCAATTTTGGCTTTTACATAATGCAAAAACGCCATTAATATTGAAAATAAATCTAGGAGATTATTAGTAGTTAAATTTAATTCAGGGTGTGTCCACAATAATATCTTATTTTCTTATTTCTACACATTAACTTAAATTTCCATTTAGTGATTAAGATAGAAATAATTTTCAAGCTATCTATCTATCTCATTTACTTTGGATTATATACAGATTAAGTATGATTAATTGTTATTATGAAAATAACACCTAAAGTTAAGTTCATCAAAATATTCAACAACAATAACACTAGATGTACAAAAAGGCATTCACAAGGAAATTTGATCTTGGCACTTAACCTTGGCGACCGAGGTATACACTATATAAACAAGAAAGTGCCATACTTATCGTTGTTCTACATACCACTGTTTCGTAATATATTACACAAAATTAATCTCTAGTGAAATACATGTATATTTATGCATACATTTATAAAGTTTTGAAATCCATATTGAATTTTCGGAATAATTAAATTTACTAATATTCTCTTGATCAAGTAAGTTTTAAGAATTGTAAATTTACGGTGCTTTTAATAAATTTATTCGTACTACTTTGAATTCATAATATTTATTCTATTTTAGTTGAATAAAATTCACTGTAGTGATATAATGTATTCATTTATTGAAAGAGAGAAATGTGAAGTATTGATATTGACTTTAAACATTTGTTTATCATTGTGCATAATGCTGCCCTATAATGTATCACCTGTTTATGTACTTGTGTGTGTTCACAAAGGAGTGATATGTTGTGTGAATTCGCATCTAGTCAAGTCAAACAAAGTACTGTTAATCCGAATCATCTTTGTTTTGTTGAATTCTACCCAGTGTTATTACTTCGAAACAGTGGGACTGGCTTGATAAACAATAAACTCAAACTGTAAAACTAAACTTAAAAATATTTCGTCCATACTTGTCAATATATATTACCTTTTAGGATAAATTCAATATGAATCTTCAATTCATTTGTTTAACACACTATTAGGTACTATTTGATTATGATTCAATAGCTGTAATATTCTTTGAAATGATGAATCGATCACTGTACAACCACCATTGGAAATCTGGAAGTACTGGACGGCCGTTTCGTCCTATTATGGGACTTTTTTATGATTTATGAGTACATTTGTACTCAATACTGACTAGCTTCAAGAGGAGATTCTCCAAGTTCTAGTGGGACATCGTTACCAGTGCAGTTCAACCGTGTAGATGTAGACAATGGGCGATACCTTGATCGTTTCAATGCGACCCAACAATCTTCACAACTCTATATTGTAATATTCCTACAGAATAATAACCTTTCGTGGTTATTCAATTATTCAGACTATATATTATATGACGGCAATGATAAAAATGTTTTCTAAGAATTCTGTCCAGGTAGTTTCATGTGTGCAACTGTTAATATTTTTTACAAGTATAATGAAACGAAAATATGATAAAAATCAGATAAACCAATTCATTTCACTGGATTCATTGTATCAGCTTCTCTATTATGACAACCACATGAGCTTTTTCTAGTTTGCGGACAAACAATTTATTTTGTTGTTGTCCATAGATGCTGTTCACTCGTATAATATTTGGCTTTGTTGATTATTCAATTGTAGCGTAGACTATTTTGAAAAAATTTAAATATGCATAAAGGTACATATATCTCCTCTATCTGATTGTTTGTATTTTGTTTAAGCCTAATAAACTGAAATCAATGCTTTATGCATTAGTTGGATTTATTTTATTGCTTGTCTATTGTGTTTATTTATGTGAGTGCACATAATATGCGTTATTAAAATATGAGCATGCAACTTTAATATTTGCGGTGTGTATTTGACGTGATTAGTCAACCGATTTTATACGAAGTAAATTCTTATTTATCACTTCATCAAAATTTACGGTCATCAATAATGGAAACAATGCGGTGTCGTTATGCATTCAAGTTATTATTTCTTCTATTGTTTTCTCGGCGGTATTATCAGAAAATATTTATGTTAATCTAATTTAAATAAAATAAAAATTCATTTGTTGTTCATTTGCTTTTTTTATTCTTCTTACATTTTTTTCAAAAAAAAAATAGAATCCGATTTATACCCAAAGAATACCTTGGAAGTAATCAATTGAAATACAACAGTCAACGAAAAATGTTTCCATCTGAGCCGAATTTATTCAAAAATTGAGAATTACTAAACTAAATTACCTAGAAATGGTTCTACTTAATACGATTATTTTTAATTTAATTTAATTTAATTTTTGTCTATATTTTGAACTTTTATAACCATTTTTTTTCATATTAAAAAACAATCAATTCTTATTGTACGCGTGGGTTCATTTCAACACAACAAAACAAAATTCACATTTTTCTATTTTTCAATCATTTCAACAAAAATCTTCATTCAATAATCAATTTTTAAATCAACCAAATAATTATGCCACAAATTATTTCACATACAATTAATTATATTGATCAACAGTTTAATTATTTTCCGAAACCATTTATTATTGTAAATCGAAATAATTACATTCATGATCATCGTGATAAACCGACACAATTCAGCCAACCTTCTTCGTCTTCGTTTAATTCTGTTCTTTGTAACACTAAGACAATATCTAAATTAAATGAATCATTCAGGTCAGTGTAGTTTTTACTTCACTGTTGTTATACTTGCTGTTGTAGCTTCTGACAATTTATTTTTGCCCTGTTTTTTTTAAAAAAAATAGATTTTTAATTGTTTTATTTAAAAAACTTTTTTTACTTCATGTTTGCATATACACACTATTTTACTTATTTAAAAAAACACTTTCATAATCTACACGAAACACGTTTTGGTATGTTTTATGGAAAAACAAATGAAATTGTGTGACTTTTGTAAAATCACAATTAAAAATCGAAACTTCGCTACTTTTTTTTCATATCCAAATACTTATATGGTCTGTGATGTAAGAATGATTCCTTTAGAATATCAAACTACCAACACAATGATCAGCAGTTTGTTCCGCGTTACTTTGTAGCTTTGACAGTTGCGACTTAAAGTTAGTGGATATTTGTATGATAAAAGTTTGTAGTAACATATATGTTTAGAGCACTGATGGTGTCTAAGAGAATTTCTAGTCATGCAGTGCTGTAGTTAGGTCAGCGGTACTGTGTAGATGTTAACAAGTTGATGAATATTTTAACCTTCACTGGTTTACATGGTTAGCGAATCAGTTAACCAAATATATCCACTCCGTACATTGGTATGAACTAATGAGTCACATAAAATTGAGTATTTAAGGACTGGGAATTGTAAAAGTAGAATACAGGATTAGTTTATTTTGTCACTAACTATTAATCTACAGTGTGTGTTGTAGTGAGTTATAGAGGACATGAATGAAATCGCTTAGAATAGATATTTATGGTGTAAAAATATTTCCGGTTTACTTTCCGTTTGATTGCGAAGTTTATTATTCGCGAATTTCACTTCATAGTTGCGTTTGGCTTTCAGAATCGAGCTGTCTGTGCTAAGTCATATATTAGCATCAACTCTAGTTTTACTATTATTGACTTTGATTCTATGAATTGCTTGTCATTTTCCTGACGTAAAGTTTGGTATTTCTGATAAATTCACATTATATCCAAGGTTTCGGTTTTTAAATAATTGACCAGCAACTTACCATATTTTAAATAGAATCTAGAGAGACATACTTCTTACTTATCATGTTTTTCATCTGCTATAGAGTACCGTCTACATGTGTTGCTCTGTAAGCTATCGGTTCGGAATTGTTGAAAGTTTTCACAGATAAGAAGCTCTATTTATGAAATTTTTGTGAACTAAGGAAATTTTCAAATTAGTCGTTTGCTGAATGTTTTCTGCTGTTATAAAGGAAGTTATCGTTTGAATTATGGATGGACGGTCTATTGTTTTACGTGATTGTGAGTGAGTCACAATTATTCAAAACTCCGGAATTATCGATGTCGTGCATAATGAACGAATATCAAACGTTAGATTAATTCAATAGACATAAATCGTTCTAAGCTACAAGACAGCACACTTATTTCCAATTTTCTAATATTAAACACGTTGCAAATTCATTCATATAAATAATTATTATTTTCCTCAGACTAATTAGGTTCTTTACCGACCTAGGTATCTTAGGCTTATTTATTGCTTTTCATAATTTCTTACAGAAAAAAGGGAAGCCTATTATATAGAGGATATAAATACTAGTATAGATTTCTGTTGCAATAAATATCATTTATAATATGTCACAAATCTATTTAAGCTAGAAAATTCTGTTTTTACTTGCAACGAAATAACTAATTCTGGGCAGTCTTCTATAGGCTGTTAAAGCAATCGTCAAGTTGAACAAAAGACAATACCGAGAGACACTTCAAATGAAAATTTATCAATGCACAACTGTACATCCGTCGCTCATTAAATCTCAATAGTATTGTGTGGTAGTATTGGTAAACAATTCATATTCAACTGATTAAGGTAATGAGAAAGCATGCTAGTTTATATTTTCTCGATGAAATTTGATGATGGAATTGGGAATTTATCATTTAAAAATACTTTTGTTTAAATATATGTGTATTGGTGGAATTACTTTATCCGAAATTGCTAGTATAAAAATTAGCTAGCTAGCTATCAACGATCAATATTGATCTGTAATGTAAGAAATTAGTTTTTCCCTCACCAGTAACCCCCAGTAAACAATATTTCAAACAGTCTATTTTCATTCCTCAACAAGGGACACGATTGTCTGGTTTTCTCAAGAAAAGTATCAGTATCTTGATTTTCGCAAATTTACTTATTCATGTAATCGATAGTATATACCACAAATAACGTTAGAAGCAATATACGTATTAACGTGTACGATGTGTTTGTTTCTCCTAAAACTAATGCGAGTTTCATCAACGCATGCATTGAAATCATTAGTTCGCAGTATTTTTCAAAGTTATTGCTTTATAAATGGAATTTTACCAGGAAAGACTACGGCTAATTTTGAAAAGTTGATGTGTATTGTTAACAACCTTCTTGAATAAAAAATAAAAAATATCAATTAGTTCTATGATCTACAGTCAAGTTTCCATTGACACATCATTAAGAAGAGAAAATGAGAGAACAAAAATTTCTTTGTTTATTGTTACAAAAAACAAGAAGGAAGCTTAGATCCTACTAGAAACATTGAACCGAGACCACCAACTAATCACCTTCATTATGTGAGATAAAAAGTGCGACACTACCTCCCTTCTGACCGATGAGAAGAATGAAAAGAAGTGATTTTTGTTAACCAACTGCACAAAGCCAATATACCTCAATTTTTGAACATTGTCACCCTACAATATAGGAGAAACTTAGTCAAGTACTTGACCTGCACAGTCACAATAGTTTATTATGATGATGCTCTTCAAGAGGAACTGAAAATTATTCAGGATTTGTTAAGTCAATGCGTATATCCATCAGCTTCCTATTGGAACACATATCTGGAACTTAACCCAAAGTAAAATCACCAACAGTATCAAACATGTCCATAGTTTCAAAGTCACAGTTCAAACGTGATATAGCCAGTGTAGTAGTAATTCGAAAAAAATACAAAAAGCCTAAGGATGTGACTTCAGCACACCAAGATAACACCCTATGTTATTCACCTGGCCATTAATGAGTTCATGGAGTAAGAATAAAATACCTAATTCCTCTGCCACTATGTGCGTTTATCATTTCAACAGTTCTTGGGAAACTATTTGTATTTAGGATGCAAAACTAATTAAATGCAATACCGTACTTCGGAACAGCCTCTTTATTTATCCTGGCCACATGTTTTAAAACTTTTCTATTCTCTAGAACTTTTCTACAATTCAATTTATTAACAGTCCACTCTTACGTAACATGATAAATAAGCTTATCACTTCCAATAAGTTAATGGATAACAAAACCCGTATTTGCAGTCAACTACAATTTTTATTCTTACTGTTATGTAACTATATTCAATAATTACCTGATCATGAGAGTTCAACTTAGCTTGAATTTTAATCTTACAAACCTTATGTAACTAAATGACTATGATATAGTTATATTGTCTCATCAACATCTTAAGTGAATTAATTATTAACTTACTTTTAAAACCCTGTAAATTTTCATAGAACTTTGATGAAGAACTATTTGAAAATCAATATTTTTTCACTCATCATGTCTTTTTAAATTTCCATTACACTTATTGTAATCATACCATATGACAATAAGACATGCAATTACTAATTCCGATCTTAATGCTTCTTATTTTTTATTGCTTACTAACTTCCTGTGTATTATTATTTACAATCTGGTAACATTAATATGATGAGTGGTAGAAAATATCTCAATCAACAAAGCGCATCAGGCTAACATGCCTATAATTTTTATAGTGTTAAACTTAATTTGCATCCAGTTTAATAAGTTTAGCTCATGTTTTGAATATCTAACTATATTCATTGGAAATTAAACTCACAGAAATTAGAGAGGTGTATTAAATCTGTGCCATGTTTGTTAATTAAATTGGAATCATTATGGCATAAGTTTGTATTCTCATGGATGATTTTGTGATGAATACGTATATTGATTCGGAAAATATTCTAAAACATTTCCAATAAATAAATAACTATATATATATATATATATATATATATATATATATCATCTCGTAACATCTGTGTAATAGCTTTGTCATATATCATATTCGATTCATAATTTCCACTTTTTTCGCAGAAAAAATGCCTAGTCTATGAAAAGCTGATTGAGGTAGGATTTCACTTTGTGACTCTTTTATTTATCATAAAACCGAGTATGATTTAGAGAATGGTTGGTACCAGCGAACAATAATATATCATGTTTTTTCTAGTTATTATTTAATTGCATTCAATAAAATATAGAGCCAATGACATTATATATATATATATATATATATATATATATATATATATAAAAGCAGCTATGTTCAAAATTCATTGCTGCTTATCTTGCTGATAAAAAAACTTGTTTCTTTTTTTGAAGAAGTTCTTTCTCTCCGAGCTAGATGGCTTATTCGTGCAACATTTGATACTTTCACTTGTAATGTCATCAATCGACACCTGGATAGTAAAAGAGTTATTAAAATTTTGTCCATAAGTACAAAAGAGTTTCGAATATTTTGGAGAAGTCTACTATGCTATTTCCTGTTCATTCATGTACTGATGATTTTGTATGGCTAGTCAATGAAAGCTTCACGAATAAACTATTCACCTTAGAAAACACGATAGTTCCGAAATACTCACTCTAAAATGAAAATGTCCTCTACTGTTTGAAT